ATACGTATTAGCTTAAACGATTAAGTAACAAGATTTTATAATACAGTCTTGTGGTTGTCAGATCTATTCCCACAAACCCAGACAGATATCCAGGAATTAAGTACATTCAAACAATAATTATAAGATTGTAGTATTTTGAGATAATCTGGATCAACTATCCCTTCGTGTAAATGATTTAGCTTAAAAGATTGAGGAACGCGATTTTAAATACAGTCTTGTGCTTGTCAGATACATTCGTACAAATCCCAACAGATATCATGGAGTTATGACCATCTTTGGTTCAATCGTTCAACCAAATCTTATGACTGACAAGTAATCGACAGCATGTTGGCTTAACAAGACCATCTGACGGGAATCTACGTCCCTATGGTTATTATGTTTAAGTCATTACGTATTCCCCCAGCCACAGGGTACGAGACCCTGATAGCCATTGTAGATCCTCATTAAGGATTAACTGAAGTGAATAAAAGGGCTGTATAGGGAATTAAGTAACCGTCGATTCAACGAGATTTTAATGAAATTGGGCCAAGAGGGAGTTCTAAAAGGGGGTTGATTAATCACCGTGATGTTAATCTGAGTCTACAGATAAAACCTTTTCTTTGCAGCGTGGATTTGTTTTTCTTCCCCTGAGTTGATTTGTAAACAAAATGATAACGTACACGTAACACGAGTCGCCATATTTAAATAGTTGCTACAACTGATAAGAGAGAGAGAGAGAGGGGGGGGAGAGAGATAGAGAGGGGGGAGAGAGGGAGGGGTAAAATCCACTCAACACAGACTAGGTAATCAATATTCGGTAGGCGACTCTAACCCTTGTCACAAGTCTGTACGTAACACGGAACCATATTTAAATAGTTGCTGCAACTGATAAGCGAGAGAGAGGGGGGGGGGAGAGGAAAGGTAACGACTATAGTAATCGATGTTCGGAGGGGACCCTAACCCTTGTCACAAATCTGGTGTAGACATCGCACCACGTGACTCAAGACACACTTTATGACCTTAGAGCACACGTTAACCAACCTCAACTGATAAAAACATGGTAATTTGTTCTGTTTTTCATCAACAATAAATCGCACAAAGTCTTGAAAGTCGCCCTTTTAATGACTATATAAGAACTAAAATTTGTACCAGGATATTAAATCTCAGCCAATGAAAATGTTGTGCCCTTATATTGAAATGAGACTCACGTATTTTGAATATGCATAATAAGTGCGGGATTACTTTCATGGCGCAATATTTTAATAGATACACACCAAAATAAACCAATATGACTGTTTCATTCATGGCCGGATTAGGGCAGGACGATTTACAGAATACTATCCAATATCCCCCAACACTCACCCAATACTACCACATTATTGTGAAAAACTAATATAATACTTCAATTATTTAAAATAAAAATTGAATTACGGAAAGCTTGTAAAATATGAAAATCAATGTCTCCAGTTATCTCCCTTGATCATCAATGCTAACAAATATCAACCCCATGCCCATATTATCAAAACACAATCCATTTCTGTAAAATAATGGGCCAATATTACCCCAAAATGACACAAAAGTACAACTATTTGAATAACAACACGTTTGTTTGTAGAAAATAAACTATTTATTCAACGTTAAGCCGTTCCATCTATCATTAATACTTAGAGGACCAGATTATGGTGCTGTATAAAAAAGTTATATGTTTGTCTTTGGAAAAGAAAATGCATCATTTTATCCTAAAACTAAATCCAGCACTGGAAAACGGTCATCTAAACTGAGATGGAAAATTCTTGTGACTTTCCTCTGGCACATTAACCATGTTTTGATATTCATTAAGAATGAAATATATAATACCAACCCAGCCTTAAATGAAGGAACCACATTTGGGTGCTAGTATCACATCTGGAAATCGAAAATTACCCGACGGGATCAGACGTAATTAAGGTATACAGCCACAGATGAAAATATTCACATTTCGTCATGATTTGAATGTTGTTAGCAGTCTAGACAATTTGTCAAAAATATAAAACGAGTTAAATTTCTTACTTTTCTGAACCAACCGGGATAATAAAATGAAATGAAATGGGGTTTAACGTCCCACTCTTCTGCTCCGAATGGGCTAATGAAGACGGGCATATGCTATACAGAGTGCTATGAGGGAAATTTTGCTCGTTTACATGCGCGCCAATGTGTACATAGAACCTCGGTTTTTCGTCCCATTGGAAACGACTAGACAGCTATCCTTGTCAGACCCTCCGACCTGCACGACTGACAAGGAGAAACCACGCCGGAAAACCACCAGGCTAGTGAGTCATCGTCTTACCCACTTAGCCATCGTGGCTCACCCAGGCTAAAATAAGACTGACATGCGACCTGCAGTGTGCTATTATGTGGGGGAGGGGGGGGGGGGGCGTTTAACACCAACATCGGCGCCACGGCCTCTTCTTATTCCAATTCCTGTCAAGGGATATTTAAGGTGCTGCATCTGGCACAACATGTTCCTGAAGCAACAACTGCGAGTTTCACAACATCTTGATAAGATGTACGTAGTTAAAGCGAGGTCAAGCCTTCTATTGAAGATGATGGCACAAGTGTGGCCTCGGTTTTTTTTTTCGTCCAATCCGAACGACTATACGTTGGAATATCCCGAGAAACGTTCATGGCAAACACTGTGATAGAACCAGAAACCTCCGGGTTAGTGCACAACTGTTGCATACTTTCTTATTGGTAAAATATATCCTCGTATCTTGTGAGAACGACAATGCCATATTCTTGCGTACGTCTATAGAGCCTATATTGTTAAAAAAAAATAAAGTTAGTTGGAATGATAATTTGAAGAATAATAAAGAATAGATGCACATCATTAAGTCTTATTTCATCATGCGTTGAGCCCACTGTCTTCTTTATTTATTTTTTTAATATTTTGTAATAAATGGAGTTGTCCGCTTGGCCGCTGAATATATTGACAGAATCAATGACGGCAAAGAGGAGAAAACCCTTTTTTAGAAGAACATTTCACCGAAAACATTCACATAGGGCTTAATCCCCCCCCCCCCCCACAAAAAACCAAAAAAAAAACAACTCCAACAAAACAGATGCGCTGAGCCACTGAACAGATTGATAGAATTATTGACGGCGTAGGGGAGAATACTCTTTTTAACGAGGAATTTTTCACCAAAAATGTTAAAGATGAATTATATATGTAAGATTTAAATCTACCTGTTGCAGGTCTTTTTTGGCGTCAAATGTTATATTTATTAACATAACATGCGTATAATCTACTCTCTAGACTAGCGCATGGCCTTTGATGTAGGCGTACCATTATTTCAAATAATGGTACGAGCAATGTGCCAAGCGTACATTACTTATACTAGTTGCAATATTGGACCCGCGTGACGTATTTCATTGACATGCACGTGCTGGATAGTGTCTGTATTTTAAGTTGTTTAATGGTCTCGTTCAAGACACTGCGTAATATATAGACATAGCCCTCGTGCTATCGCACTCGTAAAATATCAATATATTACTTAAAGTAGCTAAGTCTCTAACTCAATATCATCTAAAGTCTTACACGTTGAAAATACGAATTATTTATCAATTCAAATCAACATTGATGTTGTGATCTTACCAGGAAAAGACAGGCTTCTGATATCCAATATTTAAGACAAAATAAACATTTTACCATTGGTACACGAATCGTGTACCATAGTGCGTTTTAGCCTCATTTGCAACAAGTGACCAGAAACAACGAGGCTAGACATATTCAACTGGAGAGACTGGTCAATAGACTGGAATAACCAGACGCTAGAAATTGCTATAGGGTTGAGACACATGCCTTATTTCGCTGGACATAACTGATTTGAAATTAGAGTCAAAACGGAAACAATTGAATGTAAATCAGTTTATATACAATCAGATTACATTATTATTTGCGTTGCGACCCATTTGGGTCAATTTCTAGGTCCCAAATATTAGCGATTATCCGAGTTGTAAAGTACCGTTGCTAAGTGAACGATTTACGTTATATTCTTCAAAAAGTAAGAACTTCGCTCAGAATAAAGTAATTTGTATGAAATTGTCAATATATTAATTTTTCATTATCTATTTTTGAACAATTAAAGCAATAACGTTCAGCCCTGTGTCTAACTCTTACACAGTGCCTCTTTAATATGGCTCTGGAAAAAAGGTAATAATAGTGCAGGTCGACTGGACGGCGCAGGGGAGAAAACTCTTTTTTAGAGTAAAATTTCCCCCGAAAACGTTAATACAATATTTTATTTAAAACAAGAAAAATTGGGTTAAGCAGTGAAGCGCTAATTATTTTTTTATTTAGACCCTAATTCCAGTTGCTTTTTGGCTACATCTTCACAGTTACTATTAGCCTAGTTATTTTATGATATCAGGGGAATTCTGTTATTTAAAGAATATTTTTTCATGTATAAAATGTAGCTTTTAATGTTAGCTCAGCTTTAAGAACCATTTTAATGTGGACTTATTCATGTGTTTTTATAATAATAAATAAATAAATATTTGAATTTTCAGATTACGTGTCAATTCTTCTCTATATGGTAGACCCATGCGAGTGACAAAGATCTTCAAACACTTCCTAATTTGTAGGCCAGTGCTTGTTTTAATGAAAACTGTTCTAATATATAATTTTCTTGATTTCAGAGACTGCGGATGCAACAGAATATGTCAAGCAGAATATGGACGGCGCAGGGGGAATAACTCTTGTTTAAAAGGACATTACGCTGAATATAAGTATCAAAGTATCGTTTCAATAAAAGATTATTAATCGTCAGCATTTGGCAGAATGTAACCTGGAAAATATCATTTTTGTTTATTTCTCCGAGACATCCCTTTCTCAGGTTACTAATATTAGGAAACTGTAAGACAAAATTTTAAAATTTGTGCGATAATGTTTTTTTGGCACAAAATGTCCATTTAAATTAGAGTTACTCCCCTTTGGATGATTCACTGCGGGAATGACGGGAATTTTTGAAATCAGCCAATGAAATTAAAGTATACATTGAATTGTTTAAAACAGCGGCGGCAAGAAAAATAGAACGTGTGAAGTATGAATATAGAGGAATAAAATCAACTATTATTGTTTTTAATTGCACTTATTATTACATGATAATATGACTGAAAGGTGCGTATAAATCTGATACTTTTATAGCTTATTCTGAATTCAAATCATACTTATACTTAACTTATATGGCCCATGCATGAGCGTGAAGTATGCCAACAAATTGTCCCAACAAAATATATTTTTTATAGGCCTAATTATTTAAATTCTTGACACGCTCGCAGATTTGTTGGTATAAAAACCATCCCTGGCTTTTGATTGCCCTCCACAATTTTCCAGACTGTTGACAATGAAATTCAAGTGTTGTTAGAAATGGCTTTATATTAGGCTATAACCCCCCCCCCCCCCAATCCCCTAAAAAATTTTTTTCAAATAATAATTAGGCCTATGTGACTATTATAAAAGGAGGTCAGTGATGTGTCCAGGCTGTTTGGTAGAAAGTCATTTATGCCAGCCTACTACTAGTACTATTAAGGTTTTTCATTTTTGTTGAGTCGAGCAAGTTTATGATTGTCAGTCATGACTCCAGTAACATCTGTTTCAAATCGACAATTGTTCACATGATTACATAATCAAGTTGACGCCCAAAGTCCAGGGGAGAGTCTGTAGTGGAAATTCCTGGGGAACTTTCTCAGACAAAACCGGGATTTATCCCGAGTGCTCGATCCCCTGGTTAGTGAGCCAGCGCCTTACTCACTGCTGAGCCACTTAAGTACATGTACTAGAGAAGAAAAGGTACAAGAGAAGAAAACAGTAAGGATAGAGATATCCCACATGTCGTTGTCATACATGTGGATTTTTGTTTTTGGATTGTTTGGCAAATCTAAGGACCTGCCCATCAATTTTATGCATATTTTTTTTTCTTTTGCCCTGTAGAATACTACTTCCACCTTTCCACACAGAGTCCCGTACTACCAGTGGGATTTAACCTATATATTGCAGTTTTGCCATGGCTACGGCTCAGATAATACTTTAGACTTCAAATAGGTAACATTGATATTATTGTGCTGTGGACCCCTTGGAACACCAAGTGGGACTTGGTACCGGTACATGGAGAAATACCTTTGATAACTACACAAGTACAATATTTTTTGCTTCTGACTGATGTTTGAATCTAAAATCTTAATGACGAAAGCCCCTGGTGTGTGTGTATTCGTTGCTGGCTAACATACCTGTATTGTTTTTGATTTCAGAAACAGAATCAAGGGAGAAGTTGTTTCCAGTTTGGATTCTGCCCTGAATAAACTTTATACAATATGGGATGTAATTGGTATAGCGGACGATGCCGTCAAGGCAAGGGCAGAGACAGTTTCTCTACATTTAACCAATTTGTTAGAAGAAATGGTACAAGAGGAAGACAGTTTACGACAGAGACTTCAAGATAGTATCAGTCAGTATTTAGATCAGGTTAAATCTATCTGTCAAGAACTGAAACTACCAGTTTATACGGTAATTATCTTGTCAGATATTCTCACAGACCTTTGAAGGGAATAATATAATACTTTATTACTTACTACTTGTTTGTTATCTTGACTACTTGAAGAGATTTCTTCCTAGGTCATCTCACAATATTCACTACATGGATTCATATGTCATGACCTCAGTTGGTGTCACTTCCAGTCCAACACAGTTGGTATTTACAGCACTTTCAAGTTAAAACACTTTCTATTGTATTTGTCAACAAGACTGTATTTAATCCTTACACAGGTGTGGTCATTTTACAGCTATATTAAAATTTACAAATCAAACTTGGAAGTGCTGTAAATACCAACTGTGTTGGACTGGAAGTGACACCAACTGAGGTCATATGAATCCCTGTTTGATTAATGAAGGCACTGTTATCTATCCAGACAGTTACTGTTAGTAACGAAAACAAATTGCCTAACTCCCTAAACCAATCAGAAATAACAGTTTCCCAAACACCACCTTGAGATATATTCATATTGCTTTGAGTGGGATTTGTATATAATAACACTATAAAATGAACAATTTACTAATATTTGGGGGTTGTACATGTATAATAATTAACTAAATAATAATGGACAGTGTTAAATGTAGTGAGTATTGACGAATCGCAAGCACTAGGAATTATCTTTATTTACTTCTGATGATCAAATTATAGAGATCTATACATTATGGCAGATTCGATAACGAGTTTGCAGTTCTCACTATAATAGTTAAAAACTAGATAATGTAAAGGCAATTTGCTGAGAATGTCATTCAAATTGATCCACTATGAACCGAGAACTAAGCTATTGAAATTTCCGCCTAGGCTCAGTCATCATTACTAAAGTCAGTACGATAAACAGCATAGTCTCGATTATCCATTTAATCGTTAAATCGTGAAGGAAAGTTATGCAGTAAATCGGCTCATAATCCACTAAAGATCGCAGACTAGCGATGCCATCTAGAGTTGATTATGTTCTGGATAGGTTAATTAATGTCTAATTAATAATTTAGATAACATTTCAGGCCTAAAGAAAGACCTGCAATAGACAGATTTAGCTCTTCTTGCATAATGTATGTTTAATAAAATATAGCTGGCTCAAGCAGAAGGGAAGACGTCTTCTGATTGTTTGATTTATTATTTTGATTGTTGGTTATATACAATAAAATTTAAATCTTAAAAATCAGATGTATAATTTGTCTCTTTTCATATTGTTTAGACACCAACCTCTCTGACCATGATACAGAAAGAGAAAGATCTTAGAATGAAGATGGAAGCTTTAACAAGAGAGAAGAATAACAGAATGGCCGAGATGAATACATTAAAAGAACAAGATCAGCGTTTATGTGAAATATTGTGTATGACACCATATTATATACCAAGTGGTACAGTACCATCTAAAGAACAGATCAAAGAGTTAGAGAAACATGTTACCACACTCCAAGCACAAAAAGTAAGTGTTCTATCAAATATTAGTTGGCTGAAATGAAATTAATTGGAGTCCAGCGTCCTACTTTTCTGCACCAAGTGGCCTAACAGTAATAATAATCAGTAAATTTTGCCTATTATTTCAATCTCTGGACAACTAGACATCTTTCATTGCCATGCTCTTTGTTATGCAACACTGACAAGAGTAATCCAGGATGGAAAATCTAGAGGTACAGCATTCTCAACCAACACTGGGATCGATCCAGAACCTCATGGTTATTAAGCATGCAGCCTACTCATCGATTCTGAGCCATCTTCTTGTTCAACCCTTAACTTATTATTAATGTTATTTATTTCAGGAAAAGCGCCATGCAGATTTTATCAGTACCAAGAAGAGTATAGTAAAAATATTAAATGAATTAGAGCAAGATCCTGATTCTTCTTTTCAAAAAGAAGTTGTTTCTGAAGCTGAAGAATCTTTTATTCTGTCCAGTGATAACTTAGATAAACTTAAAGCCCTACAACAACAGGTAAATTTAGCCAACACTGTGAATATGGCACGAAGGCACCTGTCACAGGGATTGTCAAGTACGAACTACCACACAATGTATATGTATTATAATAAAAACATGTGATAATTTGTGTCTTGACAAAGTCTATGACAGGTGCACTGCCTTCTGTCCAGGCTTGACAGTAAGCTAGTTTCTTAGAACTACTACTACGGTCCTACACCCACACCAATTGGTAAAATCCAGTCAAATAACTGTTGAGTGTCATTAATCAGTCATTAATAATTACTGGAAACAAATAAATATTTGCCTTTGCTTTTATGATAGCATTTCCCATATTTACAAGTGTTTCAGCTTTGTAACCTTATCAAAGATAGTTTGACTTTGACAATTGTCTATGGATGACCTTGTGTTATATATAATAATGGCTACAGTTACAAGGGTGGGTTGACAGTAATCAGGTTATGTTGACATCTGTAGAGATCTTCCTGAAACTTAACAGTGACTTAATGGGTAAGTCACTGGTTCACTTAGCAGGAGGTCCCCATGTTCCTTAGGATGTTCCTGGTGTCTACTTGTCACAGGTTCTAGATGAAGGGTCTGGCAAGGAATAGCATCTTGGTTTATGGATGGGATGAAAAACCAAGGTACATGTACACATTGGCCGGCACGTAAAAAAAAAATGACAGCTTTCCGAACAGTTTACTTCATAGTGCATGGTGTATGCCGGTCTACATCAGCTGAGTTGGTGCCTAAAAGTAAGATGTTATATTTCTCTCAACATTTTAACCTGCATCCAATTCATTTTTACCTGCCAAATGTTTTGATGCTTTCATTTTATTTTTCAGTTAACGACACAAAAAGCAGAAATTAAACAGACCTGTGATGATTTGTGGCTGAGTGTAAAAAGTTTATGGGATCGTTTGGACATTTCTGAGAGTGAACGACAACAATTCTGTACTGGTAAAGAGGGATATAAATCGAAAGTACTCCAAGCTTTACGAGAAGAAATTTTACGCTGTGAACAATTGAAACTACAGAATATTCAGAGATTCGTGGAAGGAATCAGAAAAGAGTTAACAGAATGGTGGGATAAATGTTTCTATAGTGCTGATCAGAGAGAACATTTTGAAATGGTTTTCACTGAAGGTAAAATATGAATCTTGGATTGGCTGCCCTTTAAACCTTTTTTACCTGATGTATGTAAATATTGACTACTCCAGTTCCCTGGGTTCTTTTTTAAATGAAATGAAATGGAGTTTAACCTCCTACTGTTCTGCTCCGAACTGGGCTAATGAAGACGGGCATATGCCATACAGTGTGCTATATGGGAAATTTTGCTTGGACAGCGGCACTATGGCCTACTCCTATATCGAATTCCAACTGTCAAGGGATCTTTTACGTGCACGCCAATGTGTACATGGTACCTCGGTTTCTCGTCCCATCCAAACGACTAGACAGCTGTTCTTGTCAGGCCCTTCCGTCCTGTATCACTGACAAGGAAGAACCACGCCAGAAAATCTGGATGATCTTTCTTGGCCAGTGCAGGGATCGAAACGCCCAACCTCCAGACTAGCGAGCCAGCGTCTCACCAACTTAGCCACCCTTTTTTCTTTTTTTTTTAAAAACTCACTTTATACTGAATCAGATCCTGGTATAGGATGAAGAAGATCTTTGGAATTTTTTTAAGCCCTGGCTGACACTTGTCCGAAGTTGGACAAGTAAATTGGGCTGTTATAATTCCATTAAGAGTAGTTGGAAACACAGCTGTCCAAACAAAATCCTTCCTCATATACCCATGAAAATGAAAAATGTTAGTCTGGTAATGACCTAAGTATTGTGTTGATTAGACTTATCCCATTTTTCCTGATTGATTCACATGTCGATTGATATTTATTACAGAAGAATTTACGGAAGAATTATTAGGAATACATGAACGTGAATTAGAGAAAGTGAAAGATTATTATCAACAGAACCGAGAATTACTTGATAAAATGGCACAGAGGGAATCATTATTTAAAGATATGCTGGAAGCTGAGGTAATTATTTATGACCTATAATATTCAATATATTACATGTATTAAATTGTTTCCATGGTATGTAGTATTGTTTTTTTACATATTTATATTATCTCGTTATAGAGCAATCTGATTAAAACACAGATCCCATTTTGTTTCGTTTTTTATAGTTCAAAATTTCATTTTACTTGTCTTTACTACACTAGGATCTGGAAGAGTTGTTATCATTGACATGTTCTTGCTGATGTGAGAGATTAGCCAATAAAACAGTCTGTTACAGCAAGCTTTTGTCGTGAGGTGCACAGAACTGTGTGTAATCCACTAGAAACATCAATGCTGATTGGTTAATCAAATGTCTGATGTCATAGGTCAAAAGCCGCTTGACCTCTGACACAACCTCCCCAAACAACTGGTCAGATCTTCATGTAGTGTAGGCCATCGAAACTATAAAAAAACGAAACCAAATATAGATCTGCATTTTAATCAAATTGGCTATAGAGAGGCCTAGTCCAAATGTCACTCAGTACTAAACAGTAATTGTGTTCTATAGAAATGTTACCAGAACAAGTTGATTTATCTTGTTGCTCCTAACATGTTGTTGAATTGTTTCAGAAAAAGGCACGAGATCCTAATCGCTTCAATAACCGAGGTGGTAAATTATTACAAGAAGAAAAGGCAAGAAAAAAGATTGCTAAAGACTTACCAAAAGTAAGTAACTATTGCCAGTTCTCAACATACGAAGGTATGAAAATATTTAATAGAAAAATGTCACAGCTCTAGAGAAAAATGGGATTTAATGTCTGCTCAACACCAACTAGGTCATATCACAACCAACATTTACTTTAATTTCAATAATTCGCTTGTTCATATGGGGTCTTTAGCATTGGAAGGAAATCTAAGGACCCCAAGAAAACCCATGTGATTCTGCTGATTGTCATCTTATACAAGTCTGGGATTAAAAACAAACCACTTGACTCAATGATATCAAAAACAATATGTCCATGGTGCAGGCCGGAAGGTCGGGCAATAAACCGCGTATAGCCGTTCAGATGGGACGACAAACCATGTCCCCATGTACACATTGGCCTGCATGTAAAAAATAAGAGTAGACCACAGTGCTGCGGTCTGGGCAAGACTTCCCTCATAGCACACTGTATTGTGTATGTCCGTCTTCATTAGCCCAATCGGTGCATAACATGGGATCCACTGATGACTACTAAATGAGTATGTCACTGGCTAACTAACCACTACCAGATATTGTGGATATCATTGGCAGCGGATCTCCTGGCAGTTGCAAATCAAAATAATAGTCGTAGGGCTGCTGTTCGGGCAAAAATTCCTTTTACAGCTCACTGCATGGTTATACCCGTCTTCATTAACCCAGTTGGTACCGAAAAGTAGGACTTCAACCCCATTTCATTTTTTGTTAAAAGCCATATTTGGAGGATAGGATATTTACTATATTGAATTTTGTTTTTAGGTAGAAGAAACTGTGAAAGCGGCCATAGCTGAGTGGGAGAAAGAGAATGCTAGGACATTCTTAGTGGGTGGTGTCAATTATGACACTTACATAGCTGAACAATGGCAGATGTATGAAGAATCTAAAGTTAAAGAAAAAGAACAGCGAGTAAGAAAATACATGTTTAAATCACCAATTTTATTTTCTGTTCTTTGTGAACCCCTGTTAAAATTTTATTTCTTTAGGAAAAAGACTAAAAAAACAAAAGTCCTTGCATGCACGGTTCAAAAGTTACGTTTAGCTCACACAGTTCAATTTTTTGTTCTTCGGGATCGCCTGTTAAAATTTAATTCCTGTTTCTTCGGAAAAAAGACTGATTTAAAAACCAGAAGTCTCTGGTTGCACGGTTCCAAAGTTTTAAGTTAATTTAAACAAAGCATATTGATTCATTTTATTCATCAAGGCACTGAAGAACAAAAAAAAAATCAAATTAGTTTGGCCTTATTATTGTAACCTTGGAATAAGACCCACTGAAATGTTTTCACCTGTGTCTTGTCCGTCACTTGTTCACAATGGCATTTTGGACACTCTAAAGGCTAAATTTATTATCCGATTGACTAGCAATTTATACACGACAGTGTTAATGTTCATCAAACATATTGCAGGATGGTTAATTTACCATAAAATACATTGGTTGCTGGTTCACTAACCATAAAATACATTGTATGTTGGTTTACTAACCATAAAATTGTTAGTTTGTTCTTGAATGGCGAAGAAAGTACCTCATCTGATTATTTGAATGTTATGGAAAACTGAAGCCTACTTGTTGGTATGCACGTAAAAGAAAACTTGATAGTTCAAACAAACTTCCTCCATAGCGCAATGCGTGGCATATTCCTGTTTTCATTCGTCCAGTTGGTACTGACAAGTAGCCCATTAAACCCTATTCCATTTACTTCCATTTCTTACTTCAGCATATATTACGTGCTAAGCAGACGGTTGAAGAAATGCATTATGGTAGTAAACCAACGACTCCAGTTAAACGACGATTTCAACAACAGACGCCAACAAAAACACCACAAAATAAACAAAGAAAGGTCAGTGTTGTGTTAGCCATCGTGTGATAAGGTCAATAAATTTTTAGTAGTGGATGATCAATCTATAAGAGTTTATAACTTTATTTTAATACTTTTATCTTTTATAAGTAAAGGATTTACCATCATTATGTCAGATGAGAGGCAGCCACAGTTGCTCACTAGCCAGAAGGTCCCAAGAAACATCCTCTGGATTTTGTTCAAACTGGTTTCCCCTTATCAGTGGTGCCGGATGGAGGACCTGGCAATGAACATTGATGGTGTCTAATCATTCGGATTGGACAAAAAAACAAGGGCCTGTGTAAACATTGGAATTTGAAACTCCGATGTCCAGGCAAAATTTCTCACATAGTACAGGATGGAGGGCTTTGCAAGAAAAACCATATATCCTTGTATACTCCATTGACATCTTGTCAAACATCCTTGGACAGCTAGAATTAGTTTGAAATAAGAGCATGCCATAGTGCCGCTGCCGGGAGAAAATTGCCTTCATAGCACACTGCATAGTGTACCAGGTATGCCTATCTTCATTGGTACCAAAAAGACAACATTAAATCTCATTTCATTGTTAATTGGAGAATGGTATAATATAAAAGAATAGATTATTGAAATTTTAGGTGGAAAAAACATTTATTGCCAGTGTGAGAATGAAATTATCTGTTTGTAAGGTAAACTTGGACCGATCAATCACATGTTAACACACTCAGTAATTATGTTCTTAGTTTCAGCACTTAAAGATTTTACAATCTACACATCTTTTTATTCACTACTTTTGTTTTACAGAATTTTGTTTATATTCTCACAATTTATATATGAAATATATAGTGCATTAAAGATCCATTATGTGAAGGGGGGGGGGTAGATGGCCGAATGGTTAGCACGCGCGCGCTGTATCATACGGTCTGTCATTGAGTCAACTTGCGTGGGTTTCTGCTCCGGTTTCCTTCCACTGCTAAAGACCCCTATGCGCAAGCGAATGATTGAAATAAAATTGAACCAAGTGTTAGTCCCGAAACGACCTAGTTTGTGTCGAGTGAACGTTAAACCCCATTTCTCTCTCTCGCATTATGTGAGAGATTAATCTGACTATCATAAGTCTTTCTTTTGGCTTCAACTGTTATATAACATAACAAGCTTAATTCAACTCTTTAGAACATCGGATAGCGATAATTTAAATAGATTTAAACATCGACAAGGTATGAAAAATTAACAGTAAAATGGACAACCAAGACTAAGTCTCGGTAGTCAAGTACTGTTGTTACGATAATGAATGATCTATGCTATTTCTAGTCATAACTTCGCCCAGAATAAAGTAATTTGAATGATATTTTCAATATATTCATTTTTCATTGTCTTTTTCAAATTATTATAGCATGAATGGCCAGCTCTCTATCTAAATCTTACATAATGCATCTTTAATCTACAATATTCTATTTGAATGATGTCTTTATTTCATGTCTTTTGACTTAAGCATAAAATCTATAATATTTCTACTGTAATTTGTTCCAAAATACTTTATTTTTCTTTTTACATTATGTAATTCCTGATTTGTGAGGAACCAAGTTGTTATGGAAACACATGTTATTATTGTCACACCCCGCCTTTCAAAAAAACAAAGGGGACTATAAAATGGGTTTGTCTGTTAGTCTGCCTGTCCATCACAATTTATGAACAGGATAACCCTGCTTCTAATTGAGGTAGACTGTTCAAATTCTGTGTATTTGTTCATTAGGTGAATGTCTTGATAATGAGCATTTTCTGTCTGGACTAATCAGAGATAAACAATTTGATTTATGGAGATTTATTCGTCAGATGAATATCTTGACGATCGTGTGGACATTCACTGCTTAGACAAACTATTTGATTGGTCCAGCCAGACTTTGATTCTATTTGAGTGCGAATGATGAAACTTGGTTTATAGTTTTATCACATCAATACCTTGACTAAGTTAAATGATGAACATTCTTCTCTCAGGTGAAGCACAGATAAGTAATTTGATTTGTCAGTGCTTTGGAACACAATCACTCTTGATTCTAATTGAGTAGAGTGATAAAATCTGCAAGTAATTAATGTGTGTCATCTATTTATTTTGGGAGTGGGGTTGGGGACATTGGACTCACTGTTGGCTTGTTGATATTAATATGTTTCGTGGTTTTAAATTCTAACTTCACTGCATGTAACATTACAGATGAACGAAACAAAAACACCAGGTTCAATGAGTCGCTTACATCATCGAAGTGTTTTTGCTTCCCCACTAGCAAGAGCACCATTATCAGTAACAAAAATACGATCAAAAACAGAGGTGAGAATTCTTAAAGTAGCATTTCGATATCAATTTATAATAGCCAACCATGTCCAGTCTTTGTTAAAGTTTCAATATTGTTATTAATTTATAATAGCCAACCACGTCCAGTCTTTACATAGAGTTAAAACATTCTACATTATGGCAATTTACAAGCTTATTGAATCTTACAAACCTCCATGTTTCTCAAATGCTAACAAAATGGTTTATAGTATGTGATGTTATTGAGAGATCAATTGGTATTATTCAGTTATCATATGATTGACATGAAACTTATACAGTCTTTCTGTTCATGAGGGGGATTGGATGGCCGAATGGCTAGCATGTGCGCGCTGTATCATAAGGCCTGTCTTTGAGTCAACTGGCGTGGTTTTGAATCCCCTGTAGGGTCGCCTGTCCAACGTCGTGGGTTTTCTCTGGGTCCTCAGGTTTCCTCCCACTGCTAAAGACCCCTATGCGCAAGCGAATTATTGAAATAAAATAGAACCATATGTTAGTCCCAAAATGACTAGTTTGTGTCGAGTGGACGTTAACCCCATTTCTCTCTCTGTCTCTCTTTCTCTTTCTGTTCATGAACCAAAAAGCCTATTAATTTTAAATTATTTTTGATTACTCGAACACCTGATTATTGGTACATGTTATGTTTATATTTTGCAAGGTAGAAGGTTACCTTGATCAGTTTTTAGTGTCCTGTAATGCAAATGAATAAATATGCGACGTGGACTGATCAGACGACTTCTGCTGCGGGCATATGTTGCGTTGCATGGACAACTATCTTTGTTGTAGCCCCTTTCATCTTTGAATGTTTGCATTAATGATAAATGCTTACTACTGTTCTCGTTTCTTTCATGACTCAATATCTAAGTTCTTGAATTTTGACATCTTAGTGTTTTTTATATGTAAACCTTGAATGCTAGCTTTTCAGTTATTTTGTCTTTAGCACTTGATACATATAAATACTGACTATATCCATGAACAACCCGAAACCTCCCCAAACTGCTGTTCTTTTGACCACCTCAAACTGTCCTATATATGTGAATAGCTCTGTGTTGTAGGAACATATATTAGCTATTGGGGTGCCAGAGCTATTCATGTGACCCAGACAGTTTGAGGTGGTCTAAGGAGCTGTAGTTAAAAGCGGTTAACCTCTAATTGGGGCTAATATTTTACGGCCATTTCATGTATTTTTTCAGACTCCAAAACAAAAGAGAAGATCAAGTCGAATACACCGAAAAATTTTATCGGAGCGTAATAAGATGGTCAAAAGTCAGGTTCAAGATCAAAGTCACATGTTTAGTCGGACCACGGTAAGCAGCGGTGACAGTGCTGTAAGTGGAGATTCGAGTCTAGCGTCAACGGGATCATATCAAGATTTTGCTGTGTGTATATTTTAAATTTCTTTCAGTTCAATGCACCAGCTCAATTTTCTATTAACCACGACAGAGAAACATTCTCTTGATTCTGTTTTAAAATATAACAAAAAACACTGTCTTCATTAGTCCAGTTGGTGTAGAAAAAATTAGGTCAAAGAGTACAAATCTAATGAAAAAATTTGAGTTCAGATTCAGATAAAAATTCAGATTTATATCTCTGATTGTCTTTTCATGGATTTTGAATTCCTTGCAAACTATAATATTGTTTAAACATACATTATGCAAGAGCTAAATCTGCCTATTGCAGGTCTTTCTTTAGGCCTAAAATGTTATATAAACTATTAATTAGACATTTATTAACAAAACAAGACCATAATAAACTCTCGATGGCATAGGAATTATAGGATACTTGAGATCTTAACTAGATTAATTTAATTTAAAAATGGGAAAGCGAGGCTAAGTCTCAAATATACCAGTGCCCTGGTTACCACAATGCACACATCGCGTCAAAACAACAAGCAATATCTTAGCTCAGAATGAAGTAATTTGAATGAAATTTTGAATATTTTCATTTTACATTATCAGTTTTTGAGCTATTATAGCAAAAATGGTTAGTTCTTTATCTAAATCTTACATAATATATCTTAAGTGGAATATCAAAATATATATCAGTCTAAAAATGTTCAATTCAATTCAGTATTTACACAGATATAATGAATTAAAAATTTCTCAACATTAGCATCCTCTGCAGAGGTATAAATCGGTCTGTGGTCAAATCAAGCAATCTCCATCTGTAATCTTCACTACTATCAATTTGCGTACCGCACATTTTAACATGGATTAAGCAGTGAATAATTAGATATTATACAAAAAATGAAAATGACGATCAGAGAAAATTAAAATTAATAGAATAGGGCTGTGTATTGTAACAAAGCCATACATATTCTGATACACAAACTCTGTTTATTTGAATTTAAATGAATTAGATGAAGACGACCATCAAAAATGAAAGTAGAATTAAAATATTCATATGCCAGATTTCATATTGCAGAGTATCAATTATATTATAATAAATCAATTTTTTGGAGGTCCTAGTTAGTATGTAAAGTGAATAGAAAAGAATGTTTAGTCTGTTGTACCCTCACAGATCCCCCTTTCCCATCATTTTGTTTGTGTGAATGTGTTGATTCAAATGTTTATTTTTAAAAAAAAAAAAAAGTTCTAATGCTTCACAATCATCTACTAATATCTCATGTGTCACATCCAATACCCAACCCCTTTCATACTAATATCTCACAACCAATACCCAGCCCCTTTCATACTAATATCTCACATCCAATACCCAACCCCTTTCATGCCAATATCTCACAACCAATACCCAACCCTTTCATACTAATATCTCACAACCAATAGCCAGCCCCTTTCATTTTGTAAATCATCATGTTAATTACTTTCACTTTCAAATCCATGTTTAATACAGAACAAATTCATTGATTAATCAGTTTTTTAACGATTTAAATAAAAACAAAAAAATATTTTTGATAAAAATTTGATCATGCATGTCAAGAAAGTTTGTGGATGTACTAGCATCAAATTGGTTAATGCGGGGCTTGACATGAGCAAATGAATGGCAAGTAAATGACTACACACACCAAACAGTAGCTTGGCTAAAGAAAAAAAAATGTGAACACAATTTTCTACATCCACCTTAAGTAGTCTTGATTATCCAGACTCAAGAAAGAGTATTCGTTTTAAATCAGTCTGGAAGTACATGCCTACATTTTTTATACGCCCACATTTTCATGTGGACGTATTATGCCGTCGCCCCTGTCCGTCCGTCCGTCCACAATTGTTTGTGGACTCTCTACATGTCACAATTCTTATCCGATTTTGACGAAACTTGAAATATAGGTTTATCCCCAAAAGATCTCGGCTGCTTTCGATATTGGCATGTATCGGATTGAAACTTCATGGATTATGGCCCCTGATTGTACGAAAAATCACGTTTTTAGCTTGTGGACCCTATAGAGGTCACAATTTTTATCCGATTTTGACGAAACTTGAAATGTAAGTTTATAACCTAAAGATCTCGGTTCCTTTCGATATTCGCGCATATCGGACCGTAACTTTCTGAATTATGGCCCCTGATTGTACGAAAACTCGCGTTTTTAGCTTGTGGACCCTATAGAGGTCATAATTTTTATCCGATTTAAAAAACCGTATTATTATATCACCGTTACACCCTAAGGATGACTGAGTTCGAATTTCGTGAAAATGGCCCAAAATTGACAGACAAAATGGCCGCCGTTCGTTCTCAAATAGCGTAAAAATATGGTATATCAAGGTTGTGGACCCTAAAAGGGTCACAATCTTTATCGGATTTATTTGAAACTTGAAATGTAAGTTTATAACCCAAAGATCTTGGTTCCTTTCGATATTTGCGCATATCAGACCGTAACTTCCTGAATAATGCCCCCTGATTGTACGAAAAATCGCATTTTTAGCTTGTGGACCCTATAGAGGTCATAATTTTTATCCGATTTAAAAAACCGTATTATTATATCACCGTTACACCCTAAGGAAGGTTGAGTTCGAATTTCGTGAAAATCGGCCCAAAATTGACAGACCAAATGGTCGCCGTTCGTTTTCAAATAGCGTAAAAATATGGTATATCAAGGTTGTGGACCCTATAGAGGTCACAATTTTTATCCGATTTTGTTGAAACTTGAAATGTAAGTTTATAACCCAAAGATCTCGGTTCCTTTCGATATTTGCGCATATCAGACCGTAACTTCCTAAATTATGGCCCCTGTTTGTACGAAAAATCACATTTTTAGCTTGTGGACCCTATAGAGGTCATAATTTTTATCCGATTTAAAAAAACGTATTATTATATCACCGTTACACCCTAAGGGCGGCTGAGTTCGAATTTCGTGAAAATCGGCCCAAAACTGACAGACAAAATGGTCGCCCTTCGTTCTCAAATAGCGTAAAAATATGGTATATCAAGCTGGTTTGTAAATATATAGTAACAGTCAGCAGTGCGCGGACAATTAAAGGTCACACCTCGTTTGAAATCGGTCTGGAAGTACATGCCTAAAAATTTTTGTAAATATATATTAACAGTCAGTGGTGCATGGACAATTAAAGGTTGCATCTCGGCGCATGCACGATAGTGAGCTTAATATTTAGACAAACAAATTCAAAAAGCATTTTTATTACGATATCATCTCATGTCAAGACCTGGCTGGTTAAATTATTAATAATACTCATGTAATAGTAGAATTATAGACCACTTCCCTTCATTTTCAATTTCATTCTAATAAATATTTTTGATTCATTCAGATCCCCACAAAGCGAGCCAAACTGACTGTTTAAACTATAAAGTCAGTTAGAAAGGTAACTATAAAGTTACAAAGACAGATAGCCTTGGTTATATTTTGCACGGCTTAAAACTTTCTTGGCATGCAGATTTTATAAAATGTCATTCCTGAGATTTTCATGTAGTTTGGTCCAATCATGTTTCTTATGATTTTATTAAAACTTATGAACATTTGGTATACAAAATATAGAAAGGCAGAATGTTATGAAATCGATCACCATTGTCAACAAATTTATTAGTTTTTAACTACAATATCGTGGAAGTTGAATCTCTAAATGGAATATCAGTTCAAAAGTGGTTCAGTTTCTATCAGGATTTACAAAGATAAGATGTATTAAATATTTTGGAACATTCAACGTCCTCTACTGACGATATAAACAAACCAATGCTACCTATATATGTGTTGAGTAAAATTTTTTTTGATGGGCCTCTTTTTAATCCGATTGAATTCCAGGTGGGAGATTATCTGCTGTTGATATTGTAATTCTGTTTTCTTAATTCAAGTAACGATACACCGTTGGCATATATCGCTAAAATATCAAATCTCCATGCTAATATGTAGTCAGATTGATCATTTACTTAAACAAACAGAACGAAATCAAAATACTGATGCTAGATAATGTCCTAACTTGGATTCGATAAGATTTAAAACAGGCCTATCGTTAAATTTTCATTGACATCAAAATGGTCGGGGCTTATTTCATAGCGAGCAGCATAGATCGATGAAATTTCAATTCATCATATCTTTTTAAATACTGAATGGGATTGAATCATCATTGGACTGATATTCCTATTAGTATTAGAGATTCATCTTTAACAATATTGTAGTTTAGAAGAGATTCCTATTGCTGAAAATGGTGCATCGGACCTTTAAATGTTAAATATTGAAATTAAGTATATTTTAGCATAGATTGCGCCGTGAGAAATTAGATATTTTCCAACACACAAAAGGGATTCACAACTTTAAATCTCAGAAGTGTCAAATATTTTTTTTTTGTTAAAAAGCATGCAAAAATTCAGTTTGTTTACATCAGAAGTTTAAAATAAAATGGTTTTGGTTTCAAATTAATTTTGAAAAATGCACTCACTAATAATTAGTAATATTAGTTTAAAATTCCTTATCCAAAATGTTTTTCTAAATATTGGTTTCTTGTTTTAAGCTTAGATTAAAATCTTTATCTGTGTGCTAGACTTTTTTTTGTACCTGTATCAGTTTCTGTCTGTCTTCTTATTGTAGTTTGTTTCCTACTATATTTTGATTTTTTCTTTCATACTCTGTATTTTATTTTTGTCTGCTAATTTTTCTACTGTATTATTTATGTCTGCAATATTTCTTCATTTTTCTCATTTACCATTTATTTTATGTTTGTCTGCTTATTTAGTTTTCTGCTACATTGTATATCTTTTCTGCAATATTTTTTTTTTTTATCTGCTATATTGTGCTTATTAAGTTTCTTGATATGATCAACTACAATGTATTAAAAGTAAAGAGAATGGTTTGTATCTTAATGCTGTCACTGTCTTGTGTCTTTCAATATATATATTATATATATATTATCATGGTACATATATCATCTATACAGCTAGATAGTGTGTTGGTGCGAGTGAGAATCGACTGCAAGGTTGGCAAATTTTAAATTCAAACATACAACTTTAGATGTGCCATTTAACTTCGCAAGAATAAATTAAGGGGGAGGGGGGAGATAAAAGCGTTAAGTACGTAAATAGTCATGCATGTATATGCCATATAGGTTAGCCACCCCTGCTCTACTGGGTTTCAATAAAAACCCTGAGGTCATGTTAATATGATCAACTGTGCATGAAGAATTCTCTTTTCGACTATTCAAGAATGTTGACATCCCAGTCTGATTAAAACACAGATACTATATTATGGTTTCAAAATTTCTTTGTGTGTTTTCTACACCAGGATCTGGAAGTGTTGTTAAATAACCCATGTTCTTGGTGATGTGAGGAATTACCATAGCAAATCAAATGGACTGTTGAGTCGATTCTTATCATGTGGCTCGGGGAAACTGAGTAGACATTCACACCAATAGAAAACATAACGAAGCAAACATTGTATTTACGAATAGCCACTTAGAACACAGTCGCTCACATCACTCCCAACTTGACCTCCAAGTGTCAGTGATGCAGGACGGAGGGGCTGACAAGGACAGCTGTCTAGTCGTTCGGATGGGATGAAAAACCGAGGTCCCGTGTACTCATTGGCGTGCACGTAAAAGATCCCTTGACAGTTGGAATTCGATATAAGGGTAGGCCGTAGTGCCGCTGTTCGGGCAAAATTTCCCTCATAGCACACTGTATGGCGTATGCCCGTCTTCATTAGCCCAGTTCGGAGCAAAACAGTAGGACGTTAAACCCCATTTCATTTCATTTCATGACCTCCAAGTACAACCGGTCAGATGTTCATGTAGTGGAGGCCATTGAAACCAAATATAGATCTGTATTGTAATGAGATTGGTAACGCCCACCCTACTGCCAATTATAGTTGCATAAATCTAAACTGCCAGAAAGTGTATGTTGTCAGTAATCAACATTAATTTAAAGATGTGCATGGCCATTTGAGGTATTCTGAATCCACTGCAAACTGCAATATTGGGAAGATGAATCACTAAAGTGAATAACAGTACTTAGAAAGATAAGATGAATTAAAAATTTTGAAATATAAACAATTCGGAGCCACCTACAAATTTTGCGTCAACTCTTTTAAAAAGAACTATTTCTTATCGTGATCCTGTTCCAGCCGGGAGATTGTCTAAGTACTGTTTAGTATTGATTAAGTTGTGAAAAATTAGATATTGTCAGAAAAAGGCAAATGATGTACAGGGGCTATAGTAAGCAGATTTTGTAATTAAAAAGATACGATTTATTTTGAAAAATACGTTTTAATGTGGAATTACTGAATAAATATGTGATATTTATATATTGTTTCATTACTTTCAGCATGGATTAGCTCCTAATGCCAGACCGAACTGTAGAAGTAGCTGTGCCATGATTTTAAGTCCGAAGAAGAATTTATTCTAATTTATAATACTCTAAAGTTTATTATTTTACAAGATAATGTTTATAAACTAAAAGACTTCACATGGGTTGTAAATATTGTAAATAATATTTTATTGCGATTCGTTTTGCATGTGTGGATAAAAAGGCATTCACCTAAAGAAAACATGTATTTTTACAACAACTACAAATTGAATTGAGAATAAGAAGATCCAGTCGTCATCATCATCCTCCAGCACCCCTCGAACACCAAAAATTATGTTTAATTAATACCATAGAAATGCAAATATTATTAAATCTGAGAAAAATGCACAACCACTAAATATATTGATGTGTATACAAAGTTTCATAACTATATTTTAAACAGTTGATGATATATGCTTCGAAAACCGGGACAAAAGAATGAAGAGTGTTCAATTCAATATCTTTCCAATAACTTCGTTGGGCGCAGGATAATTAAAGGACTAAACCACACCAATTGAATTAGGAAAAGTTTTAAACATCAGTTATATATTGGAAAACCTCACTATAGATACAGTGAAACTTGTATTTCTAATTGGGCATTCAAGAACGTTTTATAAACCCTTATAGTATAGAAGTGTGATCATATATTGTTGTCACTCATGTTGATCCTTTCTGATAATTACTTCATAGGTTGTTGCCCCTGATGAAAAAAATAATAACACATCCTTTATAGACTTTCAGGTGACTGAGCTTCTGTGGATGTGTGTTTTGTTACCTGGCAACCTATCTTTATATTTAAAATCAAATACAATTTGAAATTTCAAAGTCTGTTAACTTTTGTAAATTATAATTGTATTAAAAATTCACTTAGAGGGTGATCATTTTGTGTACTGGTAAATGTAAATAGCAGGTTGTACATTTGTTTCAACTTTTTAGGACATCACAAACACATGGGTAGATTTTGTAAAAATGGCTGTTATTTGTTTGGCTTTTAATTGTTATGGGATATAAATACAGCACATGTCTTGACAAAGATGCCGGATTTACACCCCAATTTAAAAAAGTATGTTACAGTGTTATGCAGAGCAAAGTGAAACTTCTGTTAAGTGAACCTGATGGAATGTGTTTAAGCGTCTTGGAACAGCAACAAAAATGGCTAATCTGGTTTCTTTTACTTCTGACTGCCAGCAGACAGGTGGTTCAAATTGTTCAAAATTGTTAATTTAGGAAATTAGGGCATCTTTGTCAAGGTGTAAAGCAAGGGTCAGTGATTGTGTTGTATAAGCCTAGCTTGACAAATGAAGATGGATTTTTCTCAATCTGTTTAAAATACACATCTATATTTTGTTTCGTTTTTTTTTTTTATATATATACTTTTGATGTTCTAAGCTTCAAATAGATCCGACTTGATTTTGATGGAGATTTACATCCGGGATCAGACAGGTGAACTTCAACTGAATTCGGTCTTTTGGGGTTTTTTCTCTGATCTATAATTGTCTCCCATAATTCAGTGCACACCTCGACTAAAGCTTTACTAAATAGACAATATTTTATTGGCTGACCTATTATATCAAAAATCCTTTAAGAGGAATAAAACTAAATTTGAAATATAAAAAAACAAAACAAAGTAGGTTCTGTGTTTTAATTGGATTGGATTTTATTACCACTGAAAGTGAAAGTAGTTTTTGTTTTATTCTGTTATAACTTTATCTTACACCTGTTAAATATGAGTTTTAATGTACCGTGTAATTAGATAACTGTCTTTGTTTTTATGTGCAATAAGTTATAAATTTGTGTTCATATTTTTGTCACTTTTCATTATTTGCCTTTTTTTTTAAAAAAACAAAACAAAAAAAACCTTAAAAGTATCAAATTCAGAAATTCTTCAATTGTTTTTTGATGTCACGAAATTTTAAATGGATTTGTCAGCATTTGTTTCATTTAACATTTATATCTATATTGATATAAATAAATATATAAGCTCGAAAAGGTTTTCATGTTGTTAACCTTTTTTGGCATGGTCTTCCCTTGTCAGTGTTGTAAGACGGAGGACCTGGTCAGAAACAGTGTCTAGTCGCTAGGATGTGACAAAAAAACAGATAAACAGATCCCATGTACACATAAAAGACCCCTTGACAGTTGAATTCGAAATAAGAGTAGACCATAGAGCCACTGTCAAAGCAAAATTTGCCTTATAGCACACTGCATGGCATATGCTTGTCTTCATTAGCCCAGTTGGAGCAGAAAAGTAGGACATTAAACCCTATTTTATTTCATGTTTGTAACCCTATTGTATAAGTAGATATTACAAAGCATTTAAATTTGAAATACACTAGTATATCTATAATTATTTTGTTCATGTAATACTGACAATATACATAATATCTAGAAGAAAATATATTTATATAACTATATATTATTAGTTAATATTACATAGCCTTTAAATTTAACACTATATATGGCTTTTTATGTACATCATTATATTTTAATATCTTCAAAAGGATATCACTTGTCTAAATGTTGCATTATTTCATACTGGAAATTAAATTCACAATATTTTATTATTAATACCGGTATGTAAATGTTAGAAATGAATATATCAAAGAAAAGTGTCAGTAGTTAGTTAACTGCGGATGGTTAAGGAACAATCTTAAGATGGAAATCACTACTTGTTTCAGGGTCAGATTTACCCACTTGTGGGGACCAGGTCAAACTGATCAGTGGGCCCCAAAATTTATATAAATGTTTGCATGTTTCAGTATGTTCTGGGTCCTATATTTATTGTACAGGAGCCCTTAAGGTTTTGAATATATTATATAATGAAATACTCAGTGTACACTTGAAGCAAGGTTATAGCTGGCAGAACAAATTAGTTTCAGTGAGCTATAGATCAAATTGCCTGCTATGCTAAAATCAGCCCTGGTCTTAAGTTAAAAGTTTTTCACATTAAAGCGGAATTGTTCTTGTGATATATAACCCATTATATATGTCTTGTGTATTTTTATGTTTTTCTATTGTTTCCCCCTGGGGTCAGTAAATTTTTGATGAATTGAATTCAGGCCAAGTAAGTTATACATTAGCATTTCACATTCTTAGAATCATTCCATTTTATAATAGTTCACAGCATTTCTTTATACAGTCCTACTCACATTTCCAACAGTTTTGAAGTTGAATTTCAAAAAGATCTATCTGCTGTCAATACAATAGTGGGGGGAAATGGTATCAAATATCATAGATAAATAGTTGATTTCTGTCATTATTAATGACTGTTGATGACAGTTAACAATTAATGCTAGATAGTCCTTATAAAGTTGGATTTTACAAAATATCAAGGTTGTGTGTAGGACTGTATAATATGGTACAATTTCACTTTTTTAAACTTTGTGAAATAGAATAATTTCACAGGATTAATGTTATAGAATATAATTAAATAATCTGTAGTATATAACAGTAGCATTGTTTTAGTTGTATTTATATATGTATAATATATGCTACTTGAACAAACATCATTCTCCCAAGCAGAGTTGTCTTCCCTTGCTTTTCACACTGAATGCTGGATAGCAAGACCTGCATGGGGGGAATGGTACATCCCTATGTAGAAAGATGTATATATGTAATGTAAATAACTTGAAGTAAAAACACACTCTAACTAAAGCTAGAAATACTGCTAGTGCTTTATTCTTAATTCTTGTCTTTCTCTCTACTTGTAACTTGCAAATAAATATTATTAAATGATCAAATTTTATCTTTAATTTTGTATTGTGGCATACATATTTCCAAAATGTCCAGTGTGTATTGTAGTTGGAAACATCACACCTGGTTTGAATACCAACTTTAGTTGTTTATGCCCTGGCCCTTTTGTATCTTGTGAGTGCTTTAAAATGCAGAATCTATTATTCTATGTGCCTTGTACTCACCCTGAGACCAAACTGTATGGTGTTATGCCCGTCTTCATTAGCTCAGTCGGAGTAGTAGGACGTTAAATCATTTCAATTTAACGAGAATTTATTAATACTGTCATTCAAACCAGATAACATATTCCAGAAAAATTTCGAAATTCCACACAGACACGCTTGTCGTCCTTTACATATAAACAGCACAGCCGACAAAGCTACAAATGGACATTATTTCTTTAGCAATGGCCCGAGAAAACCCCCTTAGAATCGGGGGCGATCGCCCGAAGGGCCGGTCGGACAAAAAATGAAAAAAATAATTTTGTCCAATTCGTCTCAAAATCTTTTTCTGCTGAACATTATATTGGGGGGGGGGGGGGGTATTGAACCGGCCATGGAGCGATGATGATCATGTTGTATGTGGCCGTTGGCTTTAACGGGCCCCCACGCCATCACTGGAGTCTGAAATGGGCTGGTATAATAGACCTTCTGGGCTGGGTGTGGGCCGGAATTCGGAATCCTGCAATGGGGATTCCGAATTTCATCCGAAAATTTCATCGGATTCACCCGACATTGTCGCCCGCAAATTTACTAATTATTATGTCACCTGCACCCTGTTTGTGGGGATACGCCAGAAACATCTGCCGATGGTTCGTAACTCAAAAAAAAAAATCAATTTTATGGCCTCAGAAAAATTTGATGATAGCTGGTCTGTTGGCTGAATTTGGCAGAGATTATAATCAGATATGCCACACAATCGCATATTTGGGGTTCTTTTTTCAAAATTTCCCCCGGGGGAGAGCCCAAAGACCTCCCGCCCGGGCTCCACGGTCAATAAAAGGGGCCGCTCCGCCCCTGCAACACTGCGAGGGGTAGCCTATGTATTTACAATATATGCAAGAGCAAGTTACCATTTCTCCTAGTTCGTGTCTGCGATATCACTATTGTCGAAGCAGACGTTATAAACTATCTTCAACAAATAAATAACAAAAACACTACAACTGCCATTTACTTATATATAATCTCTAAACAAAAATATATTTAAATATCACAGTCATCTTTATAAAATTTAACAATTTCGTCATTCTTGCCCGTTACTTTACACACATCTTCATGGAAATGATAGTTTTAAAAGGCTTAACCTTACTAAAATTGCAGCATAACTACGCCTACCCAATAAAAAATAAACCGTTTCAAGTCATTGCATTTTTCGGAAAATATCAAATTTTCCACGCCACGGCTTATTAATCGACGCCACAATGCACTCAAAACTGATTATTTAACATTTAATTAAGAAAACAAAATCAAAATATTAACAGTAGATTATCTCTTGGCTCGGATTCAATCGGATTAAAAAAGAGACCCAAACAAAGGGTTTTAGCCTTTAGGAAGATTTCAGCTAATTGGCTTTTAACCATATCCCGTTTATACCGTCTGTAAATCCGTGTTTACAGCCCTATGGCACATCCAAATTAAATACTGATTACTGACTATATTCTCTAATAAATAATATACAAACATGTATTAAGTTATATTACACATTTTGATAATAAATAAATTATTGCGTCAATATATTACAGTAAACAATCAGTATCTCGAACTATATGGAAAGTAACTCTTATGATCAGAATATACATATGAGCGAGGCCGGGATCGAGCATCTAAATTGCGATAAGCGCGATCGTAACGGTAATCGTAATCGTCATCAAAACTCGTGTCGGCATCTAATGTGGATTGATAGGGGTTAACAGCTGGAACATGGCTAGCGCCCGAAGGGTGAGAATGGTACTGTCTAGAATAACTGGAATATAGCGGACCGGCTAGTTTTGATCTGGCAGCCATTAGGACATCCGCAGCGGCCTTTACTGGATCTTCACCTTCGGCACCCGTCTTAAAACTCTCACTTAAAACTGAAATAATCATTACAAGACAACTGTTATTAGATTGTACCAACGTTTTAGAAACAAACACATTGATAAACAAGCCAGCACCCATAGGCCGATATAAACATTCGGGTGCCATCAAGTCGCTTGATTCTGCTCTGTTGGTATCATAAATGCACCGCAGTCTTATCTAAAACAAAAATCTACAGAGAAAGAGAAATGGGGTTTAACGTCCACTCGACACAAACTAGGTCATTTCGGGACTAACATGGTTTAATTTTATTTCACTAATTCGCTTGTGCCTAGGGGTCTTTAGCAGTGGGAGGAAACCGGAGGACCCGGAGAAAACCCACGAGGTTGGACAGGCGACCCTACTCCTTGTCACGTACAACCGGGGATTCGAAACCACGCCAGTCAAAAATCTAACTCTTTAACGCAAAAAATGACCCAATAACAATTGGACCAGTTAATATTTCGGAAGCAAAAAATATAAAAATAGAAGCTCCGCAAATGTTTGAAACGGTCATGCATTGATAATACCCTTTTCATTTATAACGACTAAAATAACACAAGACCTATATCCCAATAAAATATCTGGTAAATTTATCCCTACCTTTACTAGGTTCCTTACTCAGTCTAGAAAGACTAACAGCTCCACCAGGTGACGATGTATCCGACAGTGTTCCACTGTATTTCATACTATCCATATCACGTTTCAGACGATGACACAGTGCCAACGCCCCCTTGGCCACCTCTCTATCAGGAATGACATCAGAATCAAAGGCTTTCTGTAGGGTAACTTCATTAAGTTCGGAGAAATTGACCAACTGAATCAGTTCTCTAATTTGATCATCGGTTAGGGTGTCTTTTTCTGAAAAGGAATCGATTCTGGTTTAAACAAAAGGACACAAGGGTTTCAAATCTTACTATTCTGCACATCAGTAGTAATGAAGACGGGTGCTATGGACTTCTCTTATTTCGATTTTCAACAGGGATCTTTCACTTTCTGCCAAGAATATGCACACGCCCAGACGCTTTCCTTCGTTGGGCCCTCCCTTCTACACCACCAACAAGGGGAAACTGGACTGGACAGCGGAGGCCCAAGACTGTTCATTTAGGCGCTATTCAGACAGACTGATGAAAAGATCATCTGTCCACCACCGAGACGTTGTTGTGGACACCCTTTAAAGCGAATTTTATAGATTCATTCCTGACCATGACACAGCCCAAATAATTTGAACCTGATCCCAAGTTTACAACTGTAATGGTGAGTAATGCCAGTAATAATCTACGCAGACAAATTTAACAATTCAAAGAACGCATATGATGACCACGAGTGATAATACCATCAGATTTTCAATATGCTTACCTGTTTTAAAAATATATTCTAAGACATTATAAAGCTGGTTGTTATCCTTTCTTCCATCTTGTGGGACTGCTGAAGTGAGTAGCTTAAACGTTTCTGATGTTAAAACTTCCTTTCGGGCCATTTCTGAGGTATAGGTATCGACAAGTTTGCAGGCCTGTTCTGATTGATTTGGATCTTTTGCTGCCTCGACAACAATATCGTGCACGACAGACGGCGAAATGGTACAAAGATCTTCAGCTGAGAGCGTGTTGAACATTTCTCCAGCAACCTTAACCAGGAGATCTCTGCAAGAACATCCGTGCGTTGTGGCGATTCTCAGAACTTTGGTTAACCATTCTGGGGTTATGTAAGGCAAGTTATAGGACTCTTCTGGCAAAGCCAACAAAACAGCATCGAGCACTTTTGCAACCTCGGCCTCTCTTTTTTCATTTAACACTGTTGGTTGTGGTTTTGTATCATCTTCATTTTGTTCTTCTGTGTCTTCTTCGGCGTTTTCCTTCTTGATCGGCACATCAGGTTCGAGAACCTTCGACACGTACTGGACAGCCAAACTAGCCAGCTCGGACATCCTTACCCCATCCTCTTGACCCTTGACTAGAATTTTCACAAACCACTCAACGGGCAGGGAGCACAGACCTGAAGTAGTTTTGTCTTCTGTCGAATCTAACCTTGAAGTAAAAGAACTAAATTTTGTGGGTGGCTTCAACCAACATTCCACGAGGGCGTCAACACACATAGACACAATTCCGGTTTTCTCCGCAACTGTTCCAATCTTACCACAATTCAGCAACAATGTCACAATGGACTGAATTGATCTGCTTAATTTGGCTGAGGTGATTGTGTCGTGAAGATATTTATCGGCTAAATCCCCTAAATTGCCAGGTCCTTCCATTTCCAGACGGGAAGCTGCACACCTTATTTGGACAACACTGTTTTTGGTCATAGGTAAAGCCATATTGTAGCAGAAATCAGCTATCATTCCAAACATCTCGGACCCACCAGGGAAGTCATTTAATCGTACAATGTTCTCTTTGGAATTTTTGTCTTTTGTTAGATTACGAAAATAGTCCGATTTTGCATAAAGCGGAAATTTGTGAAGTTTGAATTCAGCACCATCTACGACCACCGTGATATCAGAGAGTTCACCAGACTCCCGGAATTTAGAAAAATCCATAATGAAGATAGATTCTCAATTTTGCTTCCAGAAGAATCAATGGTGGTAGGCTATTCAAATGACCTCGCAGATATATTACTTTGGTCGGTCCTGTGAAAAGAATGAATTCGATATTTAATAACTTTACCCACTCCACGGCTAATAGGTATAAAAGAATAGGTCAGTATTTTTTATTTACTTATATATGTGAGTTGACTTATTAACATGGTCTTAGGTGTATTCTTTCGATATAAAAGTAGCCTACGCGATATTGTCATTCTATATTTAGTCTATATTGACCCTATTGATCATGATCCTTTTATGTACTGCATTCCTAAAGTGACCTCTTAAAGTAAGTGCAGTAGGACCACACTACATGCAACACAGACAAAACCGTTAAGACAACCCAAAGGACAACACAAACTACACAGACATTGTAAGCAATAAACAGCAAATATCAAATCAAGTGAGTGGATCAGGTGGCCAGTCTTAAACGTCCACTGCCCGCCTTATCTACCATGGAATATATATATCTTTATAAAATACTATCATCTTCGAAGAATGCACTAGAAAAGAGTTCATTAAAAATTCAAATAATAGTTCTTCCTTTATAATACCTGTCTGTAGTAACTGAGATAATGGAGAAAATCTAGTTAATTCAGTCATTTAAATATATAGCCCAACAAATATCATTGACTATAATATATGCACAACCTTACCTGTATGGCTTTTAATTTAAACTGGTTACAACGCTTCTGTAATCTACTTAATGGGTCATATACTTATTATAAAGTGTTAACTATTGAAATTACTCGCACAATACATGTATAGGGCCGACTATTGTCAAACGTAAAAGGTTTGTATCGCATTAGGTGTTGTCATTTCACGAATGTCCAGGCAATATGCGATTTAAGCTGATCATTCTGTTGAAATATTTAACGACTGGTTGATAAAGTATAAAGTATTTGTCCAACTATTGGTAACGTCTGATTACGTTTAGACATGTTTTCCCGCCTCTATGAAAAGATCGATAGAGGTTTGATGGATAAAGATTATGTATAACACAATATTTTATAACGTTTACTATTATTTGCAATCAGATTAACAAAGCATTAAGAAGAATAATGGAGTAAAACGTCAGATTGTTTGCTTCATAATGATATAACCTTATAGGCCTACTTTCATTTTCTTTGCTTATAGTTATATAGGTTATGGAGCAGACTTTTTTCTTAGCTCGTCTGAAGGCTTTTTCTACCCATTGACTGGGCCAGGCCCGTAGCCGGAGTCCGGACCTAAAGGGGAGGAGGGGAGGGGGGCAACAAGCAACACTGGTCCAGACCCGTAAACAGAGTCTGGAACCAAAGGAAGGGGGGGGGGGGCTAACAAGCATGCCCGGCGACAAACACACTCGTGTAAGCTGCTTGCGGCGAAATGAAATGGGCTCAACGTCCTATTATTCCACCCCGACCTAGGCCTATTGAAGACGGGCATATATAGTATGCTATGGGGGAAATTTCGCACGGACAGTGGCAAAATGACCTACTCTTGTATTGAATTCCAACTGTCAAGATTGCTTTAAGTGCCCGCCGATGTGTATGACCTCGGGTTTTCGTCCCATCCGAACAACTATACGCTGCCCCTTGCCAAGCCTTTCGTCCTGCCCGTAGCTAGGAGGGGTGGGGGGCGGGGGGGGGGAATACGAAGCCAACAACCATATTTAATGCCGACTGAGATTGGTTGGGCGCTTACGACTTCATCAATGGAGTGCCCAAAACGGCATGATTGGCGGGGTGCTTCATCCCGGAGGGCTCCCATAATGCCGATATTGGTGGACCGCCCACGACCCGACGCCTGAAGAAATCTACTATAAGAAAGCCAACTGGAGATTGTAGGAATTTTTCCAGGGTCCTGTTTCTTGAAATCTTAACTAAAGATAAAATCCAAATTTTAGTAGATACTTCAATTTTCATTGGCTAAGCACTAAAATCAATTTGATACTATCCAATCAAATTACTAGAATTTGGATTTTATCCTAGTTAAAATTTCGTGAAACAGGCCCCAGGTCAAATTCACGATGGGGATGAGATTGATTCAAGGCGTGATAATCTTCACAATTCAAACAAGTCACACTCTCACCCGATTCCAAACTTTTCGTTTTCCTCATAAATTATTACAGGTCGTTAAAGTCGTATTCCTTCCTTCAAATTTTATAATGTTCACATGAAAATATCATAATACGTTAATATCGCAAATTCTGCCTCAAAATTGAAATTTTCCGTCATTTTCATAGTTCCTCAGGTTCAAACCCTACTTTCCAAAATGTCTTGGGGGAGGAGCACCCTAAACTCTTCTCCGAAGAGAAGCGCGTCGGTAGGTACATCGGCGCCCCCAGAAGCTTCCAATGAAAATTTGAAAATTAGACCGCCGTAAATGCTATTTCCTGCGCTTTGGGACAGTAAGGGGGCAGAAATTGAAAATCAAACAAATTTTTTTTATAAAAACGTGTAAAAACTAGTCATATAAACAGTAAAATTATTTCATTTCAAAAACACACATAGTGACAGTTCTGATTTGAATGCTGTATTAGACTTGAATATTTAAAAAAATTAGCCACCGCAATTGCTATTTTGGGACAGTAGACAGGAATATGAAATCGAAAAATACATAAAAACTGTAGTCTTAGTAATAGTAGATAGTAAAACTATCTCAAAATAGGCAGTTCTAATTTAAACATGAAATTGTCGCAAAATTAGACCTGAAAGTGTTTAGTCGTGGGCTTGTTTTTGTTTCATGATCTATTTTCGATTGAAAAGTCTCTTTTTTTCGCCCCACCCCCACCCACTTTTGTGTAGATACGGGCCTCGGAGGATCCGGCCGATCAGTCCACCAAATCGACTTGTCACTCTCCCAAATCATCCAAAACCAGTGGGCCAAGCATTCATGGACAACGTTCCACTGAGAAAACGATATGGTATCTAGTCATAACCATCTCAAAAACTTCTTCGACTTCATTAAAATCATGAATGCAAATGTCAAAAACTACTAAGAGATGAAAATACACACGAAACAAAGAACACCGATTTCCAAATTAAACGTCTCAGAACTAATGCTTTAATCGTGACAAAAACAACAAACACCGGTCAATTCATTGTGATGCAAATGTAAAATATCGGTTCAACTGGTTGAAAACATTTTCGGCTGTCTCTAAAATTCGGTGAATTAATCACTATCATCGCAATACTCAGATACGTTATCTTCTTCATCAGTTTCGTGGGCAAATAACTCGAAATATTGTCGTTTTGTAGGGTCAGCTAATTGGAGAATTAAAAAAAAAATTGCGTATATTACAATTGCATCCCAAACTTAGGCTGCCTATCTACAGCTAGCTCCGGCTGAGCGGGAAGTATGACGTAGATTGGTCGCTGCGTGCAGTATGTTACAATTGTTCATGTTGGGGGTTCAGTTACAGAGGTAGGCCTACTTGATGACTGCCCTGTGCAATGCGCAGTTTTGTCCATTTCTGGCGGTTTGAGTGGGTAGGTTGACTAGGTTCACAAGATGCAAGATGGTCTGGTACGAGGACATTAATAACACTACAGTTGCAGTTCTTATGTCTATGATAGTATGATCCATTCAATGATTGTACTTGTTGATGGAAAAAGTTTGTTTAAATTTCAACCCAATTGATCTTTGGTAACCGTATCCTGGCTTTTCCGACTTAGAACTTTTCAGTCAGCTCTCACGTTCGCTGTCGGCCAAAACAAATTCAGTCAACGGTGCAGAAATTGCGTAGCTATTCAATTATTAAATCCCATTTTAGTCGTAGTCCTATTAGTGATTTGTACGATCAGACGAAGTTTATTCGTAATTCTTGACTCTTAAAATATCAATACTCACCTCAAATTACCAATTACCACTTTCTTACAGTGATCGTGAGCCTAGGTTGTACTTTCGCACCTCCTTTCCTGGAGAGCTACCGACCAAAATAGCCTAGGTCACGTGAGGTCCAGGCAAAAGAACCTAATATAGTAAGTGCTGGTGCTGGGGGACTGCACCACACATAATTTACATAAAAACAAATACATGGACAAGACATCATACTCAGAAACCACAAATGTGAAATAAACAAACAATTCAAAAAAAAAAAAAAAGGTGAATGGATCCGGGGGCTATAGCCGTAAGCGCCCACTGACTTAATTTATTTTTGCACTGTTTTTCAACATTAAATTTTGGGAGAAAGGGTTGATGTAGCCCCAGAAGCTTTTCAATAGAATGTGGGAAAAGACTTATAGGGATTTTTAGGTGCATTTATTATGCTAAAATAACCTATTAAGTCTGACTTCGGCTGTTTTGGCATGGAAAGTGTATACTATTTTAGTATTATTAGTACAGACCAGAGACAGAACCTAGGGAAATCTGCGCCGCTTCGCAACAGAAATATTCCAGCCTTTTATATCGAGATTTAATTGGATATCCAATAATGAATGCGCAGTTGAAGAATATTCTTTTAAAAAACAACTTAAAACACATTTATTTAATCAGGCTTTTAACTGACTCTGTATACAATCGTTAACATGCCCATAATCTTGTTGTTTATGTTTGATTTACATTGTCACTTTGTAAAGTGCCCCTGAACATGTTATATGAAAGGGTGCACTATAAATATGCTGTAATAATAATAATAATAATAATATCTAGATGTAAGCACTGATCTATATTATATAGATCAGTGGATGTAAGGTACTGTAATTTGCTGAGGTTTGCCGAGTGGTGACAGACCTCTGGATAACCGCGACCGTGCTACATCCGGTATAAGGTACAAAGTCATGTGACGTCTCATGTGACTTCAATACAAACCGACCATTGCCACTGGACGTCGTGTGTTGCTTTGTTTATTAATTAATTTACTTGAAAGATTATGATGAAACACCCTGTTATCATCACCCTTTCACTGTGTATGTTAAATACACTTGCTGACAGAGTGACGTACACATTTGATGACTCAGTTGGTCTTGGTAGACATTTTGATGGTATTGGAGGGTTGAGTGGGGGTGGGGTAAGTATTATTAATATTTAGTATTACGGCATTTACCTGTTCCCGTACCTTTAATTAATAGACTTTTGATTATGTTTGGATTTCACAAAGGTGTTGGTATTTGAAGACAATGAGTTAATATCTTTATATATGAGAGTATTATTTTCATGAGGTGCACGTACCGGGAATGTAGTTCAACTCTGAACAGCGTGTCACACGTACTGGTTCTAGCGAGGTAAGCATGGTCTTACTTTCTCACTAACTAGATGTTCATTTATATTGTTCAGGCGTTGACAGGGACTGACACGCAACTGTTTAGCAGTAAAAAGTTGCCCAGTAAAATTGACTGGGTAGCGATTAGATTTTCAACAAGGATTCAATAGGACAGCTCCTGAACGTACAGGGCGAGTAATTAGACCTACGTTCAGAGCTGAACTACTGGCTTGGAATGCTGCTATGTGCCACTGATTTGTGATAATAAAACAGTTCTTTCATAGATTAGCCAACTTAGATCTGGGTGGAATCCAAGTAGAGTAGGATCGGGGGCCTCTAAATAAGAGGTTAATGTTCTCACATAGTTTGGGAACCCTTTTTAATCTTGAATTATTTCTTGATGTATTATATTTGTTTGATGGTTATCAGTCTCTGGTGGTTTGGTACGGTACTCGTGATAGACTCTAAAAGACATAATACATTCAGTTTTTACAATTTTTTCTGGTGCTTGGGCGAAAGATCCCAACTGGGCCCCTCTTGAGTGAGGGCTCCTTATGGGGTCAGGCTCATATGATCCTCCAGTCCCCAATCCGTCCCTGCTGGAATTCTGACTGTAGACTAATCTTTCACAAAAACATACCAGGAAGGTTTTTGGTTTTTAAAAGAATTTAAAGAGATATAGCCCATTTCAACCAAATATCCTTTTCCAGCAATTTTCAATTGGATTTCTTCTTGTATATTTAAACTGAATAGTTAATTATCTCTTTTTTTCAGGCAACATCCAAATTATTAGTGAATTATCCTGAGGAACAGAGAAGTCAAATATTAGATCTTTTATTCAAGGTAAATGATTTGGCTTGGTTGAAACTTTAAATAATTAAAAGATGCTATAATACTTTCAGTAGGAATTAACTCATGTATCATGTACTAACCAGACTAATGAAGATGGGCATATGCCATGCATTTGCTAAGAGTGAAATTTTGCCATGATAGCAGAATATTTCTGCCATCACTTCATCAAATTTTTTCAACCGTCAAAGAATCTTTTATGTGCATGCTTGCCAATGTGTAATCTCAGTTATTCATCCTGTCCGAATGACTGGGCTCTGTTCTACAGTCTTCTCTTATTTAAATTTCCAACTGTCAGTGGATCTTTAACGTACCGGTACTGCTAATGGTATATGATCCGGACCGTCTCAGCTTATTATCCATTCTGAAAAAATTTTCTTGTCAGGTACACATTCTGCACCACTGAACAGAATTCTGATAAAGTTTCTTTGCCCTAACCGGATTCAACCTGGGAACTCCTGGTTAACGAGCCCTCATGGCTCTGTCATGTAAAATATACATCAGCAGTTTTTTGACACAATTTAATATAATCAGGCCTGATCTGGGCCTAATTGGTTATTCTAATTGAGTTTTTTTTTATAGCTATTGCCATATTACAGTTGACTTACTTCAATGTATGTTAGAAAATTCTGCTTATTTAAAGTTTACATTTATTTCAAATTAGAAAATATATGTTCTGGGTGCTTAATATAAATTAATATTCATGAGTCAAGTATAGTACAAGCTGCTTATAATTAGTGAAAATAGATTATTCAGGAAATATGTATAGTACATGCATGAACAAGCTGCTTATAATTAGTGAAAATAGATTATTCAAGAAATATGTATAGTACATGCATGAACAAGCTGCTTATAATCAGTGAAAATAGATTATTTGGTAAACAACTTGGGGGGAAAATGTCAATAATTACTTCTTTATTAAAAGTCCAGATTATATTGACTTTTTTTTTAAAGAAATTCTTAGTGATGCCCTTACATTTTTGTACTGTAAACATCCCATGGGTTTTTTCAAGGAATTCAGTATTTTTCTAGTAAGACTGAGTCTCTCTACTTTCCATATATACCACATGTGTGATATTTTTCTTGGAATTAGCTACACTATACATATTTTTGTTGCAATGCATCTTTAACATCATTTTTAAAATCAATTAATGTCATTATTAAGAGTAATTAATGTCATTATTAGAATGGATTAATGTCATTATTAAAATTTAATTATGTCATTAAATTTATCAAGGTCATTATTAAAATTAATAAACCTCATTATTAAATTTTGCTAAAATGAATTAATGTTAATCTCATTATTAAGATTATTTAATGACGGCATTTAATTTAATTAACATCAGTATTAAAATTATCATTTAATGACTTTGTTTCATGATATGTATATTTTAAAGCCAAATTTTGGAGCATCTTTAGACATATTAAAAGTAGAGATTGGTGGAGATGCACAAAGTACAGGTAATATTATTTTAATTGTTTTACTTCTTAAAGTTTAAAAGTCGCCATATACACAAATTGGGTTTTTAACGTTTAATTAAGAAAACAAAACCAAAATATCAATGTTAGATAATATCATGGCTTGGATTCAAAACAGGCTTGTGAAAAGATTTTACCCAACTCTTATAGGTGGCGCTAGCTTGTCTTACATCAGCTGCAGACAATGCCTAATGTTTACAAATTTCCAATTTGTCATATCTTTGTAATAAACAGAATTGAACTGTTTTTAGACTTCTATTCATCAATCTCATTAAAATTCAGATTTATATTTCATTTTTTTTTTTTTATACTTTTGATGGCCTACACTACATGAAGATCTGACCGGTTGTTTTGGAAGGTTGCGTTAGAGGTCATACGAGCTGCTTTTGACCCTACGACGTCAGACATTTGATTAACCAATCAGAATTGATGTTTCTAGTGAATTAAGGGGGGTTGGATGGCTAAATGGTTAGCGTGCGTGCGCTGTATCATAAAGTCTGTCATTGAGTCGACTGGCGTGGTTTCGAATCCCCCGTTGTACGTGACAAGGAGTAGGGTCTCCTGTCCAACCTCGTGGGTTTTCTCCGGGTCCTCCGGTTTCCTCCCACTGCTAAAGACCCCTACGCGCAAGCGAATTATTGAAATAAAATTTTAAAAAAACATATGTTAGTCCCGAAATTACCTAGTTTGTGTCGAGTGGACGTTAAACCCCATTTCTCTCTCTCTCTCTCTAGTGAATTACCCACAGTTCTGTGCACCACACGCCAAAAAGCTCGCTGTAACAGACCGTTTCATTGGCTAATTCCTCACATCATCCAGAACACGTCAGTGATAACAACCCTTCCAGATCCTAGTGTAGTAAAGACAAGTAAAACAAAATTTTGAACTATAAAAAACGAAACAAAATAGGATCTGTGTTTTAATCAGATTGTATATTCATTTTAGAGATTCAACTTTAGTGCAGTACCCAAGTGATTCATAATCCCTCAATTGATACTCAGTGACTTTAGAAATTTTGAGACCATGAGGCAATAAAATAGCATCTGTTTTTTTTTTACCATATATCAACAGTAATGACACCTTTTTAAGCTTTATTTAGAATTCATTTCATGTATTTTTAACAGATGGAACAGAAGCATCTCACATGCACAATAGTTGGGATGAGAATTATGAGAGAGGTTATGAATGGTGGTTAATGGTGGAAGCCAAAAAGGTAAAGAACTTAAAAAAATTCATGGAAGTGGAAGCCACTGTGGCTCAGTGAGTATGGCACTATCCAGATGTTAGCAGAGGTAGTTTCTCAGGATTTCCTAGCCTGGTTTCCCCCCTTGTCTGTGGTACAATATGGATGTCTTGGCAAGGAAAAGTGTCTAGTGGTTTAGATGAGACAAAATATGGTTTTCTGTGTAATATAAGAAGTTAATGTTTTCTTGCTATAATTGATAATCATCGTTCAATGGATGACAGTTAACGAAATGAAATGAAATGGAGTTTAACGTACTAATGTTCTGCTCAGACCTGGGCTAATGAAGACGGGATGACAGTTAACAATTAACACTAAAAAGTTCCACCTGGATTTTGGCTAAACTTTGATTGTATCATGTGATCTTATTGACTAATTATATTTTACAGAGAAATCCTGATATTAAGTTATATGGACTACCTTGGGCATTTCCTGGTTGGATTGGAAATGGTACAAGAAGTCCTTACACTAATCCAACCCAGACAGCTACGTACATTATTAAATGGATACAAGGAGCTAAAAAATATTATAATCTTACTATTGATTATGTTGGTGTAAGTATAATAGAATATTGGGGGTTGGGGAACATTTCCATACAGAAAATTCATCTGTCAAAAATCTTGGTTAGGGTTAAGATTACCTACCCTTAAATCAAACTCTTTCACTTATCCTTGTTCAGTTAAACTCAGCATGTGGGTATTTTGATCTCGCAAATGGCCTGAAATTAGACATAGCTTAATTGTTTGATGTGTCAAGGGAGACTACTCATTTTTTCATAATCTCTGGTACCTAGGGAAACGTTTATGGATTGGTTTTATCCATTATTTTATGATGTGTCAAGGGAGACAACTTGGATGCAAACCACCAAATATTCTCCTGGTAATTCTTCATTCTTTGTTCGTCTCTAACCGTTACCCAAATTTTGTTACGCTGAACACTCTCCATATATTTTTGTATATTAATGTATCTCTTATATTTTTGTATGTTAATGTATCTCATATATTTTTGTATTTTATTGCATCACTTATATTTTTGTATATTAATGCATCTCTTATATTTGTTTTTGTATATTATTTCAGATCTGGAATGAAAGGCCATATGATATCACCTATATTATAGTAAGTTTGGGCTTTATCAAATCCCATGGTTAATTAAAATGCACTTTTTATATCAAACAACAATCTATTGATTTAGGCCATATAAAGATACCATTCTGGCTGTCAGATATCACTGTGTTACTTGACAACTGTTAATTAACCCGTTTATATTTATAAAATAGGTAAAAGATAAATACATCCTCATTGATTACCACACTCCCATATTTCATGTATTAAAGGGGGATATCTAACTAATTAAATCTCCTGGTTTAGATTCAATTGGATTAAAGAGAGATCCCTTGAAAGATTTCAAGCTGACTATCCCGTATATCATCTGCAGTGGATGCTGAATAGTGACAAATTTTCAATTCATCATATCTTTGTAAATACAGAATGGAATTGACTTATATTCCTTTTAGAGATTCGACTACAATATTGTAGTTAGCAAGTTATTCCTCAATCCTTCAAATGATGTTCAGAGACTGTTTCTTGATGTAACTATTTTTGATTTCAGACATTGCGTAATATGTTAGATGATAAAAATCTGTCCCATGTAAGAATAGTGGGAGCTGATATTAAGTGGGAAATTTCAAAAGATATTTTAATTAATTCAAAACTTGCTTCGGCTGTTGATTATATTGGGTAATAGACATATTCCCTAATGTTTTTCTTGGCAATGACTATTAGCGCTGTTAAACATATTCCCATTAGTTTTCTTGGTAGTGGCTATTAGCGCTGTTAAACATATTCTCACTAGTTTTCTTGAGAGTGGCTATTGCACATATCTAGCCTAGTTTCCCCCTTTCAGTAGTGCAGCAGAGAGCCTGGAAAGCATGGAATGAAAAAGAAAATCATTCACCTGCATGTATTCTCACTAGTCTTCTTGGGAGTAGCCATTTTTAGGTCGGTTATGGAGGTACAAATTCCCCACTAACCAATCTGGACACCACAACTGTTTGGGTTAACCAACAGATGAATTTTTCATATGGAAATGACCTCCTCAACCAACCTCAGGCCTTCTTCACAAAATCTTATAACTAAAATATTTTAAAGATGCAGCCATTTTCATCAGATGAGAGCTCAAATTTTGTGCTAAGATATTATCTTTCAAGTACTCTCAACCAGTGAAAAAGCTGAATTCTTAAATTATTTAATTTTTCTGAATAAGGCTTCTGTTCTCTCCAACCGACCCAGAAATAGACAAGACTATTCTTCTTCACAATGCATACTTACTTCACTTTTTACACCTTTCAGACTTTACGTAATATGTTAGATAACTCTGGTTTAACTAATGTACGCATCGTGGCACCAGATGGCAGCTGGAGTATTGCTAGCGATATGTTTAAAAATGCTACTTTAAATGCTGCTATAGATTATATTGGGTAAGGGTCTGCATTTATTTGTTTAACATGGTGCTTTGTAATACCATTTTGGGGGGGGGCACGGTGGCTAAGTGGGTAAGACGCTGGCTCGCTAGCCTGGAGGTCGGGTGTTCGATCCCTGGATTGGCCGAGAAAGTTCATCCAGATTTTCAGGCATGGTTCCCCCTTGTCAGTGATGCAGGGCGGAGGGCCTGATAAGGACAGTTGTCTAGTCATACTTTATTACCATTTATTTTTATACACCCACATGGAAATGTGGTCGTATATTGCCGTCGCTCCCGTCCGTCGCCCCCGTCCGTCTGTCCATCGTCCACAATTTCTTGTGAACACTCTACAGACTACATTTATCAACCGATTGTTTTGAAATTGATATATGTTGTTTGCATTAGTGAGATGAAGAAGCCTATTTAATTTCTAAAACTTCCGTTAATTTCTTCTGGAGTTATGGCCCTTGTGAACCGATCTGTATGAAATTTATATGCATCATTTAAATTAGTAAAACAAAGAAGCCTATTGAATTTCAGCAATTTCCGTTAATTACATCTAGAGTTATGGCCCTTGTTTCACTTTGTTGAATATTGTGAACGCTCTAATGACAAAAGTTATCAACCGATCTGTATGAAATTGATATGCATCATTTAAATTAGTGAAATGAAGAAGCCTATTGAATTTTAGCAATTTCCGTTAATTTCTTCTGGAGTTATGGCCCTTGTTTCTCTTTGTTGCATCTTGTGAACGCTCTAACAACAAAAGTTATCAACCGATCTGTATGAAATTTATATGCATCATTTAAATTAGTAAAACAAAGAAGCCTATCGAATTTCAGCAATTTCCGTTAATTACATCTAGAGTTATGGCCCTTGTTTCACTTTGTTGAATCTTGTGAACACTCTAATGACAACATTTATCATCCGATCTGTTTGAAATTGATATGCATCATTTAAATTAGTGAAATGAAGAAGCCTATAGAATTTCAGCAATTTCCATTAATTTCTTCTGGAGTTATGGCCCTTGTTTCACTTTGTTGCACCTTGTGAACGCTCTAACAACAAAAGTTATGAACTGATCTGTATGAAATTTATATGCATCATTTAAATTACTAAAACAAAGAAGTCTATTGAATTTCAGCAATTTCCGTTAATTACATCTAGAGTTATGGCCCTTGTGAACGCTCTAATGACAACAGTTATCATCCGATCTGTTTGAAATTGATATGCATCATTTGAATTAATGAAACGAAGAAGCGTATTGAATTTCATCAATTTACGTTAATTACGCCATGAGTTATGGCCCTTGTTTCACTTTGTTGTACCTTGTAAATGCTCTAACAACAAAAGTTATTATCCAATCTGTATGAAATTTATATGTATCATTTAAATTAGTAAAACGAACAAGCCTATTGAGTTTCAGCAAATTTCCGTTAATTACATCTTGATTTACTTTGTTGAACTTTGTGAACGTTCTAACGACAAAAGTTATCATCCGATCTGTATGAAATTTATATGCATTATTTGAATTAGTAAAACGAAAAAGCCTGTCGAATTTGAACAATTTCTGTAAATTACTTCCAGAGTTACGGCCCTTGTTTTAATTTTTATAACCTTGTGAACCCTCAAACAACGAAAATTATAATGTCATCTGTATGAAATTGTCTATTAAATTCCCCTAATTACCTACAAAAGAATAAATATGTGACAACCCTTGTGGACTGCTCGGACGAGTTAGCTGCTGTGGGCGTATGTTTAGTTGCCTGGCAACCTATCTTTTCAAAAAGTTCTTTATTACCAGTATTTTCTTACAATTTACTTTTTAAAATGTACTTTTTAAAATAAATATTTTATTTCCACTTTATTTGAGGGGTTTATGTTAAGGAAAATAAATGCATGAAAAATGTCAACCAGTTTTGCACGTCAAATATATTAACAATTGTTTGCCATTTACCTATACCTACATGAAGTATGTAATTAATATGAAATGAAATAAATTAAATGGTGTTTTAACATCAGGAAAGTAGGACTACATGAAAAATAAACAAAGCTTAGAAAAAATTTTGTGAAATAAAAAAACCCTGTCATCTAGCAAAAAGGAATCTCCACAAGGAAACGGTTATCGCCAAATAGATCACCAGATTTAATTGGGGGGTTGGATCCCCGAATGGTTAGCGCGCGCTGTATCATATTGTCTGTCATTGAGTCAACTGGCGGGGTTTTGATTCCATGGTTGTACGTTACAAGGAGTAGGGTCTATCATTGAGTCAAGTGGCATGGTTTTGATTCCCCGATTGTATGTGACAAGGAGTAGGCTCGCCTGTCCAACCTTGTGGGTTTTCTCCGGGTCCTCCGGTTTCCTCCCACTGCTAAAGACCCCTAGGCGCAAGCGAATTATTGAAATAAAAATTAAACCATATGTTAGTCCCGAAATGACCTAGTTTGTGTCGAGTGGACGTTTAACCCCATTCCTCTCTCTCTCTCTCTCTCCAGATTTAATTACCAAAATTATATTTTTATCGCATTGGCAGATATGGCCATATGAGCACTACCTGCATTACGTAATAAGCACTACCTGCATTATGTAATAAACTTGTATTGAAATGTTTTAGTTGTCATTATCCTGGTACATATAGTTCAAAGGAAGCAGTTAATACAGGTAAACAGTTATGGGCATCAGAAGATTACAGTACATTTAATGATAATGTAGGAGGTGGATGCTGGGCAAGGGTAAGTAATACCATAGCAACATATGGAAGCAGACCACCAATGATTTTCCCCAAGGACTTTAATCGTAATTCTTCTCTCTTTTACCCAGCTCTAAATTTTTTACAAATATTCGTTGAGCTGAATGATTTTTTGTCACAGATTGAGAAACATTTCGCAATGTCTTGTATGAAGATTCAAGATGAACGTGAAGATTTTGAGATCCACAAATTGGAAGTAGCATACTAGTAGATATATAATTAACTATCCGCCAATTGATCAATTTTCTGCTTTGACGTCTATTTTAATATATACCCCATATCTAGATATTTTAATTCTAATTATATACAGTAAGTAGATTGTCGGACTTTATCGACCAGAATGTCCCAGGTTCAGATTCTGAGAAGAACTTTCTGGATATTTCAAGCTTGGTTTTTATTTGTTAGGTTCCTGGGGATGATAAATTGAGGTCCATCTGTGTAAACATTGGTGTGCAGGTTGGCAGTTGGAATTAAAAAAAAGAGCAGGCTTAAACACCACATTCTGGACAAAATTTTTCCCTTCAAGTTGCACATGTATCCAATTATTTGTTAATTCCAAAAATGACTAAAGTATTGTGTTGAAGAGACGTAAAATCCTTATTCCCCTTTATACATGTAGCTATACATTTGTGTTTAAGTTATTTTCAATCTTATGTTTGTCTTTTTCAGATTCTTAATCAAAATTACGTAAATGGAAACATGACAAGGTAAGAGAAAACATCTTTTCAATAAAAAATTTGTCTGAAAATGTTAAATGGTTTGATGTCTGTTTTGGTTTCCTGATAACTTTGCCAAAATGTAGACAGTTTAACAACTCACACGTTCTGTCAAATACTCTAGCATAATGTTGGGTCACCTCCCAGATTCAATCAAATACTCAAGTATAACATGGGGTCACCCTGTAGGTTCTATCAAATACTCTAGCATAATGTTGGGCCATCCTGTAGATTCCATCAAATACTCTAGCATAATGTTGGGTCACTCTGTAGGTTCCATCAAATACTCTAGCATAATGTTGGGTCACCCTGTAGGTTCCTTCAAATACTCTAGCATAATGTTGGGTCACCCTGTAGGTTCTGTCAAATACTCAAGCATAATGCTGGGTCACCTTGCAGGGTCTATCAAATAGTCTCTAGCATAATGTTGGGCCATCCTGTAGATTCCATCAAATACCCTAGCATAATTTTGGGGGCCATCCTGTAGATTCCATCAAATACTCTAGCATAATGTTGGGCCATCTTGTAGATTCCATCAAATACTCTAGCATAATGTTGGGTCACCCTGTAGGTTCTGTCAAATAATGTTGGGTCACCCTGCCGGTTCTATCAAATACTCTAGCATATTATTGGGTCCATCTACAGATTGTATTAGATACTCTTATACAGTGGTAGAATCAAACCATAGAATCAGTTTTACGTTTTTTTTGTTATTATTTGGAAAAATATAAATAGAAGTAATTTGATTTCTTTTAGCACCATATCATGGAATCTTATAGCTAGTTATTATATGAATCTACCCTTCTATCGTGATGGACTGATGACAGCTGTAGAACCATGGTCGGGAAACTATATTATAGAATCTCCTATCTGGTTAACAGGTTAGTAGACTTTTAGCAAAGCTGATCAGTTGTTTCAATGGCATTTATGGACATACGCAGGTCACAATTCTATGGAATACAATTTCGACTAGGCTTTTCAATGCTTGATAAACATTTCTTAGTAATAGGCAAGACTTTCCTTGTCAATCAACTGCACAGGCGCTACCTCTGACGTGGAATGATTTCAAAGTTCTACCCTACTCATGCCTCGATTCTAGAGTCTAGTGCCCTTATTACTCAAATAAAATTTTGGTACTAACATGAGGTTATTTTATTTCTATGATCACATTTCCAGTGGCCTTATCGCTCAAATAAATCTTTGAAGTGGGCATGCACATATCGGATAGAGTTTTTTGTTTGTTCTTGACGTATCAATATGTTTTTTGTGTTTATTTTTTTCCAGCTCATACTACACAGTTTACGTCTGTTGGGTGGAAATATTTACGCCATGGTTCAGGTGTAGGAAAACTTAATGGAGGTGGAAGTTACGTAGCTTTGATTAGTCCAGATGGAAAAGATTTCACCATTGTTATCGAAACATTTGTAAGTTCCAGTAGAGTTATAAAAATCCTGGGAGGGTATCTTGCTGGCTAACTAACTAGGCAGTTCTGGATTTGATCCTGGCATTGGCCGAAAAAGTTCCTCTTGATTTTCCAGCCTTGCGTACCCTTGTCAGTGGCAAGTAAAAGCTTCTAATATTTCGGATGTTACGAAAAACCCATGTCCTGTGTATGCCATTGGCAGTACGTTAAGATCCCCTGATAGTTAGGTTGTACGTGACAAGGAGTAGGGTCGCCTGTCCAACCTCGTGGGTTTTCTCCGGGTCCACTGCTAAAGACCCCTACGCGCAAGCGAATTATTGAAATAAAACTAAACCATATGTTAGTCCCGAAATGACCTAGTTTGTGTCAAGGGGACGTTAAACCCCATTTCTCTCACTCTCTCTCTCCCTGATAGTTGTAATTCGAAATAAATGTAGGTCACAGCACCACTATCGTGGTAAAATTCCCCTCATAGCACTCTGCCAGGCTAATGCCCATCCAATCATCATTTGGCAACTTTGGTGTAGAATAGTAAAACATTAAACCACATTTCATTTATAAGATTACATTAATTAATAACATTCCTAATTTAAAGATTTTATCTAGATATTTAATTTATCATCTGGGAAGAAATAGAATGATAAAAGTTTGTTTTTGTGAATTAAATGATTTTCTTTTTAATGCAGAGTCATGATCACTCATTATGTATTCGTCCACCATTACCAAAATATACAGTTTCACCACAACAAATAATGATTGATTTAAAAGGCAGTTTTGTAAGTTCAAATCTCTTCTTTTTTCTTCATATTTTTGTCATAAAATACGAAACACACTTAAAATCTGAAAAAGGAAGCTACGGTCACTCAGTGAGTATGACATGCTCTTACTAACCAGGAGAAAAGATAGCAGTGTTGGGATAAACAACTAACAACGACCTAGTTAATGATGACCAAATCAGCAACATGCCAGCAATTACTCTGAAGATGACCTACATTGTAATGTAAACAACACCTTCAGAATCCTAGTTGAAACGTTGCTCAGTAATTGTATTCCATAGAATTGTGAATTAAGTATTTCTAGTTCAATGACCATATGCCATTGAAACAATTTAATCTTTGATTTAGGTAAAATTAAAGTGTTGAGTAAGGCCAATCAAAGTTCAATATGGTCGAATAGATAAAGTTTAATATGATCAAATAGATAAGATCAAACAGATAAAGTTTAATATGATCAAATAGATAAAGTTTAATATGATCAAAATTCAATCTGATCAAATAGATAAAGTTTAATATGATCGAATAGATGAATTTCAATGTGATCAGAGTTCAGTACAATCGAATAGATGATGTTTAATATGATCAAATAGATGAATTTCAATGTGGTCAAAGTTCAGTACGATTGAATAGGTGATGTTTAATATGATCAAATAGATGAATTTCAATGTGGTCAAAGTTCAGTAAGATTGAATAGATGATGTTTAATATGATCGAATAGATGAAGTTCAATGTGATCAAAGTTCAGTACGATCGAATAGATGATGTTTAATATGATCGAATAGATGAAGTTCAATGTGATCAAAGTTCAGTACGATCGAATAGATGATGTTTAATATAATCAAATAGATGAAGTTCAGTACAATCGAACAGATGATATTTAATATGATCAATGTTCATTATCATCAAAGTTCAATATGGTCGATAGATGATATTGAATATGATTGAATAGATAAAGTTGAATAGGATCGGAGTTAAAATAATACTTAATAGATGAAATCAAAGATAATCCAATAAATGAAGTTCAATATGACCAAATAAATGAAGTCAAATATGATCGAATATATGAAGTTCAAATAGGATTGAGCAAAATGTATAAATCTGATCATGATGTTATTAATTTTTTTTTTTACATTTTCCAGGCAGGAATATCAAGGTTAAATATATGGTACAGTAAACCTAGTTATTCAGCAGGGGTAGACGATATCTTCTTTCTTCAAAAATCACCATTAGTTGTAAGTATATAGTTAAAGATACATTATGGGAGATTAGATAAAGAGCTGATAGTTCTCACTATAATAGTTCAAAACTAGATAATGTAAAGGGAATTTATTAAAAATTTAAGTCAAATTGATCCACCCTGAACCGAGTATTTAGCGATTGAATTTTCGACCTAGCCTCGATCATCATTACTAAAGTCAGTAAGATAAAAAAAACATAGTCTCGATTATCCACTTTTTGATTTAATCAGAGGCAACAGACCGGGTTTAATCCAGTAAATATCGCAGGCTAGCAATGCCATCGAGAGTTGATTATGGTCTGGATATGTTAATTAATGTCTAATTAATAATTTAGATAACATTTCAGGCCTAAAGAAAGATCTGCAATTGGCTGATTTAGCTCTTGCATAATGTATGTTTAAGAAAAAAGAGAATGTTCTCACCAGAAAAATGTGCAGCTTTCTGTGAAACATTCATTTAAACGTTGGTAGTGGTGTAATTTTAGGGGGATGGATGACTGAATGGTTAGAACGTGCGCGCTATATCATAAGGTCTGTCATTGAGTCAACTGATGTGGTTAGTCCCAAAATGACCTACTTTGTGTTGAGTGGACATTAAACCCCATTTCTCTCTCTCTCTCTCTCTCTCTCTCTCTCTCTCTCTCTCTCTATCTGGTGTAATTTTACTCTTGTAGATTCCTCATGTACATCATAAAAAGAAGACAACAATGCCATATAAATATTTTCTGGTTCATAGATGTCACTTCAAAAAGGGTCACATGACACTGTTGACAGTCTGATTAATTACCGCACATAGATATATTATACGGTGGTTACAGAAAGTAAACCTATAGTAAACCCATGATTAATCCATGAAAACTTGATATTGTTCGAATAATGCATAGGATGATCAATAATGGCTCTATGCTTCATTTATTTCAGTTAGCTAATGGTCAGGGTCAATTAGATATTTTCTGAATAAACGCAAACTGTTTCAAACTTTGTTTATTTCAGTTAACTAATGGTCAGGGTCAGTTAGATATTGGTGTAGATGAAGTATGGACATTAACTACTATTAATACTGGAGTCAAGGGAAGTTTTCCACCACCACCAGCTTCAGCTGCATTTCCACTACCTTATACCGATAACTTTGAATGTGAGTTGGATTATATTATGCATAAATTTGATATTTTTTACTTTTAATTTGTTTTTTTTGTTGAAGTAAATTTTTACTCATTTATCAGTAAATACAAAAGTCCAAAAACATTTTTATAGGAATGGAATGGAGTTTAATATCTCATCAACAGAACATTTCAGTCTCTTTTAGACAAATATATCGGTCATTTATATTTTTATGCAAGTTCAAGGATTTTGTCCAGAGCAGAGTTTTCACCTACTCTAATGCAAATGTAGGTGTTTAACATCCTCATTTACTGCTCTAACTGGGCTAATGAAGAGAGGCTTACAACGACCATACAATGAGCTTTGGGAGAAATTTTGCCCGGACAGCGGTGCAACAGACTATTCTTCATAAAACTCTTTATAATAGACCCTAGTGGCCTCTCTCTCTCTCTCTCTCTCTCTCTCTCTCCTAAAGGCTCGTGAAATAAAAATATACTAGTATTGCGACTGCGGTGACGATACAATACGTAATGCGATTCACGTGCTACAATACGATCAATAACACGATTCATAACCAGGTCAACATTTAACAAGAAAACAACAGAATAAATGAATAATTGATACGCTATTTTATTTGAGTCACGAATTGAAATTACTATCCCGTGCTTGAAATATTTGTTTGTCTACTTGTCGCCGAAAGATTAAAATGTGGACTAAAACAACTTAAAGTTGTCGTGTACCAATGGATAATGTATGACGTGGATAATTAAAAGTGACAGGTTAGTTACTAAAGCGACAAAAAAGCCTAAAAAGGAATCATGAAAAAAGCAATTCAGCGTCTCGATATATCGTGCCAGCACTAAAATATATGATATGTTAGAGCAAAAATGACCTGGTTAATGTTAATGTCGATTGCGATTTTTTAGCAGATGTCTCAACGTGGTAGAGCGACGGTTACTGCCAAATAAATTTCGGGATGTCATTTTTTTAAACTTCCGTATGTATGTCGAAATGGAGTATAAGACGAATGCCGGACTTCCACTGAAAAATGTATCGACTTATACCCCAATACGGGTCGGCACCCTTTCATTCTATCATATTACGACATGTAATTTTGTGGAAATATTACTGACATAATTTGAATACCGTACGGGAATTAAATATGAAAAATAACCTGGTGTATGAATTTGAATATTGACACATGATTTTTAATTGTGGTCTGAAAACGCCTGCTTAAATAATGATGAGTTATGCCCCTTTATTTTCTGGAAAATATGTCCGACAAGAACATTTTTGAAATTCCATCACTGCTCTCTCCTGAAGTCTTCTGGAAAATAAATATACCATATGTTAGTCCCAAAATTACCTGGTTAGTGGATGTTAAAACCCCATTACTCTCTTGGTTAGTGTTGATTGGATGTTAAACACCTTTTCTTTCTGTTGTTGAATGTTGAAATTGTTGATGTTTATGATGTGTATCTCATGCAGCCTACATGGATAGCCAGGAACCTAATAACTTGGCACAGCAAACTGGTTCATACGAGGTTTTCAATAGTGATAATGGAGATCATGGTAAAATTATGCGCCAAGTTGTCACGAAGCAACCTGTTTCATGGTGCAGTGCAGAAAAGTTAAATGTATCACTCAGTGTTATAGGAGATCCACAGTGGTAAGAGGAGATAACTCATACTATATTAAAGCAGGCACAATCACAGTTATCTCCCCTTTCATCCCACCCACCCCTAGCCTTTCTATTTACCTTTGACAAATCATATTTTGTTCAATCCCTAGAAACCCAGAATTAAGTTTTGTTTTGAATAACATAGGTGTACGACACCAACCCATGTGGTTAAATCAGTAGAAATATATTTATTGATCAATGTAGCTTACAGACAACATCAGGAACCAAACAATTTAGTAGCACAGATAGGTGGTTTCGAAGTACTTCATTCCCTTTCATCACATGGTAATGTCATACAGCAAGTTGTTCTTGAACATCCAGTTGCTAGTTGTGAAACACCTTACTTCAACACAACTATTAGTATTTTAGGAACCCCAAAGTGGTAACTATAGTTGGGATTTTTATTAGTTGACAGTGGTATTAGTATTTTAGGAACCCCAAAGTGGTAACTATAGTTGGGATTTTTATTAGTTGACGGTAGTGGATGTTTAAATCCTAAAAAATAATCCTTTTAAAATTGTTCTTCCTCAATTAACCAATTATCAAAATTAAAACTGAATTTTATCTGTGTGATTCTCTCCAACAGTTGAGGGGGCGGGGGGATGGCTGAATGGTTAACACACTGTATCATAAGGTCTGTCATTGAGTCAACTGGCGTGGTTTTGAATCCCAGGTTGTACGTGACAAGGAGTAGGGTCGCCTGTCTAACCTCGTGGGTTTTCTCCGGGTCCTCCAGTTTCCTCGCACTGCTAAAGACCCCTACACGCAAGCAAATTATTGAAATAAAATTAAACCATGTTAGTCCCAAAATGACTTAGTTTGTGTCGAGTGGACGTTAAACCCCATTTCTTTCTCTCTCTCTCCCATCAGTTGAGAAATGCTAAACTATACATGGGCCTCTATTTTGTGGAATACAGCGATAGATAATCTCTCAACTTGATAAATCCCAAAATGGGTCACAAAGTAGCTTCAAGATTTTTAAAGGCAGGTTTTCCCTTGCCAGTGGGGAACTGATAACGTTAATGTGCCTAGTTGTTCAGATGTAAGGGAAAACTGAGGTCCTGTGAGCAAATTAGTAGTACACATAAAATCCCCATACTCCTCGCAGTGTTTCCTTTGATTAGACCTAATCCCACTTTAACACAGCCGTAATGGAAGCAAATTTCTGTTCCAAATTATGACTGGTCAATAGTCCGATTAACAACCAATAGCTAACTGCGTAACAAAAATATTCGGGTTTAAACAGAGCTACAAATTGGACCAAATATGTTTATATAAGGCTACGTCATGGTCTTTTAGGGAAGACCCCAGATTAAACGAAGGGCTGTCATGTTGCTGTACTTGGGATAGATTTGATTGAACGGGAAGAATAGACACACTCCCTCAAAAGCTCAAGTATCAGAAGTCAATCCAGCAATGGCCAGAGAGGGATTTCTCAGCCATTGCTTCAAGAATATGGAAATCCCTTGACATTCTAGTCGTTCGGATGGGACGAAAAACCGAGGTCCCGTGTACATATTGACGTGCACATAAAAGATCCCTTGGCAGTTGGAATTCAATATAAGAGTAGGCCGTAGCGCCGCTGCCCGGGCAAAATTTCCCTCATAGCACACTGTATGGCGTATGCCCGTCTTCATTAGCCCAGTTTAGGAGCAGAACAGTAGGACGTTAATTAAACCCCATTTCATTTCATTTCATTTAAAATAGGCAGAATGGCAACTCATTTGTCAAAATTCACCACTCACATGGGTAGAAGATAAACAATTTTAATTTATTTTCAAATGGAACCAGTTTGCCGAGGGCTTGCTTTATTTTGTTTCTGGCTTTTCATCATACAGCTGTATGTAACCATTTAACCAGCTATGTTCGAAAGATTAACATTCAACAGTAATGAATCTGGTTGTATGTTGTCGTTGCATCTTTCTGTCCATCCGACCACAATCCACAGTTGTGGAAACTCTAAAAGTAAAAATTATCATCGGATTGAAATTCACACAATTTCAACGATTTATGGTACATGATCGCTTAGAAACATTAATTTTCCTGTTCATGAGACGAAAATTCCTATTAATTTTAAACAATAGTTATCAAATTTTAATTATTTCTGATAATTACTTCATGGGCTGTTGCCATTGATCAGAGTATTGTGAATGCTGCCATTACCTACAAAAGCATAATGTAATGTGACAGCCAATGTGAACTGCTTGGGCGGCTTAGCTGCTATGGGCATATGTTTTGTTGTCTGGCAACCTATCTTTGATTAGCCAATCAATTTTGCAGTAATTTAATTGAAATCATTTTAAACATTAACTGGTTACATACTGTCCTTCACCTTAATATTTTTTCTTTCTAATCTTCCCTAGCCTATCAACCTGGCGTCGAACCCTTTAACATTGTTCCGCAAATTGGTTCCTTTGAGACTGTTAAATCTACCGATGCCAATCATTCAACTATTATACGACAGACAGTGATAGACGATCCGTTAGGCTGGTGTCCGATTAATCTAGATTTTCCTGTAGCTGTTGTAGGAAATTACAGTTGGTGGGTAAACCGGTCTTCCATACATTAAAGCTATCATGCCAAACTAAGAAATAACACGAAAACTCAGAAATCAGTGTCATATTATTACATTTAATATGAACACTAATTTTCCCCACATTAAATCTTAAATTCAACAGTTTAAATCTAACAATATCTATCTAAATGGCAATCATATGTAGAGTCCAAGGGAAAAACGATCTAAGTCACATTTTTGTCTTTTCTCATAAAAAGCAAAACAGAGTTTTGGACCAGAATGTTTGATGATAACAGATCAAAGTGGGTTTAATTACAACTTCAAAATGATGTTTAATACAAACCATAATTACCAGTACAACTGACTTCAACTTTTCGGGCAAATAAGGTTAAATAAATGGTACGATGGACTTGTATTTATTCGGGAGGCCATTTCAGAAGGGCCTTGGTTCGATGTGACCTGAAATTGATTGTTCCACAGAAAGCTTATACAGTTTGCTACCAGATGGCGCCGTTAACTGTGGTTAATTGAAAAAGTGACTTAGATCGTTCTTCCCCGGGGCTCTTCATATATAACCAGGATTTATACAAAATAGAGGAGAAATGTGTAATTTAGTAATCAATTTGTCTTACACGAACCTATAAGATTTATGAAACAGATCTTGTATGATACCATAGTTATAGCCAGTGCTCATGCTGTTGATCGCTTTTTTGCTAGTTGCGATAAAAATATAATTTTGATAATATGATCCTATAGTTACTGCACTTTTAAAACACATAAAAAAGATTTTTTATAATACCATAATATCAATTGCAATTTCCTCCAACTGTGATAAAAATGTAATTTTTGCGATATATTCCCTATATTTACCAGTTTCTGAGATTTTGTTTTTTTTATTTTTGTAGCTAGCTTTAATAATTTAATTTTAAACACAGTTATTAACCATATAATATTTAGCATTACAGGTTGTTTTTACTATAAAATCTTTCACAATTTGTTGCAATGATTCATTTTAATTAAACTTTTTGATACAATGTATGGTATCATTTATTAGGCCACACCAATTTGAATTTCTGTTCTTTTACCTACAATTTCTTCAGAAAAAAAACTAATTTAAAAAGAAAAGTACTGAAGTTGCTCTTGAAATTTTTACCAAAACATCACACAAGAATTGAGTGGGTATTTATTGATCAATACTTTGTAAAACTAAAAATTAAATTGAAATTGGTTTGGTCTTACCTTTTTTTACATGAAGGAAATGTCAGCATTGAGTTAACTGTGATTGTTTCTGCTTCTTCTCTGTTTTCTTTATTAATTAATGTGGGCTACTGTTTATATCAAGGCTTCCACATACTGTTTAAAATTGTGATAATAGTAAAAATTGCTATATACTTTAGAAGAAATATAAGTTATTGGTAAACAAATTGTGTGAAAAAGTTGAAGTGAAAGCCTTGATCTCTATATTTAGTTCATCTAAACAACTATAAATAAAAACTTAATTCTAAAATTTTCTAAATCACCAAAATGGGAACAAAATGTTATGGTGTATTCTTGTTATATATCTTACTGACAGTCATAGCTTCTTTAATTATAGCAGCCACAGTGGCTCGGTCAGTAAGGCATTGACTCACTAACCAGTAGTCCCCAGGTTCAATCTCTGTGTTCCTCAGGATTTGTGAGTCTGGTTGACCCCCGCCTGTCGCCTGTCCAACTTCGTGGGTTTTCTCCGGGTCCTCCGGTTTCCTCCCACTGCTAAAGACCCTTATGCACAAGAGAATTATTGAAATAAAATTATACCATATGTTAGTCCCGAAATGACCTAGTTTGTGTCGAGTGGATGTTAAACCCCATCTCTCTCTCTCTCTCTCTCTCTCTCTCTCTCTCTCTCTGTCCCTTGCCTTTCGAAGAAAGCAGGGGACTATTAAAATGGGTCTGTCTGTCTGTCTGTCTGTCTGTCCGTCCGTCCGTCCGTCCGTCCGTCCGTCCGTCCGTCCATCTCACTTTTTGGGACACAATAACTCTCTTTCTAATTGAGCTAGAATGATCGTTAATGAGCATTTTCTGCTCGGTGTCAGCAGAGCGATAAGCAATTTGATTGGCCGAGACTTTGGAACATAACAACTCTGCTTTTCATTGAGGTAAAATGTTTAAACTTGGTGTAGGTGTTTATTAGGTCAATGCCTTGATGGAGTTCGAAGATGAGCATTTTCTGCTTAGGGTAAGCAGAGATAAGCAATTTGATTGGTTAATGCTTTGGGACACGATAACTTTAGTTCTGATTAAGTGAGAGTGATGAAACTTGGTGTATAGTTTCACTGCATCATAACCTTGTTTAAGTTCGATGATAAGCATTTTCTGCTCAGGGTAAGCAGAGTGATAAGCAATTTGATTGGCCGAGACTTTCAAACATAACAACTCTGCTTTTCATTGAGTTTAAATGTAGATGTTCATTAGGTGAATGTCTTGACTGAGTTCAATGATTAACATTTCGAGCTAAAGCTAAACAGAGCTAAGCAATTTCATTGGTCGATGCTTTGGGACAAGATAACTTTGATTCTATCTGATAGAGAATGGTGTAACTTAGTGTTTAGTTGATAATCAGTTTGATTGCTTGATACTTTTGAAAAAAATAAATGTGCGATTAATTAATATTTGTCATCTATTTATTTTGGGATTTCGGCGGGGGACATCAGCCTCACTGTCAGCTTGTTTCCTCTTGCCAATGGTGCAGCATAGAAGAGGCCTGGCAAGTAAAAACATCTAGTCATTTGGATGAGAAATCGATGTACAAAAGTATACAATTGGCAGCACGAAGATCCCTTGACAATTGGACATCCAAATAAGAGAATGCATAATGCCACTAAAAAAATTTGTCTTCATTACCTCAGTAATTGTGGTCTGAATTAATGATCAGAGTTATGCCCCTTTATTTTCAGTAAAAATGTCCAGACAGGAAAAATTTTGAAATAGCAATACTGCCCTAGTTACATGTATTTCATTTAACTTCCTTCAAATACAATAAATTCTGGCATGTATAATCATATTCCCCTGTATAATGCTGAATAAATATTCCCCATGTATAATGCTCAATGAAAATTCCATGCATAATGCTCAATGAAAATTCCCATGCATAGCCGTAAAGAAAATTTCATGTATAGTGCTCAGGCAATAATCAAACCATTCAATTTTGTTTTGATATCACAATCGTTATTTGGGGTTTTTTTTTCTAGGGCTGATCTCTATATAGAATGTGATGTAAGAATTGGTAATGTCAATAATACAGATGGTGCATTTATAGCTGCCCGTGTAACTCAAGGTGGATGTCAGGCATTTGAAGCTGAAGGAGTTTATTTCTTTATATTCCCTTCTACAAATACAATTAAACTCTCCAATGATTTAGGTAGGTTATAAAACAAATGGTTACCAATACTAATCAGTTATAATAATATAATTTATAAAAGTCTACAATTTCACAGTCTAGTAATGCAGGTGGTTTGACCTACATAGTGAACTAGCTCCAATACAGATTCTCAATTAGTCTTTTACTAAATCCTCCCGCAATTTAGTTGCCTTCTTTGGTAGTCCTTGTGGGTTTTTTGATTCTTCAAAGTTTAAACCATAAGCATTGTTTCCATTGAGAAGTTATATTAGGCATCTGTTCCAACAGAAAATTATTTTGGTTCTAATGCAGTAGCCCACAAGTGCAGCCAGTTATAGCTATGATACTGGTAAGGATAATAATGATGGTTACTACCTAAAGCAATCAATTCAAGTACAATATCATGAGGCATGCCCGTGCATCAAAATATACAACTGGTGACAGGATGTTTGCAGTACCCAGTAACAATGGCATGATAATTCACTTTAGCCATCTTGGAATTTTAATCAAATGTCTTTTATAGAGTTACAAATCGACTATGCCAGTTCCCTGAGAAAAAAATTAGATAAAAGTGAACATTGTTTTACATTGAGTTTTGTAGTTCATTTTAGAAACTACATGTACTTCTCCTAGGACAGCTTCGAGCAGTCAGTCACATCCTTGGTATCCACTCCACTCCACTAACCCCTGAGTTCATCCATGGGGGAGACACATATTCAAATTATCTGTCCTTGATGACTGTGCTATTTTTATCAATCAATCAAAAAAATAATTAAATACAAAGGAAGTTGGCAAAGGAAAGTAACAATTGCCATATTGTTGTGAACATAAGCAATGAAGCTAAGGCTGGTTTGTAAACTGTTTTTTGATTGGTTCGTGGAATCAAGCTACGATCAAGGACAGATAATTTGTATATGTGAAAAAACCCTATGGATGAACCCAGGGTATGGTGAAGTAGAAGGGAAGAGACCACTGGTGATGCCAATTTGAGGCACAAGAGGAAGCAATAGTTTTGGTGCTTAAGGATTGTACAACTAGCTCTCTAGCAGTAGTTTTGGGAAGTCTGGGTGCTCAAGGATTGTACTGTCTACTTTGAAAAGATTTTTATTTGTATTTTTTTTTTTTTTTTCAGCTCAAACTCAAGTTGTATTCACTGGAAGTTTTACTGGATTTAAAGAATGGAATAAACTTTCTTTAGCTGTACATGTAAGTTGAAAATACAAAATTGCTTTTGATGCCACAAATTTTAAAAATATCGTGATTGCCAACTGAATTGTTATTCAACCTGACCTGGAAATAATCATTTTAGTTTGTTCCTGACAAAATGTAAGGCCCTAATCAATTAAGTAGTATCTGACATTCTGAACTTTGTGTCCGACCCAAAATCTCTTAGTGTAAATCAGCGCTATATTCGCTGAAGCACCATGCCTCCAATATGCATATACCGGTATATAAAGTTACTTTGAATTTTATTTTTTTTAGGCAAAACTTGCTACAGGTATGATCAATGGAGAAAAAGTTTTTACACAAAATCTAAGTGGAAAAGCGAATGAAGGATTTGCTGGACTTGGAACCTCATCATTTGGTCTGGCAGATTTTGATAATCTGGCAATAATGAATATAGATGATGGTTTAAAGAGAATGGAAGAAATAAGAGTAAAAAAAGATACCAAATTATATTTTAAACCGGGCAAATTCTAGATTAATAATATTTATTAAATTTATTTATAGTCAGTATTTAACCTAATTACACATAGGCCAAACCAATTTAAATTTTTAGTTCTTCACGATCTTGATAAATAAAAAGCCACTCATATCATGAAAAATTTTAAAATTAGAAAATGTATTTGGTTTTTAAATTGTTATTTTTCCACCAAGAAATAGGATAGAAAATTTTAATTTGTGTTTCTGAAGAACAAATGTTCAAATAGATGTGTCCAAATCCGATGACAGGAGACTTTATACAAGATACATCTAATATAATAGAGAATGTCTCATTGTTTATAAGAATAGTTTACACACCTCCAGATATATCTGTCATAGCAACTATTAATATTTTAAGGTAACATTTCCCAGTATCAACCTTCTGTAAAGTCATTATGTAATATTAACCTCCAATAACCACATGCTTTGAATTGCACTAATACCTGGCGATAATCTTTGTGTCGATGTACAAGTCAGATAGCAACCTTTTTCCACAGTTGTTATTAGGTTTTTATTTGGAATAACAACCTAGAAAACGGTTGCTATCTACTACTTACTGTGACATATGTCTAAATGTAAGCTAAAGCCCGAGACTGAGGTTATGCTGGGGAAAGAAAGACTGAAGAAAATAACTTGAGAAAAAGAAAAACCAAGGCCGAGGGTTTTCTTTGGAGGGCTTTTTTATGAAGTCTTTCTTCCCCAGCATAACTGAAGTCGAGGACTTTATCTAGTTTATAAACCTTCTATGTTTACATGTACTTAAAATGAGAATATCCCAGAATTCCAGTAAGAAAAACCTTATATCATGTTTTCTACAGGTTTAAAGAAAAACATTCAGAAGAATAACCCCAAATTCCCCTGTATATATTCAAAGCTGCCCCAGACTATCATGCCGTAAGTAATTCCGGGCATAGAATATACGCCAAAGATCAAACAGATTTACTGTTATAGGTTTATAATTCAGTATAAAACTGAAACAATACAAATATAATGTCCAGATAAACATTCCAACAGGTGCCAAAATTTTATCCAATGTAAATTAGCTACCTGACCCCATCCATGTAAAGATTATTATATGATTTTATACCAGGAACTGGTTCCTTACACTAGATAATCTTCTTGTAGTTGTCCTTCTTGATGGGGCAAGATTTTTTCAAAATCCCCCAATTCAAGTATATTTCATAATAAAGCCTGAAATGCTTGTTTTTTTGGAGATCATTTGACAGGCCTTCGATTTTTGATATGACCTCACAATTCAAACATGGTGCCAATAACATTGATGGTTCCTGGTTCTTTAATAATAATAATAATAATCGTTTTCTATAGCGCTGAACATTCAGTCAGTCTGACTGCTCTGTGGCGCTTTGTCTACGATGGTACTTTTTATGTGTTCATATTTTTTGTGGGAGTGTATTGTAATCACACACGTTTATGTACAGTTTTTGTAAATTATGTTTTAATACGGGGATTATCGAGCAATTCATAAAAATGGAGTAGCAAAAATAGTTTTTTTGGGTTGAGTTATTGCCCATGTTGTTAGAACCTGATAATAACTCTATGACTATAAGTCTGAGGGTTCTGGATTTTTTGTTTAAACTTGATGGAACTGCTCAATATGTATTAAAAAGGAAGAACCCTATTGAAATGAATTATTGTTATTTGAAAGTTATTGTTCCTTTATAAGGCACTTTACAGAGCTGCAGGTGAATGGATTATTGTTGCCAGGCAACACTATATTTATAATAGAATCAATGTTGCCAGGCAATACTATATTTATAATAAAATCATTGTTGCCAGGCAACACTGTATTTAGAATAGAGTCCAGCGAGAAATAATTTACATTGTTATATAGTGATTATATTATTTTCTATTTTCTATTAAAGGGTATTTTTTGACTGTTTAGGATATATGAGATGAATAAATGTTTTTTTTTTATACATTAATGAGCTTTTTTTTGCATTGATTATTAATATTATTGTTGAATTAAGTTTGTAGTTATTAATATAATTCAGTATTAGCTAGTTTAATTGTTTATTTCACTAAATGCAGTGTTGGATTTAGACTTGATGAGGTACTAAGCATCTCAAACCTTGGAAGCCACTTGTTAAAACTAGGTCAACTAGAACAAGCCTGTGGTTTCCCGTGAACTCCATCAAGGTACGGACACGAACGTCTGACTCCATTCATATAGGAAATGTCCACCAAAAGAGAATGGAGATTAGACTCTGTATGATGCTAGCACCACAGGGTAAGAAAAAGATGAACATTTCATTTGCTACTTCACTACTGTGAAAGCAACCAGAAAATCTCACCCAGATGGTACCAACCAACACAGGACCTTGGGTGCCACAAGTATTTAAAAACATGCCTTTAACGATGCCACCCCACGTACAAACTGGGTGATTTGATAATATATTTGGACTAAAAACATATTCAAACTATCAAAAATTTGCTTCAAATCCCTCTCAAAGCATCGTATTCACGAGGAAATACCCCAAGATATAAAAATTCTGTTTTTAGAAGCCATGTTAGGGGGTGGGGCATTTTCAGAGTATTTGTCGTTACTTACTGTCCATTTGCCATACATAATGAAGCCTAAATGTAAATTCTTGGATTATCTTCTGCCAACGTCTTTTTCGGCTGTTTAATTGCAGTCTTGAGTCCGTTTAAACCCCCCAATGTTCCCCAAAACTGTAGCACCATGGGCCTCCTGTCCGACGTGGAGAGCGGACCACACAAACCGGTCGCCACATCCTACATACGACCCATGCATCTTTTCTTACTACATATTTCTGTAGCCTTGTGATCGTCTAGAATTTGTCTCTAGCTTTCTTTACTTCTGCTTCACGTTGTGTATTTACTTCTTACTGTTTTCTTAAGACGTTGGTCTTACTAGGAATAACAATGCAACAGTTCGTTTTTACATTTTATATATCAGCTGGATACATTGGATAGAAGCATAATAGAATAAAATACTAGCTAAAACCATTTCTCCACCCTAGCCAGCCTCGCGGCTGTCTAGGAACTTGGATGGAATCTAATGGAAGACTGATTTAAAAGTTCACTATGATTTCTTTTATAAGACTTATGGATATCATGCACAATCAAGTGTGATCATGGCCCTGAACCTGTGCAATTAACGATATGATTGGTTAAATTAAACCAAATGGTAAAATTCCATGCACGTGATATCTCGTGGTATTTTATAGATACATGTTTTGGCTAAATAACTCTTTTTATTTGTCAACCCATCAATTACAGACTAAGTTGATTTAAGTACAATTCTACATATATGTGAATCTACCAACTTGCCAAAGATATTAATTAATGAAATATAATATAATCTTATTCCTCCATTCCTTGCCTATAAATTGAAAACGATGTTGCAACGACAATATTGCTACAAAACGCCTAACCATTCGATCAAGAAAGCTGACAGACAATAAGCCGTCGGGTTGCCAGCTACTGATACCCTGATATTTTTGCCCAGTGCTTGCCTCATGGGTGTTTTTCAGGGAATCCGGTGTTTTTCTAGTAAGATTAGGCATCTCTACTTTCAACTTAATATACCAAATTTGCCATATTTTTCTTGGAAATAGGCCTATTTTCGTGAGAATGTATCTTTAAATTGTTTTATTGTATGGTATCTAAAATGAAAAGTTTTGCCAGGCCACTGTGGATTGTGAAACCAATTGCCAAAAGCCAAAAATAAAGATACCCCCCACCGCCTCAAATAAGAACCCAAATTAAAACAAAAACACCAAAGTTACTGAAATCTGGATTTAAGTGTGCACATTAAAAATTGTCTTTTCGGAACGTCGCCTAAATAAATTAGTATTTATTCTTCCATAAGTTATAGTTTATTACATCGATATAACATTGTGTGTTTCGATACCTAAAATAGCGCCATTTATTTTGTTGTTTCTTTTTATTAGCATTTGCCCGTCTTTATTAGCCCAGTCGGAGCAGAACAGTAGGACGTTAAACCCCATTTCATTTATTAGCATTTGCATTTATCGCAAAGTTTCTAAAATATAATCAGTCGGGTTACTTACCATCTAAGATCTAACAACCGGTTGCCATGCAAGACAAGCCCACGTTTTGGAATAGAAGGATGGAGAACAAGGAAAATCAAAAGGGCTCATTCTCTCATTGTCCCAAAGCTTCACATCAGTACTCTGCCCACCCATTATTGAATTCATGGACAGATTGGTTGATCATGGTCCTCGAGTTAGATAGAAGTTTGGGAGGCCTGCAAATCTGACAATGCGTTGTTCCAGTCGTCCCTCAATACGACAGTCCGACAAACTCCTTGTTCCTTGTGTTTCACGGACAGTTAATAATTAACGGACTGGAGATATGTCAACGCGTTATTCCGATTGTGCATTAGTACGACAGTCTGTGTGAGAGAGCGAGAAATGGGGTTTACAGTCCTCTCGACACAAACGTGCTAACCATTCGGCCATTCCCAACACCCCCACAGTCTGTTATTCCGATGTTCTCTCTGTTAGATACCGTGTTGGAAATATTATAAGTTAACGACTGTTAATCTGAAAGCCAGTTTTTCCATGAAAAACTTCCCCAACAGAAGATTTATGAAATTAAGACGACGCAAACATGCTTTTCAATATACAGCAATCTGAATGTTATCCAATATATAGATTTATTTTTTTGGTTTTGTAACCTGAGCTCCAATTGTAATACTATAAGGATTATTTTAATTCTAAGAAAGGTGTTCTGTTTAATATAGAAATTCGTTGCCTACATGATGTGTGACGAAAACTGGGGTAATGAAGTAGCTTGCATTATTTTACTACTATCTTAGACTAACTCACCGACAGTTATGTCAGTATCCATTGCTAGAAGTAGGGTACTATAGACCAGTCATCTCGTGCACGGATTAGTACAATTAACTAGAATAGTGTTGATGTAAAACGGTGTCTATACGAAACATTTACCCAAAAATGATAATTGTCCCGCCCTAATAGATGAAGCATTACAGGCATAATTTTTATATAGGAGAGAGAGATGGTTTAACTTTGTAGTTTGCTGTATTTGTTATATAAACTTAGTAACAACATAAACGGTGTTCCAGAGTCAGTTAATTGATGATTGAAATAATTGATCTCACAACGTGAAGTCGGAGAAACGCCTAGACGAAAGTGTCACAGCTAATTAATTATTTGTTGCCGAGACACAAGATAGTGTCACACAATCAGCTAATCAATCCGACTGCTGCAGTTGCATTCACAGAAATTTCACTTCCCGAAAAACTGAAATGTGGCGCGCTTCTTTTCTGCTTTGGCCACGAAATGGTGTAGCGTCTTGGTAGTGTGGGGAATTCTGCTGTAATTGTTGCTCAAGACCCATATCCCGGTAATTTCTCTGCCACCAGTGATCTATTGGCCGATAACAAGCCTTTCAAAGTAGAGCTTCTTCAGAGAAGAGAGCGGACTAGCTGAAAAGCTATGTTCGTCTCTCGAAGAAGAAGAAGAAGAAGAAACGGAACAAAACTGTATAAAACGATGAAGTTTTATTATGCATTGTAACATACATGTATTATGTAAGTTTTAATGGACTGGGAAAACTCTTTTACACTATTTATAAAAAGGTCCGAAAATAGGCCGTTCTGTTATATGTTCTGTTCTTTATAATAGCGAAAAGATATACTGTTCATTAAATGCAATCAGTTAAAGGCTGTATCTGTTCATTAAACGCAAGCGTTTAAAGTATGTGCCTGTTCATTAGATGCAAGCATCTAAAGGCTTTACGCTCAAAGAGCATTTCTCAAGAACTAAAGGTGTAATAACTAAAGCTTCGCTTCGACCCTGAAGACGGATATCCCAGTGGGAACAACTGGCCCAGGCTACTAGTGCAGGATAACACGTTCATCGCCTGGCCGCCTAGACAGGGTGGCACTGATAAAGAGAATTCATTCCCAACTCATGCAAAATTATAAACTATACGCGCCTTAAGTAAACAAAGTATATACATTGTCAACAATATAAATTCAGTATTATTTAACAGTTGGATACAATGTGAATTACAATAAAGTTGACATAGTTACGTTTAATAAGTCAAAGGATATGCATATAAATTATTATTGCATGCTATATATTAACATTATGTAAGTAAAGGGAGAAAATAATACTCTATGGTACATTTCCAACAAAATAGACTATAATAATAGTTTATTCTCAACTACATATACAGGCATGAGTATGGAAGTTACAAAAAACATTTCACATTGTTATGCATAACAATATCTAACTACATATCTTACAAAATAACATAATTTTCAAGACGAGTGATACTTATTAATCTAATCGTCATTATTTAATGTTACATATCAATTAACAAGGCTATATTTATATTCCTCTTTTCTTAAAGGCATTCAATACTAAACTTCCAACATGTTCTATACACTCTTCATTATTCATTAATATATTAAGTTGAATTGAATCAGTTATGTTAGGGATATTTTAAACTCACTAATAGTATGCTAATTAAAAAGACATAATATATGGCAGATAGCAATATTATTATAAAACTTAGAAAGAGTCTGTCAACATACTATTCATATAATTATCAAATATCCAGTCCCTCACTATTATTACATAACTACAGTGACCTATATCTAAATATAGGTGTGTCTCGACTATATAGGCGTCTACAGACTATAAATAAAACAATACTAACAAAAAACAATGTCGCACACAAAGCAGGGCGACTCGGTTTTTCGTCTGATCCGAACAACTAGACACTCTCCTTGTCAGGCCATCCGCGGAAGCCGCGCCAGAACCTTAAACAAGTTAGGAGTATTTACAGGCCTATATAACTATGGATAATAATATTATTTGATGTGAATGGTCTTCAATAGTAAGTCACTGAAGCGAGATTTAAGTAGCCTACCAGTATGAAAAAATGAAATGGGGTTTAACGTCCTACTTTTCTGCTCCGAACTGGGCTAATGAAGACGGGCATACGCCATACAGTGTGCTATGAGGGAAATTTTGCCCAAACAGCGGCACTACGACCTACTCTTATATCGAATTCCAACTGTCAAGGGATCTTTTACGTGCACGCCAATGTGTACACGGGACCTCGGTTTTTCGTCCCATCTGAACGACTGGACAGCTGTCCTTGTCAACCAGTATGAAAAGAAACGACTTTTATGTAAAATTTCAATTGGTTACTTGTTGAGAATATAAAGATGGGCCAACATATGCCTATAGGTTATTAAAAGATTATTTTATTAGACCAGTTATTGCTATTCAATCTTAAACCCCACAAACACAAAAAAAAGGTTCCGACCGACCCATTTTGGGGTCCCAGGTGTAAGTAACCGCAAACATAGGTATTTTTTTGTTGTCTAGCCCTAAAGTAGCTAAGTCTCTAACTCAATATCATCCAAAGTCTTCGACATAGAAAACACGGATTATTTGTTAATTTAAATCAACATTGATGTTGTGATCTTATCGGGAAAAGATGGGCTTCTGGTGTCCAATATTTAAGACAAAATAAACATTTTACCATTCGCACATGAATCGTGTTTACCATAAGGCGTTTCAGCGTCATTTGTAACAAGGGATTCGAAGAACGAGGCTAGACATATTCCACAAGTCATGTCAAACGGCGAAGTCATATTCTTATCTGGAGAGCATGCGCAATAAATACTATCGGTGTGGACTGGAATAACTAGACGCTAGAGATTGCCATTCGATTGAGGCTTGTGGCGTATTTCGCCGAACATAATTAACTGATTTGAAATTAGAGTAAAAACGGAAACGATTGAATGTAAATCAGTATATATACATTCATATTACATTATAATGTGCGTTGCGACCCATTTGTGTCAATTTCTAGGTCTGAAATATTAGCGATAATAGCGATGACTTTATCAAATAAATATCTTCCCGTGACTGTATGATAAGTAGGCAAGCGCAGGTTGTTTATAATTAGGATAGGGTATCATGTGACAGTATCTATGAACTAAATTGATAGATATATATTTATATATAAGATTAAGTGAAAGTTATGAGGAAGCAATTGGGACTGCAATGTGTTATACTGACCTTCGTTCTCTGTATATTAAGTACACTTGGTGACAGAGTGACGTACACGTTTGATGATTCAGTTGGCCTTGGCAGACAGTTTGATGGTATAGGCGCTATAAGTGGTGGAGGGGTAAGTATTTTTGATGTATCTTCACTTCAAAACACAAAAAAAATCCATTTAGGACAGCATACAGTACAAACATAATGCATGAGTATAGAATATTAGAATAACGACAATTGTCGACAATTATAGTATAGATATTTACATGGAATTATGATATAAACATGAAGTTTATTGAACAAGTACTAAAATATAATAGTACATGAAAATCTTGATAATACCTTTGATAAAGAAAGGTAGAGATAGCTCTAAAAGTAGTACAAGATTTAGGCTTGAAATACAATCGAACTGACAGATTTTACAATTGTTTTGTGCAAGTTAAATAGAATTTATAGAGAATAGAAATGAAATGTAATGAAATGAAATGAAATGGGGTTTAACGTCCTACTGTTCTGCTCCTAAACTGGGCTAATGAAGACGGGCATACGCCATTCAGTGTGCGTTGAGGGAAATTTTGCCTCGGCAGCGGCACTACAGCCTACTCTTATATCGAATTCCAACTGCAAAGGGATCTTTTATGTGCACACCAATTTGTACACGGGATCTCGGTTTTTGTCCCATCCGAACGACTAGACAGCTGTCCTTGTCAGGCCCTCCTTCCTGCATCACTGACAAGGGGAAACCACGCCGGAAAATCTGGATGAACTTTCTCGGCCAATGCAGGGATCGAACACCTGACCTCCAAGCTAGCGAACTAGCGTCTTACCCACTTAGCCACCGTGATCCCCCTTTAGAGAACAGAGTAGATAACTATCTGTCATTGATGGATATATATATGGATCAAATGTAGGTACCTGTCAAAGAATTTGTCAAGACAAGTCAGGAACTCTAGTCACCAACTTTTTCAAATACAAATTTTCACGCATATGCTCTTGTCGCTGACTTTGTCAGACTCAAATAATCACACGCTGTATATATTATTATAAAAATGTGTGATTATTTGTGTCTGAAAAAGTCTGTCCTTATGTCTAGGCTTGGGTATGTAGATCTTCATGCAGTTGACTTCATCTTCAATATTATGCATCGATCATTATTGGCATGGGGACATTTTTGTATCTACCCATTTCACTTTCAAGTAAGTGTGAACAAAGTCAGAGTGCGGTCATGGCTATTTCTAAGAGCAATATATTTCCCAGGACAGAGACATTTCCGCCTGCTCTTCTTCATCTAATTCCAACTGCCAAGGGTTATTTTACGTGCATGCCAGTGTGCGGACTGAACCTCAGTTTTTGGTCCCTTCTGAATGACTGTGCAATGTTTTGCTTGGCAGAAACACAAGGAGAAACGAGGCTAGAAACTCCAAAGGACTGGACCCGGGTCCTCCACCTTGGTTTGTGTGTCAGTGCCATGTTTAAACCCTGGCACCACCGAGTAAAATTATCCGAGGTAATCCCAGGGTAAAAATATCCAAGGTAAACACAGGGTAAAAATATCCAAGGTATCACAGGGTAAAACTATCCAGGATAAAAATATCCGGCGTAATCCCAGGGTAAAAATATCTGAGGTAATCACAGGGTAAAAATATCCAGGGTAAAAATAACAGGGGTAATTTGAAAATATATTTCCTATTGATTCATATTTTATTTTTCAGGCAACATCCAAATTATTAGTGAATTACCCTCAAGAACAGAGAAGTCAAATATTGGATTATTTATTCAAGGTAATATTGTTTAATATGGATGTAAGGGGTTCAAGTGGCCGAATGTCTAACACAGCAGCTTTAGAACATAAGTTCTGTCAAAGAGTCAAGTACAGTAGTTTTGATTCCCAACTTGTATGTGACAAGGAGTAGGATCGTCTGGCCAACCTCATGAATTTACTCCTAGTCGTCCGGTCTCCTTCAATGCACGAACGAATTATTGAAAATAAATTGAACCATATGATTGTCCTGAAATGACCTATTTTGTGTCAAATGGAAATTAAACCTGATTTATCTCTCTCTCTAAACATGGATATAGCTTTGAATTAAACAATGTCCAAATATTTATACCAATATGTTTTTTCTAGCCAAATTTTGGAGCATCTTTACAGATATTAAAAGTAGAAATTGGTGGAGATGCACAAAGTACAGGTAATATTATGTTTAGTAATGAAAGTCATTTATAGTACTTGGGCTTTTGACATTTAGAAATTGCTTTCTTTGTTTTGACTTTCAACTAGAATGTATCAAGAACATCTTTTTTCAAGCCAGACCTTCACTTGTCAGCAGTGTCGGATTAATCTTGCATCAACGTTGAAATGGGACCATATTCTGATCATTACCTATCACATTCACACAAATACAATTTTTATGTCAGTATGTAGATAGATTTATTTGGCACAAACAGATACAATATAATAAATGACATATTTATGGTGACCCCTTTAATAGTGGCCAGCCTGGACAGTGCCCCCCCCCCCCCCCATCCCTTAGGTGTCCCCAGATATACTATATGGACAACCACACAGCACACCCCATTTTTACATGCCTCCTACCCATACACTATGGTTTGTTTAATCTCTCTTGAAGTTAAAATGAACATAGTATTAAAGACTAAGCCTCGATCTACCATTTGGCCATTGTGTTTCAATCCATTTAAATCTCTGCCATCCAAATGTCTAGAGAATTGATTATAGGCTTGTCATGTGAATAAATAACTAAATGATCATTTATATCAAATTTGAAGCCAAAATAAAGACCTGCCATAGGCAGATTTAGCTATTACATAATGCATCTTTAAGTAATGTCAGGCAGTGATATTTATTGTTCATAATCTTTATCACTTACCCATGTATTTATGACAGATGGAACAGAAGCATCTCACATGCACAATAGTTGGGATGAGAATTATGAGAGAGGTTATGAATGGTGGTTAATGGTAGAAGCCAAAAAGGTAATCAATAATAACTTTCTTTGAATAGAGGGAGCCAAGGTGGTTTTGTGAGTCAGGGGCTCGCTAACCAGGGGGTCTTGAGTTGTTATCCTCTCAACTTTTGTAGAGATATCTTAATATTATTATAACGTTATGAGTCTTTATACTACACCCTGAATAGAGAAATCCCAGTATAACGTTATAAGATAAGATAAGATTTTATTGTATCTAAACACCCCATTAGAGTAGGAGTTCTTATAGACACCCACCTATTATAGAGAATTCCTAATTTTACGTTATATGAGTTTTTATACATCCACCTTAAATATCTATTACAAAGAAACCCTAATATTATAACATTATATGAGTTTTGATATACCCAAGAATGCCTAGTTTTACGTTATATAACCTTTATACCCCCAACTTGCCTACCTATTATAGAAAAATCTGGATATAAAAGTTTTGACTTTTTATACCCACCAACTTTAATATCTATATAAAGTTATATGAATTTTAATGCCCTCGCCCCTCACCTTTAATAACTCTTATAGAGAAATCCTGATATTAAGTTATATGGACTACCTTGGGGTTTTCCTGGTTGGATTGGCGATGGTACAAGAAGTCCCTACAGTAATCCAACTCAGACAATTACATATATTATTAAATGGATACAAGGAGCTAAACATTATTATAATCTTACTATTGATTATATTGGTGTAAGTATAATAGAATATCCTGTTTAAATAGCCTTTAAAGAATTCTATGGAAAACAATTACTGACACTGTATTTGTAATTGATTAAAAGGGGTCAAGACTACTCATAATTGTTTTTAATTGTTACGTGTAAGATAAAGCGCGAGACTGAGGTTATGCTGGGGAATGAAAGACATTTAGTAATTGATCACATTAAAGAATTTTATGGAAAACAATTACTGACACTGTATTTGTAATTGATTAAAAGGGATCGAGACTACTCATAATTGTTTTTAATTGTTATGTGTAAGATAAAGCACGAGACTGAGGTTATGCTGGGGAATGAAAGACATTTAGTAATTGATCACATTAAAGAGTTCTATGGAAAACAATTACTGACACTGTATTTGTAATTGATTAAAAGGGAGACTGCTAATAATTGTTTTTAATTGTTATGTGTAGGATAAAGCACGAGACTGAGGTTATGCTGGGGAATAAAAGACTCAATAAAATAACCCGAGAAAAAGAAAAACCTGAGATTACTCATTATTGCTTTGCAATGGTTTAGACCGTCTGTACACACATTGTTATACACAGGAAAAAATTATGTGAAATACAATTATTACTGAGTGATGTTTCGACTATTTAAATTGTTTTCCAACTTCAATTTTTTCATTTCACCTTTATGAATTTTAGATTTGGAATGAAAAACCATACGATATTACCTATGTTATAGTAAGTATTAACATTAGAACCTCTAAGTGTCACTTTCACTGCGTTTTAAAAATAACTTTTGATTTATTGTGATGTCAAAAATCGTTCAGCTGATCCAGATCAATTTTAAAAAATGCTTTTCAATCTTGTTTTCTCCGGGTCCTCTGGTTTCCTCCCGCTGCTAAAGACCCCTACATACAAGTGAATTAGTGAAATGAAATTGAACCATATGTTAGTCCAAAAATGACATACCATGGTCTTTATTTTGAGAGTGTGGTCTTTATTTTGAGAATGATCTATATTTTGAGAGTGTGGTATTTATTTTGAGAGTGTGGTATTTATTTTGGATATGGTCTTTATTTTGAGTACAGAGTTTATTTGAATATTGACTTTATTTTGAATATGGACTTTATGTTGAGTATGGTCTTTATTTGAATAGGGTCTTTATGGTGTTTTGCGTTTTTTTATTTTCAGACTTTACGTCAGCTGTTGGATGCCAATGGTTTAAGCAATGTTCGGATAGTTGCAGCTGATGATGCTGTGTGGAATTCTATATCTAAGGATATATTAAACAATGCTAGTCTCAGCAATGCTGTTGATTATATTGGGTGAGAGTTTACGATTTAATTGTTAGTAATTGAAACGAAATGAAGTTAATGGGGATTAATGTCCTACTTTTTTTGCACCAACCGGCCACGGGTTAATTGAAGACAGATATACGCTTATTCTTCATTGAATTGCTAGTGTTATGGGTTCTTTTACGTGCATGTCAACGATTACACAGCTGGAGCTTGGTTTACATGCCATCCAAACTAGGTATCTTTTCCTTGCCAGGTCAAGTGGGTAAGATACTGGCTTGTTAGCGTGGCGGTCACATTTTCGATCCCTGAATTAGCTAAGAAAGTTCAGTGGGAATTTCCGACGTGGTTCAGGATGGAGGGCCTGACATGGACAGCTGTCTAATTGTTTGGATGAGATCAAAAACCAAGGTCCCGTGTATACATTGGCATGCACGTGATGTAAAAGATCCCTTGGCAGTTGGAATTCAATATAAGAGTCAGCCATAGCCCCGTATAGGAGCAGAACAGTAGGATGTTAAACCCCATTTCATTTCCTTGCCAGGTCCTCCATCTTGCACCACCGACAGAGATAACCAGGTAAGAAAATCATGAAGAGCTTTGTAGGATCGATTTGACAGGATTTTCTGCAATTATCTATTTTAGCTATGTTAAATGTCATTATCTGTTTAGCTGCCATTATCTAATTTAACTGCCATTATCTGTTTAGCTGCCATTATCTAATTTAACTGCCATTATTTGTTTAGCTGCCTTTATCAATTTTAGCTGCCATTATCCTAATACATATAGTACAGATATAGCCCTTAAAACTGGTAAACAGTTATGGGCATCAGAAGATTCTGTTGGAGGTTCATGTTTGGCTAAGGTATGTAATAGTCCTGTGGATAGGATGATTATAGCAACCACACACACAGGGGCAGGCAGTTTGCCACAACTCAGGCAATATTTTATTCTGATATGGCTCTATATGCTTATATGTTGAATCATTGTTAGTAAGTGGTTGATATATGAATTAGTACGGTATAAAAAGTTTCATAATAAACTGGAGATTGAAATATCTCCAGAACTATATATAAATAAATGGGAATATCTGTTTATGAATTAATAGATCTCTTAACCTACTGCACACCCATTCACTATTTATGGATTTATATTCTATATACATAAATCACCCATTTTATCTTAGAAATGCATTTTATTTATTTTTCAAATATGAATGTATGTAACATGTAAACATATACGTAACTAAAAGTTGTTTTAAAAAAAGAAGAAATAAAGTGGTATAACAAGATAGAAGTAGTGGGTATAACAAATAAATGACATGAAATGAAATGGGTTTAACGTCCTACTATTCTTCTTCGAACTGGGATAATGAAGACGGGCATTTTGCCTGGCCAGCGGCACTACGGCATACTCTTATATCGAATTCCAACTGCCAAGGGATCTTTTACGTGCACGCCAATGTGTACACGGGACAGAGGTTTTTCGTACCATCCAAATGACTAAACAGCTGTCCTTGTCAGGCCCTATGTCCTGCGTCACTGACAAGGGAGAACCACACCAGAAAATCTGGATGAACTTTCTCGGCCAATGCAGGGATCGAACACCTAACAAAATAGGAGTAGTGGGTATATCACAATGGGAGTGGTAACTATATCACAATGGGAGTGGTAGCTATATCACAATAGGAGTAGTGCGTATCACAATAGGAGTAGTAGGTATATCACAATAGGAGTAGTGCGTATATCACAATAGGAGTAGTGGGTATATCACAATAGGAGTAGTGGGTATATCACAATGGGAGTAGTAGCTATATCACAGTAGGAGTAGTAGCTATATCACAATAGGAACAGTAGCTATATCACAATAGGAGTAGTAGCTATATCACAATAGGAGTGTAGCTATATCACAATAGGAGTAGTAGCTATGTCACAATAGGATTAGTAGCTATATCACAATAGAAGTAGTAGTTATATCACACTACAAATTTTTAGTATTTAGGTTATTGATTTTCTTGTACTTATCTTTTTTATTTCTAGAGACTGAATCAGAATTATTTAAATGGATTCATAACAAGGTAACATGAAATAATATTTATTAGCATAAAAATGAAATGGGGTCTAACCTCCTGGTGTTCACCACTAACAGGACTAATAAAGACCGGCATACACAATGCTATGTGGGAAATTCATAAGCAATGCAAATAGTTTGTCTATACATCTGGGGAAATTATTCATCATGACTTCAAATAATGTAGTTGTGTACAAAATTTGATAGTTTTGAAAAAAAAAACCCATTAACATACAGATTTTCTTTTGTTCAAATTAGGTTTGAAATATTTGTTTAATGACAATATATTTTAGCACAATAACATGGAACCTTATTACTAGTTATTATGACTATTTACCATTTTATGGCGCTGGACTGATGACAGCCAGTGAACCTTGGTCAGGGTACTATGTTGTAGAATCACCGATATGGGCAACAGGTAGGCCTACTGTACTTTAAAACACTTTTATTTCAACAGGCTTTTAAAGATACATTATTGGAGATTAGATAAAGAGCTGGCAGGTCTCACTATAATAGTTAAAAACTAAATAATGTAAATGGAATTTGCTGAAAATTTCAGTCAAATTGATCCACTCTGAACCGAGAATTTAGTGATTGAATTTTTGACCTAGCCTCGATCAACATTACTTAATTCGGTACGATAAAAACCATAGTCTCGATTATTAATTTCATGATTAAATCATGAATGAAAGTTAAGCAGCAAATCAGATCCTAATCTAGTAAATATCGCAGGCTAGCGATGACATCAAGAGTTGATTATGGTCTGGATAAGTTAATTAATGTCTAATTAATAATTTAGATAACATTTCAGACCTAAAGAAAGACCTGCAATAGGTAGATTTAGCTCTTGCATAATGTATGTTTAATTGAATCTGTATACTACTATTAACATGTCCACAATCATGTTTTTTTTATGATTACATTGTCCCTTTGTAAAGTGTCCCTAAACATGTGATATGCAAGGGCTCACTATAAATATGCTGTAATAATAATACAACAGTGGGTATTTTATTATCCCGCACTGAACAAGGTAAAGGGAGGGATTTTGAATGGACTTTGTCTGCTGCGGTTTTGTTTCTGGAGCATATCCCATAAACTGTTCAAGATGTTTTTATGAAATTTTGTACACATACCCATCGTTCCGTTGGGGGGGGGGGGGATGGCCGAATGGTTAGCACGTGCACGCTGTATCATACGGTCTGTCATTGAGTCAACTGGCGGGGTTTCGATTCCCCGGTTGTACGTGAAAAGGAGTAGGGTCGCCTGTCCAACCTCGTGGGTTTTCTCCGGGTCCTCCGGTTCCCTCTCACTGCTAAAGAGCCCTACGCGCAAGCAAATTATTGAAATAAAATTGAACCATGTGTTAGCCCCGAAATGACCTAGTTTGTGTCGAGTGGACATTAAACCCCATTTCTCTCTCTCCATCGTTCCATCCCAGTTTTGTCTCATATCTCAAGATACTATCATGAAACTTTAGATAATCTAATTAATTTTGAAAGAGTCCATTTAGATTTTTAATATCTTCAGCTCATACTACACAGTTTACGTCTGTTGGGTGGAAATATTTACGGCATGGAGCAGGCATAGGAAAACTTAATGGAGGTGGAAGCCATGTAGCTCTGATTAGTCCAGACAGAAAAAATATTACAATTATTATTGAAACAATGGTGAGTTACACATATCTTCTTTTACACAGCTACTATATAAACAACTGAAATGAAATGGGGTTTAACGTCCTACTGTTCTGCTCCGAACTGGGCAAATGAAGACGGGCATACGCTATACAGTGTACTATGAGGGAAATTTTACCCGGACAGCGGCACTACGGCCTACTCTTATATCGAATTCCAACTGTCAAGGGATCTTGTACGTGCACGCCAATGTGTACACAGGGCCTTGGTTTTTCGTACCTTCCGAAGGACTAGGATAGCAGTCCTTGTCAGGCCCTCCGCCCTGCGTTACTGACAAGGGGGAACACCAGACCTCCAGGCTAGTGAGCCAGCATCTTACCCATTTAGCTACCGTGATCCTCACTATATAAGCAGAATTCAATTCTTCCACTTTATCACCGGTGTAATTGTCCCCTAAAAGACTGCTAAACAAAAATACCACAAACAATAGACTTTAAAAACTAGGAGTACATCTAAAGATATCTTGGTTATCATACATAAAGCTTTAAATTCATGGTATTGCTGTTATCTCGATTAGAATGTCCCTGGGCTGGAAAAAAGGTTTGTGTTTGTTTAAGCCCGACCTTCACATTTCAGGAGTGGCACCAGCGGGGTCGACAAGAAAAGTATGCCTTGTCGTATGGAGGGAACGGTAAAAAAGCAAGGTACACCGGTGTACACTTTGTTGTACAAGTAACAGAATCCTTGGTCTTTTTTGACTCATGGTATCCCATGCATTGACATAGGAAATGCATCAGGATTTTACATAATCCAGAAATTAAAGCAGAGTACTAGAGTAGATAAAAAAAAATGGTCCAAGAAAAATTATTCATGTAACCATAGAAATGATAATTGCCATATTATGTTTGTTTCAAAATGAAAACAAAATGAAATAGGGTTTAATGTCCTACTGTTCTGCTCCGACTGGGCTAATGAAGACAGGCACACGCCCGGGCAGCGACTCTACGGCCTACTCTTATATCAAATCCATCTGCCAAGGGATCTTTAAAGTGCATACCAATGTGTACATGGGATCTCAGTTTTCCATCCCATCCGAATCACTATACTATCCCTTGCCAGGTCCTCAGCCCTGCACCACTGACAAGACCGCTACACGCAAGCGAAATATTAAAATAAAATTGAACCAGATGTTAGTCCCGAGATGAACTAGAAAAGTGGACGTTTAATCCCAGCTCTCTCTTTCCTATACAAATGGATAGTATTTACATTATACATTGTATTTATCTTTTATTATATAGAGTTGTAGTGGTTCATTATATGCGAATAGATTCTCACCAAATTATACAGTAATACCACAGCAATTACTCATAGATTTAAAAGGTAGTTTTGTAAGTAGCTTTTTTCTTCTGAATTATGTTCAGACTAGTACGTCCACTTTCTGAAATCCTACTGAAACTATTGTTCATTTACCTGTTATTGGCAGATGAAACTATTTGTTCAATTAGCTTTTATTGAAAGGTGAAACTATTAGTTCAATTAGCCATCATTGACAGGTGAAACTATTGGTTCAATTAGCTATCATTAACAGGTGAAACTATTGGTTCAATTAGCTATTATGATTGACTGGGGAATCTACTGGTTCTATTACTGATATGTGAAAGTATAAATCCAATTAGCTATTGTTACTGATAGGTGAAAGTATCAATCCAATTAGCTATTGTTACTGATATGTGAAAGTATCAATCCAGTTAGCTATTTTTACTGATATGTGAAAGTATCATTCCAATTAGCTATTGTTACTGATATGTGAAAGTATCATTCCAATTAGCTATTGTTACTGATATGTGAAAGTATCATTCCAGTCCAATTAGCTATTGTTACTGATATGTGAAAGTATCAATCCAATTAGCTATTGTTACTGATATGTGAAAGCTACCGGTTCAATTACAGACAGGTGGGACTATAGATTCAATTACGGACAGGTGCAACTGTCGTTTCACTTATTTATTATTACTGACAAAGGTGACAGACAAGATATTCTTAGTGTTTATGTTTTCGTATTTTATTGCCAAATTAAATTTCAAAATCATATTTATTTTTATGACAAGTTGTGTTAGTGTAGTAAAAAAGTCCTTGCTTGACAGTTAGAAACCAATGACCAGTAGGTGGGAACTCCGCTGTCCGAACAAAAAATTTCCATTATCATTGTACATATGGCCTTTGAACAGATAACCATATATTCATCTCATTATAACCAAAGTTTTGTGATGACAAGATATTAAACCCCATTCCATTCCGATCTAAGTGAAATATTAAAGGATACATTCCTGATAAACAGTTTGTGCAATACTCGTATTTCTGAGGAAACTGTCAAATTTTACCAGTTTCCCAAACAAAATTCAACAATTTTCATTAATTTTATTTCCCAATTTTATTTTATATTTTTAGACAGGTGTATCTAAACACAGTAAATCTGTCATATTTTACCCATTTCCAAAAAGATTTCAATAATTTTCAATGATTTGTTATATTTTCTAGGCAGGAATAACACAATTAAATACATGGTATAGCCGACCAGGTCATTCAGACGATAACTTATTTATTAAAAAATCGCCTATAATTGTAAGTAATCAGAAAGGAAATTGATCCTGAATTTTTAAATCTTAGTATGCATGAGAGAACTATTGGTGACTGATTGTGGCCTTCCTTGCCTTTACCTAAAATTGTCTCGAAATGAGGATCACAGTGGCTAAGTGGGTAAGACGCTGGCTCGCTAGCCTGAAGGTCTTGGGTTTGATCCCTGCAGTGGCCGAGAAAGTTCATCCAGATTTTCCAGCGTGGTTTCCCCTTGTCAGTAATGTAGGACAGAGGGCTGACAGGGACAGCTGTCTAGTTGTTCGGATAGGACAAAAATCGAGGTCCCGTGTACACATTGGCGTGCACGTAAAAGATCCTTTGACAGTTAGAATTCAATATAAGAGTAGGTCGTAGTGCTGCTGTCCGAGCAAACTTACCCTTATAGCACACTGTATGGTGTATGCCCGTCTTCATTAGCCCAGTTCGGAGCAGAACAGTAGGAGGTTAAACCCCATTTCATTTCATTTTATTTGTCTCAAAATGACCTTATTAAAGCTGCTGATAGCCATTTGGAGGATTTTGAATCCCTTGTAAACTACATTATTGGGAAATTTGAATTAACAGTCCAGAAATGGTTCGATACTATTCAGTATGTACAAAGATTGCATCATTGGCACTCTCTGCAAACTTTATAAACAAATCAATGCTATATACAATCTTTGGACCTGTCTCTTTTAATCTAATTGAATCCAATCTGGGAGGTTAACGACCATTGATATTTTGGTTTTATTTTCTAAATTAGCTGTTAAATAATCAGTTCAAGTACATTTTAGTGTGGACTAAGCAATGAAACTAGATATTGTTCGAAAAATTCTAATACCAATCAGTGGCATTAGGCTTGGTTTATTTCAGTTACCCAGTAGATAATCTGAAGTACAGACAATATTTTAGTTAACTAATGGTCAAGGTTAATTAGATAATGTTCGAAAAACGCAAACTGTTTCAAACTTTGTTTATTTCAGTTAACTAATGGTCAGGGTCAGTTAGATATTGGTGTAGATGAAGTATGGACATTAACTACTATTAATACTGGAGTCAAGGGAAGTTTCCCATCACCACCAGCTTCAGCTGAATTTCCACTACCTTATTCTGATAACTTTGAATGTGAGATATTTTTATCACTTTGTGATATCCCTTTGTTAATATGATCCCACATTTCCTCTTTAGCTATGTGCATGTACATGCACACACAAATTATGCAACATGTGTACAAAGGAAATTAATGTGCGCCAAAATTTTAGGGCTCATAAAAATATTCTGGTTAACTAAATGCATTGCTTCATTACACCTTAATTTTGATAGAAGATTCTTCTTCTATTTGTGTTTGACGTCCATTTCCACCGATGGTGATATTGCAGACAAGTTGTCTTATTTTTATTATCTTAGCAAACGCGCAGGGGTCTTTTCTGTGGGAGGAAACAGGAGTAGACGGAGTAAACCCCAAGGTTGAGAAAAAGCACCCTATCTCCATGCCATATACACTCACAACCACAACCGTAAGCCAGAGGTGACCAGCAGCTATAGCTTGGAGCACGACACTCTAGACGACTATGCCATCCCAACTCCCCTTGATTGAAGATCGAATGATTTTCTTATAAATACTCTTTTAAGTCTAGCTTGGTCTAATGTTATTGGATAAAACCACATAGCTATATATGAAGTGATTATTTCTTTCTGCAGCTTATAAACCTGGTGTTGAGCCCTACAACCTGGTACCACAAGCTGGTTCATTTGAAACCTTTAAATCAACTGATGCCAACCATTCCATTGTTATACGACAAACTGTACTGGAGGACCCTTTACACTGGTGCCCATTTACTATAGATTTTCCTGTGGCTGTTATAGGAAACCATAGTTGGTGGGTAACTTATTGTTTTGTTTACTAGCACAATTGGGTGGTCGAGTTGTTGTTTATCACAACATGCACTTTATATCATAAGGTCTATCATTGAGTCAAGTAGCATGGTTTTGATCCCAAGCTTGTATGTGACACAGGGTAGGGTTTCCTCCTGGTGGTAAATTGATAAAGTTTCATCAAATGAAATACGGCAAAATCAATTAACTAATGGAGCACTTATGCCCTTGCACACTGTCACCAACAGCTGATGATAAAATGCAAAGTTTTGTTAAAAACATACGGAATATGATGCACTTAGGGCTTAGGACGCTTTGCATCTCCACCATGTTATAATCGGACCCTTGGTGGTTCCTTGGTTCCTGGGGTAAAAAGGAAAAACACAATCATTCTCCATATTAGAATTCCAATCCCTATCTTTATTATGGGTACTGAAAAAGGCAGAAGAACTACAACATAAGGGAGACAACTTGCGTCTACTAAAACATAAGGTTTCAGAGCACAATGATATACAATATAAAACAATATGATACTACATGTAGTTGCACGAGTGATGTATTAAAATAAACTGTACAAAATGTAAGTCCCTAAAATAACCTAGTTTGTTCCGTGTGAACATTAAACACCCTTTCTCTGTAATAAAATTCAACTGTCAAGGGAGGGGGGGGGGATTGCTGGATGGCTGAATGGCGTGTGCGCGCTGTATCATAAGGTCTGCCATTGATTTAACTGGTGTGGTTTCGATTCGCCAGTTGTACGTGACAAGGAGCTGGGTCGCTTGTCCAACCTCATGGATTTTCTCCGGGTCCTCCGGTTTCCTCCCATTACTAAAGACCCCTACGCACAAGCCAATTATTGAAATAAAAATTGAACCATATGTTAGTCCCGAAATGACCTAGTTTGTGTAGAGTGGCCGTTAGACCCCATTTCTCTCTCTCTCTCTCTCTTACATCCTGGTATATATAGCAGATTATAAGCTGTGTAATTTAAAGTAAATATATGATGATTTGTGAATGGCCTCACCATCTGTATGGGCTGATCTTTATAGAGAATGTGATATAATAATCTATAGGCTATTTATGTACGTACATCAGATAAACTATGTACTTTTAAATCCCAAAACTGATCAACTAGTCTCTTATAGTCAGTGCTCTTTTAATTATCAAGCACCTGTTTTATGGAATAATCTACCATTTAGTTTAAGATGCTGTACATCTCTATATTCTTTCAAAAGAAACAACTTAAAACACATTTATTTAATCAGGCTTTTAACTGACTCTGTATACAATTGTTAACATGTCCATAATCTTGTTGTTTATTTATGATTACATTGTCACTTTGTAAAGTGCCCCTGAACATGTTATATGAAAGGGCGCACAATAAATAGAGAGAGAGAGAGAAATGGGGTTTAACGTCCACTCGACACAAACTAGGTCATTTCGGGACTAACATATGGTTTAACTTTATTTACATAATTTGCTTGCGCGTAGGGGTCTTTAGCAGTGGGAGGAAACCGGAGGACCCGGAGAAAACCCACGAGGTTGGACAGGCGACCCTACTCCTTGCCACGTACAACCGGGGATTCGAAACCACGCCAGTCGACTCAACTACAGCGCGCGCACGCTAACCATTCAGCCATCCAACCCCCCACACAATAAATATGCTATAATAATAATATAATATGTTATTTCTAGGGCTGATATATACATAGAATGTGATGTAAGAATTGGTAATGTCAATAATACAGATGGTGCATTTATAGCTGCCCGTGTAACTCAAGGTGGATGTCAGGCATTTGAAGCTGAAGGAGTTTATTTCTTTATATTCCCTTCTACAAATACAATTAAACTCTCCAATGATTTAGGTAGGTTTACTCAGTGGCAAACGCAGGATATTTTAGTTAGGAGGGTCTGAGCTCTCTCTATCTCGGCATATTTGAACCTGAATAAAACATTTAATTTCATCAGCTACATTATCCCAACCACCAAAAAACTCCAATTTACAAAATAATAAGTTAATTTTTCATACTGTCATACAGTCTATTTATTTACTATAATTTTTACGATATCCTTTGTCAGCTTGTTAAACAGGTTCTCATTGGCCCAGCGATTTGCCCCCATATGCATATTTTGCTCCAGTTTGTGCTGACAAAAAGTTTATAAGCACATCTGAGCTATTCAGATTTTCTTATATGTACCACCTTGCAATTCCTTATAGAAACCCCTAGAAAGAAGGAAAATGAAGTAGCGTTTAACACAGTGTCACGATTTTTGTTGCCTGTTCCACAGATTCTAGTTATGAATCCAGCATGTTAAAATATGGAATTTTTGGGGGCATATTCAATAAATGTTTTCTTACATTTTCTTGCTGCAAACAGTCCTTCAATGACAAATTTATTTCTTGGTGATACAAAATTATTAAAGGTTTGAGTCTTTGGGTTTTTTTACTCTATATTTTGAATGCCTATTGATATACTTTTTTAATCTTCAGCACAAACTCAGGTAGTTTTCAAAGGAAGTTTTACTGGGTTTAAAGAATGGAATAAACTTTCTTTAGCTGTACATGTAAGTTAAAAATACAATTTTGATTACGACTTTTCGACAGATAAGCTATCTAACAGTCTTATGTTATTATGGTTTTTGCTAGTATTAATTGAAATGAAATAGGGTTTAACGTTTTATTTTTCTCCACCGAATGGCCTGATCAAGGTGGGTGCTAGTATTAACTTTGGTTTGTATTAAATTTGGTCTTTTTTATATATTGGTTTCATAGCATTATTTGTTTTTTAAATTCTAGGGCCAGGTGGCAACAACAATGATTAATGGACAGACTGTTATTACACAAAATATAACTGGCACAGCGAAGGATGGATTTGCTGGACTTGGAACATCATCATTTGGACTGGCAGATTTTGATAACCTAAAAATAATGAATGTAGACAGTGGCATAAAGAGAATGAAACAAGTAAAAATATTAAAAGATACAAAATTATTTTTTATAGCTGACAATTTATAGAAATAAATTTAGTAAATATAACTTTTAAAATCATTTTTGTTGTAGAATATATACATAAGGAGGACAAAAACAACTTTGATGTAGGGAACCAAAAAAGGCATGACTGAAGTGTTTTTAAGTCTTGGATATGCCCTATGGTTTATGCAATGCACCTGCAACAAATTACTGCTTTACATAACTATTTAGATTTCTTTAAAATAAAGTAAAACATTTTAAGCCACAACTACTGTAATAGGTTGATGTGTGTACAAAGTTTCATAAAGATATCTTGAACGGTTTATAAGATATGCTCCGGAAACTAAATCACGACGGACAGACCCCCATTCCAATATCCCTAACTTTCTTCGTGCGGGATAGTAACATGGTATGGAAAAACTGATGTACAGGAAGACAAATCCATTTTTTCGAGAGATCATTAAACATGACCTCGCTATACAACTCTAGTTATCCAAAATTTATTTATACAGACCGTAAGAAAACCATAGCTTAAACAAGCTTGTGGTGAGGCCAGTGGCCTATAAGTTGTGTACAAAACTAGCATATTAATAATATAGCAGCATAGTTTTATGAATTGACACGGTTATGTTGAGGGTAGATTTATCATTGACACAGCAGTGTCGAGAGTTATCAAAATATATAGAAATACAGAGGTGATAGAAATAAGAAACATACAATAATTTGTGTTTTTATAATTGCTTTAATGAATGACATGTTTTATTTACAATGATATTTACAATTTATACATATGTTTCATAATTCTCACATATACAGTTCCTACATAATTTACATGAGTGCAATCAAAGTTTAAAAATATATTCATAGTATGCACTCTTTTTTTACCCATGTAAATTATATACATATATAGAAATGTAAATATTTGTTTACAAAATCTGAAAATTAAGGATGTCAAACAGATTAATACATACATGTATGCTGAAATATAGGTCTCTTGCAGTTTTACAGCAAATTCAAAATTCTAAATTTTAAAAATCCATAAATATTGTAATTTGGAACATCTGTAAGTATATAAATTAGATGGATCTAAAGGACAAAATTTCACCTTTTTTTTCCCAGGCATGTAGAATAACAAAATACTGGTATAATTTGACTTGCAAACAAAACTCATAATTATTTTTAGAAATTATCTTGGGACAACATATCTTTCATCCACACACAAACAATATACATACAAAACCTTTGGTTTTGACAAGAAAATAATTAGCACTTAGTCATAATCTACAAATACAAAAATAATCAGTTTTAGGGCAATGTGTATGAATTTACCATAAAGACTAGACATAGTTTGTTTTTATGAATTAATAACTTTTTACGTATTTTTTATGTTTTGTAGATGACCATAATTTACCATGTTTTAACTCTATACAGAGACTGGACATATTTTTTTTACGAATTAATACCTTTTTTTTACACATTTGTAAGATTTAATAAGTTTGTAGATGACCATAATTTTCCATGTTTTAACTTCATACAAAGACTGGACGTAGTTTATTTTTATAAATTAATAACTTCTTTTACACATTTTGTAAGATTTAATAAGTTTGTAGATGACCATAATTTACATGTTTTAACTACATACAAAGACTGGACGTAGTTTGTTTTTAAGAATTAATAATTTCTTTTAACAATTTATAATATGTACATTTAATTTATGTTGTCATCATTCTTGGTGCAATGTTCATCGACATCAACTCTTGAAACAATAATTTACAAGCATATGGTATACGGATTTGGGAAATCTGAAAATAGACAAAAACAAATAAATAAATGGAATGGTCTGGGTTTAATGTCTACAACAATATTTCAAATATTTCTAAACGAATTACAAAAGCATAGAATTGGGGTTATGGCCTCATCAACAGAATACTGTAGTCATTTCTATTTCTATTTACATGTTCAATGCAAAAGGGAGAATTTTTGGAGCTAAACATGTTTCCTCACCACACAACAACTGAAAGAAAGCTGTAGATACTGTCTACAACTTGGGTATCAACTGGTAGTCAACTGTATTTAATGTTTAGTTTCAAACAATTGTTGTCTAACGATCTTAACAGTTTGAAACTAAACATTACATGTACACAATACTGGAGAGACACATCCAATATTCAACAATATTCTTAGTTTCTTCATTTACTTACGTGAGTTTTATTCTTGCAGCCTCTACATTCAAAAGTCTGATTACGAAGATTAGCAATCGCAATAAGACCACAGAAATTACACACATGGACTCGATAGGGATCTGATGCCTCAAATAATCTTTCTCGTAAAAACTGGGCAGCTCCATGAGCAATCTGACAATCTCTCTCCATCTCACCAAAACGAAGCCCACCATCACTACAAACAATAAATACAAAGTTTTTAAATGAAATCGGGTTTAAACATTAATGTCTTACTTTATGAACCAAATGGGCTAATAAAGTCAGGCATACGCAATGTGCTATTTTCCCCAGATTTCCTTGCCAGCTGTGCTATGGCTTACTCTTATTTTCATTTCTAATGTGCTGCCAATGGTATACATGCCCTTTTTTTGGTACCATCCGGATGACTAGGCATCTTTTTCTTGCCAGGATCGTATCTAGGAACTCTTGGCTAGATAATCAACACCATACACACCCAGCCACTGTGGCTACACAAAGTTTTGAATAGCAACCAAATAGACCATAAGAAACCGAGATGAAAAAAACTTCCCTGTATTCAAGCTTATAACTTCAAATCACACAATTTCTTGCGGACTCCCAATTGTCTCCCTTGCCCATTAAATATAAAAATCAAAGGACATCTTACCGAGATCTACCCTCCATAGGTTGTCTGTTTAGGATCTGTAAAGGACCTCGTGCACGAGAATGTATTTTATCATCCACCATATGTTTCAAACGTTGGTAATATGTTGGTCCGAGGAAAACCTGGGCATTCTGTTTTCTACCAGTAAAACCATTATATATAACCTGTAGAATATAACAGAAATATTACATTTCATAAAATAAATCACATACAGTCGTTCCATGTAGTAAAATATGATGTTAAAGTTGGATATCTAAAAGGAATTATCAGTCCAAAATGTTTAAATTTCCATTTAGTATTTACAAAGATGAGGAATTCAACATTTGTCAACATTCGGCATCCTCGGCAGATGATATAAAGAGAGAGAGAGAGAGAGAGATGGGGTTTAACGTCCACTCGACGTTAAATTCTTAATATTCAAGAAAGTCACAGAGAGAGAGAAATGGGGTTTAACGTCCACTCGACACAAACTAGGTCATTTCGGGACTAACATATGGTTTAATTTTTTATTTCCATAATTTGCTTGCGCGTAGGGCTCTTTAGCAGTGGGAAGAAACCGGAGGACCCGGAGAAAACCCATGAGGTTGGACAGGCGACCCTACTCCTTGTCACGTACAACCGGGGATTCAAAACCACGCCAGTCAACTCAACGACAGACTTTATGATACAGCACGCGCACGCTAACCATTCAGCCATCCAACCCCCCCAGATGATATGAACAGGAAATGGTCAAACAAAGCAACACTACTTATCATCACTTCAATCTTTTGATGGAGAGAGAGAGACAGACAGGGTTTAACGTCCACTTGCCACAAACTAGGTCATTTCGGGACTAACATATGGTTCAATTTTATTTCCATAATCGCTTGCGTGTAGGGGTCTTTAGCAGTGGGAGGAAACCGAACCAGGAGAAAAGTCACGAGGTTGGACAGGCAACCCTACTCCTTGTCACGTACAACCGGGTAATCGAAACCACGCCAGTTGGCCCAATGACAGACTTTATGATACAGCGCGCGCATGCTAACCATTCAGCCATCCAACCCCCCAAATCTTTTGATGGAGATGCCCCGCATTCAACACAGTGTTTGTCTTCACTGAGATTGATTCAATTAGAAGCTTAAGTTAGCGTGTCCTCAAAAGGTTGACAGATAAATGGATGGAATGATAGATGAACCCCATTTTAATAGTCCCCTGCTTTCTTTTAAAGGAGACAGACGAAAAACACCCCAAAACAACCAAGACAATATAATTCTAATTATATCATAAAATGTCTGACCTCATTTCCTCTCTGTTGGTAACCATATTGTTGGAGTAAATTAGAAATTTTCTGTACATTAACAGTATCATTAAAAGGCGTGGCATCACCAATCTCTCCTTTATTTGCAGCTACTTTGCCTTGTAAGCACTCAATTAAATGGCCAATTGTCATTCTACTGGGAATAGCGTGGGGATTGATGATAATATCGGGAGATATTCCTTCACATGTGAACGGCATGTCCTGAATTCATAAAACAAAATACACAATTAAATTCTATTCTCAAAACATATTCGTGAAATGGGGTTTAAAGTCTCCTCAGCATAATACTTGGATCATTTTGAGACTAAGATATAGATCATTTCTATGGTTACATGAACAATCTGGCCTGAATATTATTCTTCAAATTGCAATTGACAAAGGTACTTTTACGTGCATGCCAAATTTGTACATTTGTCCCATCCAAACTCAAGGCCCTCGATCCTGCACATCAGGGTCTGCAGTCACAAAACTTAAACTAGAATACTTTAAGAATTCTGCCCTTTTTATTGAGCTAAAATCTGTATTATGATTTTAACTCTCAAACAATGAAATGGCTGCATCCTTAAAATATTTTAGTGTATGTTTTTGTGAATGCAAACCCCAGGCTGGATAATCCAGAGGAACTATCCCGGGATCAATCTGGTAAGTAACCGTGAGTATTGCTTACTGAGCCATCGTGGTATCCCCTGCCCCAGTTTGTGATCCCTGGGACATTATTTTATATACATAATAATATTCTCTCTTACCTCTTGTCTGTATGTTATACCACACGTTCCCTTCTGTCCGTGTCGACTAGCAAACTTATCACCAATCTGAGGTTTCTTCACAGTTCGAACTCGAATTTTACAAAATTTATACCCATCGTTGTTTATAGTGACCATAACCTGTAATATACAAGTTATGCAACCAATCATAAAACACAACACAAACAGTTAGTCGAGTGAACACATGTTTGGTATTAATGGCATTTAGCAATTGAACTGGAAAAACACAAGACAGAATTCATAGCCTCAATAATATTATTCCACAGAATTGTACAGAGAAGGTTGAACACAGAGGTCATCGGTTTCAATTCCTTACCCCATTTTTAATTGTCATCTAGTAATTATTTCACCACTATACTTATTTTTAACCATCACTATTGAACCAACCATTCATCACTGTAGAACTATTCATTCAGGTCACTCCCTGTTTCACCAAGATTTAAACCCTACCATCACTGTAGAACCATTTATTTGGCCACCCCACCCAACTTTACCAAGGTCTAAACTAGTGCTGGGTATTGGCACGACAGTCACGATGCGATACTTATTGCGATTAAGGTGCTACGATACGATACAGAATTCATAGCCTCAATAATATTATTCCACAGAATTGTACAGAGAAGGTTGAACACAGAGGTCATCGGTTTCAATTCCTTACCCCATTTTTAATTGTCATCTAGTAATTATTTCACCACTATACTTATTTTTAACCATCACTATTGAACCAACCATTCATCACTGTAGAACTATTCATTCAGGTCACTCACCCTGTTTCACCAAGATTTAAACCCTACCATCACTGTAGAACCATTTATTTGGCCACCCCACCCAACTTTACCAAGGTCTAAACTAGTGCTGGGTATTGGCACGGCAGTCACGATGCGATACTTATTGCGATTAAGGTGCTACGATACGATTCGAATTATAACTAGGTCAATATTTACAAAGTGAAAACAACAGGATAAATGAATAATTGATATTTTTAGTCCTGCTGATCTTGAAGGAATAAACTGTTTTATATCACAATATTGATGTTGATCAAAATAAGGACCAGAACAATTTAAGAGTGTTTGTGTACCTATGGATAATGTGTGACATGGATAATTAAGAGTGACAGGTTACTTACTGAAGCGACAAAAAAAACATAAAAAAGAAATTGTGAAAAATCGATTCAGTGTCTCGCGATACATCGTGCCAGTACTAGTCTAAACCTTACCATCACTGTTGAACTACTCCTTTGACCACCCACCCTGCTTCACTAAGATTTAATCCCTACCCTCACTGTTGAACCATTCATTCGGGCCACCCACCCTGCTTCACTAAGATTTAATCCCTACCCTCACTGTTGAACCATTCATTCGGGCCACCCACCCTGCTTTACCAAGATGTAAACAATATCATCATTATTCAACATCCTACAACAATTTAACATTTCACAAATTATACAATTAATATTGCACTTACCTGATCAATAATACCAGTTTCACTTCTTCTCATGAAAACAGAACAATCTCTTTTACTAAACTTCATATATGTACCATCCAACTAAAAAAATCCAAAATTAAAATGGTGCTTTACAGGCTAAAAACTTCTATAAATATATCATAGTCCTGTTATATAAACCCTATAAAGAAAATATACTGGGCGGCTTGGTATGGCCTAGTTAGAGTGTCACGCTTCAGGCCCTAGCTGGATGGTCACCTCTGGCTTGCGGTCTTGGTTTCGTTCCCAGGTGTAACGGTATGTGGCTTGGAGATAGGGGTGCTTTCTCAACCATGTGACTTTATTCTGGGTACTCAGGTTTCCTCACACAGGAAAGACACCTGTGCTTATACTGACTCATCTGACTGTATCATTTATAGTGGACCTTCTTTTATTACGTATTAATTTATACTAACTTTATCATTTGTGCTTGATAAAGAAAAAAGAACAGCTGTAGAAATGTCATGCTATAATGTACAAACCAGTTATTGTTTTCCATATAAACTGTGATAGGGGACCATATGACCAGGGGTTTTTTTTGTGTGTGTTTTTTTTTGTTTTTTTTTTAAACTTTATGGATTACATGAGGAATTCTGAATCCCTAGCAAACTACAATTTTGTGAAAGATGAATCTCTAAAAGGAATATTATTCAAAAAATAGTTCAATTCTGTATTAATTTACAAAAATTTATGAATTGAAAATTAGATATTGTAGGTGACTTGAAATGATCTAAATTTCATCTAGCCGAAATCTTTTTGAAGATATCATTATTTATTTTATGATCAGTAGTGGAATACCGCGTTTTATCAGTGAAATAAAAGTGTTATTCCACTGGCTAGTTGTTTTTACCTAAAATGATTGTAAAATCATAAAATAAAAAGAACATTTGTCGTTTTGTCGTGAATAACATATTTTATTTCATCTCTAAGCAAGAAAACGTTTATATTTTCACTCATGCTACGCATTTGTGAAAATATAAGTTTTCTTGCTTCTCGATGAAATAAAATATGTTATTGACTCTAAAACGACAAATATCCTCTATGTAGTCAGTCCTCAAAGACTTTTGTTGCCATTGAATCAGTATTTTACCTCATCATCATGTGCAGGGACAGTGATAGTTTTACTGATTAAAACTCATCATCATTCGCAGGTACAGTTATAGTTTTACTGATTAAAACAATCAGTTCTTACCTCATCATCACTGGCAGGTAGAGTTATAGTTTTACCAATTAAAACATCATCTCCAGATACTCTTGTACCTGGTGCTATAATACCATCTTCATCTAATTTATCATAAATAGCAGCTCTCATACCTGTAAATAAAGGCAAGATATATCATAACAGCCCTCATACCTGTAAATATAGGTCAAATATATCATAAATAGAAGCTCTCATACCTACAGATAAAGAGCATATTTATGACCCAGTTATTTTAACCGGATGTAGAATGTAGGTCAAATACGCAAACTCACCTTGAACGGTTTCTCTGTTAGGTTTCTCAAAAATTTCTTCTTGATCCAATCCTTTTTTAGATTCAGAATCTTTGTAAGATCGGAAGAAAAACGATCTAAAAAAATACGATAAAATATTACACAACGAATATCAAAGCTGTCAGAACAGGTTTTTTCCCCGAACCACCATAACAAATTTTATGAGCCTGTAAAGAGTTGAATTGTTCAGAATGATAGTAGAACAGCAGTTGAATAGATATTATTTTATAAGATATTTAAAATGACTAGAATTCTTTGATTTGGGTAAAAAAATTTAAAATTGTTGTGTCACTGGATTTTATTTGTTGATTTTCTTATTTGTGAGATGACAATCTGTCTTTGTTGAAACTGGTATTGTTTCGATGTTCTAGGGTTACCATGTGCAGTGCAATGTAGGAGAATTTTGCCTGAAACTGGGCTTTCTGCCTACTCCCCTTTTTAGCATTCCAACAAGCACAGGTAGACCTGGTTTTTTTTCATCACATCCCCTGACAAGTGAAGGTTGGGTTCGAAAAATCCCAATGGTTCTTCTTAAACCACACTGGGATTAAAACCCAGAACATTATAGTCAAGAGAGAGAAAGAGAGAAAGAGAGAGAGAGAGAGAGAGAGAGGAGATGGGTTTAACAACTCAACACACTAGGTCATTTCGGGACTAACATATGGTCAATTTTATTTCAATACTTCGCTTGTGCATAGTTGTCTTTATCAATGGGAGGAAACCCGATAGCATGGAGAAAACCCACAAGGTTGGACAGATGACCCTACTCGTTATCACATACAAGCGGGGAATCGAAATAACACCACCTCACTACATGACAGACCTTATGTTCTAACGCGCATGCATTTAACCATTCAGCAACCCACCCACCCTTCTAGTCAAGAGTTATGTGCCTTGTCCAATCGTATATTATGGAACCTGAAACAGAGATATAAAACACTAACCTGAAATAACCTCTATCAATGGCCGAACTGTTTAAAATAACGGAATCTTCCTGATTATAACCAGAATAACAGGCGATAGCAACAATAGAATTAATACCTGGATAAAAATTATATAAATTACTGATTCATCTTTGTTTTCATATATATATATATATATATATATATATAGACACACACACTCTGCTTATTTGATAAAAAGTGTAGATTGACGATAGCACAGGTTTATTATAGAACGTCTGGTAATGGAAACGGCAAAGATATTTTGAAGACCTTTTGTATAAAACCAATTGTAGTCCATCAGCATTATTTCTAAGATTTAGTCCACAACAATTAGAATTTTGGATTTTATTGAACACCTATTAAAATTTGTGCTTCCAGTTAAAAAATCTATTTGCTCTTCTCAAAAGCCTTTATTTTTATTTTTTAAAACATCATTCACAAGACGCGAATGTCTATAGATTTATCAAAACTATGAAGAACTAAAATTGGTCTGGCCTTATTGAAACTTGCATACTTTATGTGACATAATGATCAACTCAAGTTCTTGTTTAAAAAAGAAAAAAATATTAATAAAATAAACCCAAGCTAAACAAATAAATTATAACATGTAATTAACTCACCTGCGGGAAGTTCTCTGAATCGTAAATATTCCATAGATCGTGTTGTTACTAGTGGTTTCTGGGGGTAAAATAAGCCATGAGCAAGCGTATCCATACGCACATGGTAATTTGTAATATAAAAACCCATAGCCTGTTTACCCATAGCGGATTGATATGTATTACGAGGAGACTGTAATAAAAACAATAGAATATATTAAGCTCTCCTATAATCAGAGGATTTCATTAAATGGTGTCAATGGATGTGTGTGTACATGTTAATATTCAAGAAAGTCAAAAGTTATATGAGCATCCTTTAGTCAACCCTGTAGACGCAGGAATTTCTCTGTTCATGTACAGACTTTAAATGAAATGAAATGGGGTTTAAAATCCTGCTGTTCTGCTCCTACTGGGCTAATAAAGACGGACATACGTCATGCAATGTGCTATAAGGGAAATTTTGCACGGGACATGGCCCTATGGACTACTCTTATTTTAAATTCCAACTGCCAAGAGTTATTTTACATGCATGCCAATGTATACCCAGGACCTCGATTTTTCGTACCATCCGCTCTATACGTTGCCAGGCCCTCCATCCAACACCACATAAAAGGGGGGAAACACGCCAGAAAATCAAGATGAACTTTCTACTCACTGAGTCACTGTGGCTTCCCTTTAAACAAAGGCACCTACATACTATATAAAGAATAACAAATTACCTGATTGTGATCAGGAAATGGAATAATGGAGGCACATACACCCAGGATCATTGACGGATGAATTTCACAATGTGTATACGTGGAACAATATTGTGCCTCTTTCTCACATAGGTCATCAGGGGTCATAGCTAACATGGTTGTCTCCTCTTCTAACGGATCAATGTACTCCACAACACCGCTAGCCACTAAATCCTGCCAACTACAAACAGAATAATATATTAATACACAAATCATCGTCCATCCACAACAAACAAGAGCATTTTTTAAGATGTATCGCCAATACTATATACCGGAAAACACCGAAAAACACCGAAAAACACCGGAAAACACCATGTTATACCGAATCCTGGAAAACACTGGAAAAACTCTAAATACCGGAAAACACACTAAATTCCAGAAAATACCCTAAATAGGTAACCTGGAGACTGGCACCCTAAATAGGTAACCTGGAGCCTGGTCCTCTGTGTGCCTGGGTTGGGTTAGAGTTAGGGTTAGTTTTCGGTTTATAGTATAGCCCATCTCCAGGTTACCTATTTAGGGTGTTTTCTAGTATTTAATGTGTTTTCCGGTATTTAGTGTTTTCCGTTGTTTTCCAGTATATAGTATAGCCCAGATGTATTATGTAAGAGATACATATGTCCCATTCCACATATTCATTTTGGCTTCAGAAGTTACATAAACTATTATTTAGACATTCATTCATAAGATAAGCCTATAATCAACTCTTTAGATCATCTGATAGCAGAGGTTTAAACAGATTAAAACACAGTTTGCCATTTAATGATTTAATTTAAAAATGACAAAGCGAGGCTAAGACTCGAATAACAAGTATCGTTGTTACGACAATAAACAATTATGTCACATCTGGTCAAAACATCAAACAGTGCCATACCTGTAGTTGTTATACTCTCGTAATTTCAACTGTTCAACGTGACTTTTCTTTAATAATAATTTCTGATTCTCTACAATCAACAATGGACGACAAATACGACCAGCATCTGTATAAATACGAATTTCTCTTTCATGGAAATCTCGAATCATACACACCTAAAATAGATAAATAAAAAAAACAGATTTAAAATCAGACAAACAAAATACTCCCATCATTCAATTCATATTCCTTGGTTACATTAATGTAAGTTTGCCAGGCAACATATGCATACATTCACAGCAACTAAGTTGACCAAGCTGTCCACAAACGTTGCATATCTAGTCATTTTTTAGGTATGGGATCATTCACAAGACACTGAAAACTGATCAAGATTAACAACCCATGAAGTAATCATCAAAAATCATTCAAATTTCATTGGCTTCCAGATATTCCTGTATATAAATTTCAACTGGGCGAATAGGTTTCTTCATCTCCTGAACATAAAATGTTTAACAGACAGACAATGTACAAGAGAACGAGAGGGGCCCTTTAAATTTTTGTCCAATAAAATTCTTTTTTAGACCTCTAACAGAGGGAGAAGTTTTACATCCACTTGACACAAACTAGGTCATTTGGGGACTAATATATGGTTCAATTTTATTTCAATAATTCGCTTGTGCCCAGGGGTCTTTAACAGTGGGTGGTTAAAACCCCCGTGGTTGGACAGAAGACCCTACTAGATGTCACATACAAGTGGGGAATCTAAACCACAACACAAAGTAAGCTATAAGACTTTAAACTACTTCTGACCATAAACAATGGAATTTTGGAAAATAACTATAAGCTATAAGACTTTAAACTATTTCTGACCATAAACAATGGAGCTTTGGAAAATTTTCTTAACCCACCTCAGATACAATGATATCCATTTCACGTCGTAATTTTCTAAGTGTACTCATCAGCTGATCAGGATCCCGATGTATTCCTACCCAACATCCATTTACAAATATCTTAGAAGCACTGAAAAATAAATTAATGCGTTAAAAAAGTAACTTGTCACAGTCGCATTTTATTAGTCATCATTATCAGTCGCCCAAACTCTGCGTGTGGCCTGCACAGATAGTATACAAGTCTTGCAATGTGGCTTGTTTGGGAGATGGATTATGACAGTATAACGTCCTACTGTTCTGCTCCGAACTGGGCTAATGAAGACGGGCATACGCCATACAGTGAGCTATGAGGGACATTTTGCCTGGACAGCGGCACTATGGCCTACTCTTATATCGAATTCCAACTGTCAATGGATCTTTTAAGTGCACGCCAATCTGTACACAGGACCTTGGTTTTCCATCCCATCCGAACAACTAGACAACTGTCCTTATGACAGTTGGACTGGAGGAATCAAAACTAGTTATTATATCTCTCAACTTTGCAACAGAGCTAAGGCCTACTTTTATTTCAGTTTCCATCTCTTAACGGATCTTTAGAATGCTGCCACTGGTGTAAATAGGACCAATTTTCCGTCCTATCTGATGTTTTTGCTTGCCTACACCACTGACAATGTCAAGGTACTTTCATGGCCATCACTAATATCAAAACCTTGACCGTTTAGTTAGTGAGCACGAAGAGGGAACACATCTTTAATACCTGTTTGATATCAATTTCCACAAATATGTCTTGGAATGAAAAAATATCTTTACACAAGTCTCTAGGGATGAAGAATTTTAAATAACATATAAAAACTTGAAAATAACTTACTCTTGAATAGCAGAAGGTGCCACTTCCTCTAAATTCTCCATACTCCATTCTTCCAAAAATTCTAGAATTGGTGATGGTTGCGAACCAACAGAAATATAAGCCATTAACGCCAAATTCTTCACCAGGCCGACAGCAGCTCCCTCTGGTGTTTCGGCAGGACAGATCATACCCCATAGTGTGTTGTGTAACTGACGGGGTCTCGCTAATTTACCATCCCGACCAATTGGAGAATTCAAACGACGAAGATGTGACAAGGTTGATGCAAATGTTAGTCTATTCAATACCTGAAAAGATGTATAGAAAATATTTAAGAAGAGACAAAATCATCTCTTCAACACAACTAATAGTAAGTGCAGGAGAACTGCACCACACACAAACAAATGAAAGGAAATAGGGTTTACTGTCCTACTAGTCTAATGAAGACGGGCATACTGTGCAGGGTTCTTTTACATGCACGTCAATGCGTACAATGGACCTAGGTTTTTCGTCCCATCCGAACGACTATATGTTGTCCCTTGCCGGGCCCTCCATCCTACACCACTGACAAGCGGGAACTACACTGGAACATCCCAATGAACTTTCTTGGCCGACTTAGGGATCGAACACGGGACCTTCATATTTACGAAGCCAACGTCCTACCCACCAAGCCACCACACACAAACAGAAACATGTGCTCAAGACACACAATACGTGGATATTGCAAGATATAAACAGCAAAAGTACTGTAAAATAAAGTGAATGGATCTGGGGGCTTGCTGTAAACCTCCTCAGCATTATACTAACAATTTATACATTTGAGCAACTTGTGAGTGGGAAACTGTCATGATAAGGCTGGCAAATCTTTCTTCCTGTTACTGGTATAACATTGGGATCAAAAACATGATGACCTAGGTAACAACACCCTCCCCTTCTTGCTAACAAACATAAAAACACATAGAGAAGGGTTTGTCTCAATATACTATGAAATGAAATGGGATTTAATGTCCTACTGTTCTGCTCCTATACTTGGCTAATGAAGACGGGCATACACCATACAGTGTGCTATGAGGGAAATTTTGCCCGGGCAGCAGCACTATCGCCTACTCTTATATCGAATTTCAACTACCAGGGGATCTTTTACGTGCATTCCAATATATACACGGGACCTCGGTTTTCCGTCTCATCCGAAGGACTAGGCAGCTGTCCTTGTCAGGCCCTCCGTCCTGCATCACTGACAAGGGGGATCCCCTCTCAATATACTAAGACAACATATTATTTACCTGTGAGACACCTGCTCGAGCTTGATGAGCTTTTTTCTGGTCACCCCAGTTACCTGTAGCCAGGGAATATTTCAAACCATCTGTTATAATTCTAGTTTTAATGGCCAACTCCATGTTAAAATCTTTACCACGATCAATAAACTTCTGGGCGTACATTCTCACTTCCTTCATCAAGTTTCGGAACAACCTAAAATAAATGACATAATACACCACTGATAAAATGAAAACACACAGTAACATTCATTATCAGAAATTGTGGAAACATCACATATAAATTTTTTAAATAATCGGATGACAAAAGTAGCCTGACGAGTGTTCAAAAGAAATTTCAATGTGAGCATACAATAATGGGGGATAGTTCACTAGTTTGCGGGTTCATTAATTTGCCAGGGCAGTAAAATCAAACTTGATTCAGACATGACTTACCCTCGGAAAAGGAAAGCCAGTAATGGTCCGGCTAAATCCAATCTTTTATTACCATAGTGATCTCGATCATCAACTTCTCGTCGTCCTAAAGCAGCCAATAACAGACGATGTACCATATATCTACAAGATATAAACAATAAACCAATAAAAAACAATATAACATATATCTATAAGATATGAACAATAAACAAACCATATAACATATATCCAAAAGATACATACAAATTATATCACGCAAGGCGTTTTTATCGACCACTGATTAGCCAAAGTGATTTGCATTCAATCAAATTTTCATCTTTAACGTCCATCTAATTCAAATTGGTTACCCTAATCAACGAATTTATCGACACCGATTTCCGAAGCGATTACATCAAATCGCCAAATCACTTCAGGGTGCGATTTGACGATTTGATCGGGTGATCACGTGTTTTTTTCAACTGTGTCCAGCCACAACAATTGTTTACAGCTAATTGGAGCATTTAACGAACTCATCAAAGTACTTTGAAATCAACTATACTGTTACATGACATCTCCACTAAATTCAAATCGATTTGGCAAGTCGATAAAAAAAGCCTATAATATCTAAAAGATATAAACAATAAACAACCCATATAACATATATCCATAAGATATAAACAATAAACAAACCATATAACATATATTTATAAGATATAAACAATAAACAAACCATGTACTGTATATACCCACAAAAGATGAAATAGGGTTTAAATCCTACTTTTCTGCACCAACTGGGCTAATGAAGATACAGATTAGCCATCATGCAGTGTGCTATAAGTGTATTCCATGTATACTCACCCTAAGAAATAGGCCTTTTTTGTTTCACAAAATTCTGAAACTCCAACATGAGGCAACATTTCTTTTTGTAGAATTTCCTTTGCGTAGCGAATTCTCTTTTCTTTGGTTACACCAGGACGTGCTCCTCTTGATCCAATAAAATTACAAGCTACATTTTGTTCCTGGATGACAAAGGCTTCATCTAATGATGGTTTTACCTGAAAGATTCAAAATGAAAGGAATCAAATTTAGTTTTTAGTATAAATTCCATATGCCACATAACTAATCCAGAATTTCCAGACAGAGAGAGAGAAATGGGGTTTAACGTCCACTCAACAAAAACTATGTCATTTGGGGACTAACACATGGTTCAATTTTATTTCAACAATTCACTTGCGCATATGGGTCTTTAGCAGTGGGAGGAAACCAGAGGACCTGGATAAAACCCACCAGGGATTTGAAACCCTGCCTGTTGACGCAATGACAGACCATATGATACAGCGTGCACGTGCTAACCATTCGGTCATTAGTCTAAGTCCTACTTTAGTTCTACTGAATATTTCACATGAACGACAATGTCCACTTTTATTTTTGGACTTGCATTTTGGTCTAAATTCTACTTTACTTCTACAGAATATTTAGGACGATATCTTCCTTTCATTGTTTTGACTTGCATTTCACTTTACTTCTACTGAAAATAAAATATTTCAAATAGGAGAAAAATAGTAGATAAAACCTTACCAACTCCATCATTTCTGGATCATCAAAGTCGTAAATAATATGTTCTAGGATATCTCTATCTGATACAAATCCGAGAGCACGGAATACAATAATTATAGGTATTTCTTGTTTAATATACGGCAAGATGGCAATAATTCTCTGACCTATAGCACTTCTTTTTGCTCCCTGAAACATTCAAATAAAACCATGTAAAATATTTTTCACCCTGAAACATTAAAACTAAAAAATTGTAAAATATTTTGCTGACTGACAAATTAAAACAAAACCATGTAAAAATTTTGATCAACTAATAGGGAGAGAAAAAATTTGGGGTTTAATATAAATTCAAAACGAACTAAATCATTTCAGGTCAGACATATCTTTCAATTTCATTTCAATAATTTATTGGACATCGGGGTTTTGAGCAGTGGGAGGAATTCGGAGGACCAATAAAGTACATGTAATATGGGGTTTAGCATCAAATTTTCAAAAACAATGAAGATATGAGCAGTGTGTTATGACAGAAATTTTGCCATGATAGCTATGTTTTCACCTACTCTACATAGAATTCCGACTGTCAAGGGCTCTACATGCACAGCTACATCGAACCTCAGATTTACACCCCATCTGAAAGACTAAACACTGTTCATTAAGAGCCCCTTCTTTCTGCACCACTGACATGGGGAAATCATGCTGGGAAATCCAGGGGAACTTTCTCTATCAACACCTTGATCGAACACCTTATCTACACAGTTGATCCCCAGATACTTGATATGTATGATAACCATACTTCATGGAGAGAAAAAAGACTGGATAATAACAATATTAAACTACTTACACCTCCACCTCTAGCCATTAAATTAACCCACATCGTACTTGTAGGTCTGGACGAATGTTCTAAACATGAACGTAACTCAGTTTTAAATGCATATTTAGAATCCTTCTGTTGAAATACATAAACTGAAAGCAGAAAATCATTTTGTTAAAATGAAATGAGGTTTAACGTCCTACTGTTCTGTTCCAACTGAGCTAATGATCTGCCAAGGGATTTTTTATGTGCACACGGACCTTTGTTTTTCATCCCAGCCAAAACGACTAAACAACTGTCCTTGTCAGGCCCTCTGTCCTGCACCAGTGATAAGGGGGAAACCATTGTTTGTTGAGGTAATTAGGTAAAATAAATAAAACGTTCATTGTTTATTTACAATTCAAAATCAAACCAGGTTCTCTTTGGGGCAAAAACTTGCAAATATCAACCAATAAAAGCAATATTAAAAAACTGATTTGTACACTCCAAAAACTTTTATAGACATCTGAATATCCAAAATCTCTTGATGACATTTATAGATTTCAAAACTCTATACAGCATCCCAAAATTTATACTAATTTATACGTTCTGCAGTAATTTGTGTCTGACAAAGTTTGTAACAGGTGACGTGACTTATGTCCAGACTTGTTCACATCGTCTAAAGATATATTTAAACCCTTTTTGGCATACCAAAATACCAAAAACATTTATAGAATCTAAAAATCCCAGAAACATTTAAAGAATCTAAAAATCCCAGAAACATTTATAGAATCTAAAAATCCCAGAAACATTTATAGAATCTAAAAATCCCAGAAACATTTATACAATCTAAAAATCCCAGAAACATTTATAGAATCTAAAAATCCCAGAAACATTTATAGAATCTAAAATCCTAGAAACATTTATAGAACTTAAAAATCCTAGAAACATTTATAGAATCTAAAAATCCAAGAAACATTTATAGAATCTAAAAATCCTAGAAACATTTATAGAATCTAAAAATCACAGAAATATTTATAGAATCTAAAAATCACAGGACACCATCCCTCAAAATGTAAATTTTTAACAAATATATAATAAAGTACCTGTGTTGGCAGCCATTTTTTCTTGGGCAATCAAAACTTTTTCTGATCCATTGATAATGAAATATCCGCCCGGATCTAAAGGACATTCATTTAACTCTGTCAAATCACGATCTGTGAGTCCACTCAGTAAACAATATGTCGATCGTAACATTATAGGTATTTTACCGATGTACGTCTTCTGATGCAGTGTCTGTATTTTGTCTTCACCTTCTTTTTGGAAGGTTTTTGAAATGTCTACATAAAGTGGCGCTGAATACCTAGAAATAAACAATTCTAGTTTAAAACCAGATTATTCTGGAACTTGATGAAGACTAGATAAGCCTAGCACAAACACAGCTCAGAAATTGTACCATATTCCATAGAATTTTGTCCTGTGTAATTCCAGTCTAATTACGAAATGTCATTATAAAAATATTTTATTCTGGAGCTCTTTTCTAAGAAAAATTTGTTTCAGCTCATTACTTAAATTTCTGTGGTTTAGAAATAAATTAAATTTTGCTGTAAAGAAATAAATTAAATTTTTGCTCTTTAGGAAAAATAATTAAATGTTTGCTCTTTAGGGAAAAAAATTAAATTTTTGCTTTTTAGAAATAAGTTGCATTTTGAAGACTGCATCCTACTCCTCCAATAAAACTCAATATCCATTCCTGGCTTATGTAATTAGCTCTTAGATTTGAGTCTAAGATAAAGTACTGATTTCATTGGAGGAGAGAGAGAAATGGGGTTTAACGTCCACTCAACACAAACTAGGTCATTTCGGGACTAACGTATGGTTTTAATTTTATTTCAATAATTCGCTTGCGCGTAGGGGTCTTTAGCAGTGGGAGGAAACCGGAGGACCCGGAGAAAGCCCACGAGGTTGGACAGGCGACCCTACTCCTTGTCACGTACAACCGGGGATTCGAAACCACGCCAGTCGACTCAATGACAGGCTTTATGATACAGCGCGCGCACGCTAACCTTTCAGCCATCCAACCCCCCTGATTTCATTGGAGGTGTTGATTTTATTTGTGAAATCAAAATTAGTAAACAAACCTATTTCCACTTAATCTCTCGAACATTTAATAACACACCAGACCAACCCGATTCAATTAACAATCTATTTCGGACTAAAGAGATTTAACGACATACAAATTGAAATTGTGTATAATCAATCTTTGTTCAAACAATTACTATCGATAATTCCTTTACGTAACACCAAAATCACATGAAAAATAAATCATTTGTGAAACTAATATCTTACGTTAAATTTCTCAGTCGCGCTTCATTGGGCATCATGGGACTTGGTGCACCATCTTTTTCCCAATGTGTCGGCTTTGACAGATAAATCTGTTCAAACTTTAACTCATAACGAGGCTAAAAAATAAAAATTGAAAAAAAGGTGAAATAAAAAATAAATTTTAAAAAGTTGTACAAATGGTAGATCAAGTTGTGTGAAGGAGTTTAAGAAAGCACTAAGCAGACTATCCAGGAAGCTTTCACATATTATGAGATTTACTGTTATTGGATGTTCTTACCCATAACATTTGGATCAAGAACTTTACTTTTCAATACAGTGTATCAATTGTGTGGAATACAATGTGATTCTGTGTCAGTTTTTAAATCTACAGTGAAAATATGGTTATTTTGTCATTAACCGTCCAAAAGGAGCATATTTCTGGCATCCAGAGCATTCCCTAGCTGAATGAATAGTTGCAGGATACAAATATCATTATTTGAGAAGAACGGCATATGTTTTCATTGAAATTTTCAGTGCATATTAATTACTGTTATATAATATGTGAAAATGAAAGTAAATGAAATCAAAAGGGGTTTGTCATCATACTTTTCGGCAATAACTGGGATAATAAAGTCTTGCATACATGTACGCCATGCTGTGTTCTATTAGGAAAATATTTCACTGACAGGATCTTTTCAACAAACATCCAATTGCAACTGTCAAGGGTTCTCTTATAGGCATGCCAAAGTGTGCATATGTGTACACGGGACCTTGGTTTGCCGTTCCATCCGCTGTTAATACCAGTTACCAGGCCTTTCACCCTTGAAGTTGGCAATAGAATCATAAAATACCAAAATAACGATATAAAATGTATATAACATCATAAATAAATCACGTACCGGTGTTTCTATGACACCAGATGTATGTTGGGATTCTGCTTGAAGGTCAATAGTTGGCGAGTCCTCCACAATTCTCTGAACGGACATCTGGATAAACTCATCAAAAGAATCAAGCTGCTGTCGTACCAGGCCCTTTTCGTCAAAATAAGAACTGATGACAATCCAACACGCCTCCTGCCACATGTCAGTCGTGATCTCATCATTCTCCTCCTCCGCCTCAAACATTTCTACAATCAAATAATTTTTAAACTTTTAGAACATGATGTCTCAAATCTGCCTAGCAATAAATCAATTTTCATTTGGGTAGTGCATATTCAGAGTCATGAATTGGCCTATAGAAACTAAAGCTTGCACTGTTTGACTGCGAGAGATTTTAATTTTCATGTTGGCTCGAAATACCAAATTTATCTATAGTTCTTTTTATTAAAATCAGTTTTAATCTACCGGTACTCATTCTTCTCGAAGCAGATAGCAGTGGGCTATAGCTACTACCGGTATTACAATAGTTCAGCTCTGAATGTAGGTCTCATTACACTCGCCCTGTACGTTCAGGAACCGTACTATTGCATCCCAATTTTTTTTCCCCCCTGGCTCACCTAAATTTCGTTCCATCTTATATGGCCGAGTTCGTAAATTTGTCCATTACCCTATCAATGACATCGGTCAAGTCATTTAGAAGACGGGGACGTATTTATTTAACAGCGTGTTGTGTCACTCATACTGGTTCTTGCGAGGTAAGCAAGGTCTTATTTTCTCACTAAGATGTTCATTTACATTGTTCAGGCGTTCACAAGGACTGACACATGACCGTTTAGCAGTAAAAAGTTGCCCAGTAAAATTTACTGGGAGGGAAGTGAAATTTTTTCGCCAAGGATTCAATAGGACGATTCCTGAACGTACAGGGCGAGTGTACTGAGTCCTACATCTACGTTTAGAGCTGAACTACTAGCTACTACAAGAACTTAATTGAGTACAGTATGGCAGTATTTACATCATGGCTAGTGCATTATGGTTGACAAATATCTCTTTTTTATAATTTTGTTTAAGATGATGTAATAGGAATAATGAAAATTCTGGTCTAGTCCACAGTTCATCAGAAGAACGTCAAGTAAGGAGCAAGAAAGAGGAGAAAGAAAAAAACTAACAATAATTCTAACAGAATGAGGATCGGGTATAATAATGACAACCAGTAGTTTCGACAGCCTAGACAGTATGCTTAATAAATGAGGACAATACATTTTATTAATTCTGCTATAAAAATGCAAATTGATATAAAATAACAAAAACAAACGTCATTTGAATATGTAAACAAAGCCTAGTCAGCGGAAATGGCCGGTAACGAATCTGCGCATTTAGATCAAATATTGTGACAAAAACGCACCTTCATCTTCCCCATACATTTTGGAAATGTATCAAATTGGGTTTCAACTTTTAAATTAATACAAATTCAATGCTGAATTCTTGTTCGTTAGCCTTGATGTCAACGGATTTGACAAGCGTAGCTTCACTCCGATCAGATTCGCTCCGCCATTTTCGACGGAACTCTTCATTGTGAAGTCATATTTGGATACGTCTGACTATTATTTCCGGTTTAAGGGGGAGATAACTAACAGATTTTAGCAGCTGAAAAATGTCAATATTCTGTCAAAATTGAATTTAATTAATTTCAAATTGAAAAGATGGAGCTGTACCAAACTGAATCACATTATATTTTGCTTGATTCGGAGTTTAGTTTGTGGTGCAACAGAAATAATGGTGCTTTGGAGCCAAAAAGAGGTGGGTGGTATTTTGTTTTCTACATATTATTTATTATTTATTTGAAGGCCTACATGACATGGTAGTTTGTTTTTAATTTTTCGACTCCATCTCTCTCTGTCGTGAATCATTGTAATCCAACTTATTATGTCCAACTTACAACAGAGACGTCTTTTATATACCATCCAGGTTTTACTGCTCACAATCTGTCATACTTGACATATTTGATTTTAAAGCCTAAATAAATGACTTTAATCGGTGCATTTTGACTAATCTCGCGTAAGAATTCAGTTTAGAAATTTAAAAAAAATATATATGCCAGTGTTGGTCAAGAAAGTTCATCAGTATTTTTCAGCATGGTTTCCCCCCTCTCAGTGGTGCAGAACTCAGGGCATGTCAAAGAGCAGCATGTATATTAGTGTGCATGTATATAAGTACCCTTGTCAAAGAGTAGGTGGGAACGCCCACACCCAGACAAAATTTCCCTCCTAGCACACTGCATGCCTATGTTTGTTAGCCTGATTGGTGCACAAAAGTAAGACCATTTGATTTGTTATACAACAATATGTACAAAATAAATTGAAAGTAGAGTTATTATTATGACAGGCAGACTTGGTCATTTGACAGCAGATGGGCTATGACCATATATAGGCTGTCATTTTACAGGATGATCTTTCATAATTGAATTAATATTATTAAATATTTCAAAGTTGACTCAAAACTGATCAAATAGACAAAACCTCACCTTATTAATATATGATAAATGTAGCCTACGATACTTGAGGGGGGGGGGTGGCCTATCATGTGTGCTTTAGATCATAAGATGTGTCACTGAGTCAAGTGGCGTAACTTCGATTCCAAACTTGTACAAGACAAGGAGTAGAGTAGAGTCGCCTGTCCATATTCGTTATTTTTCTCTGGTTTCCGCCCACAGCTAAAGACTCCTGCACACAAACAAATTATTGTAATAAAATTGAACCATTTGTTACTTCCAAATTGACCTAGTTTGTGTCTAGTGGAGTTTAAACTGCACCTCTCTGTCTCTCTCTCTCTCTCTTTCTCTCTGTCTCTCTCTCTATTACACAGGAAATAATAGGGTATAATAGTTCGATAATGTAAAATGAATAATTTGAAAATTTCATTCAAATTACTCTATTATGAGCAAAGATGTTAGCCTTTGAAGGTTTGACAATACCTGTGCAATAATTTCAACCACCGTACTGGTTGTTCGAAGCTAAGCCTCGCTCCTCCTTTTTTAGCTTAAATTAAAATATAGCTGAACTGTTCTAATCTATTTAATATCGGAGAAATCTGATGCTATCGAGAGTTGGTTATGGCCTGGATAAGTTAATTAATGTCTAATTAATAATTTAGATAACATTTCAGACCTAAAAGAAAGACCTGCAATAGACAGATTTAGCTCTTGCATAATGTATGTTTAAGATTTTGATGTTTTATAATTACAGGCAATGATTTATGTTCAGCATGGAACCCAGTTTGTATTGGATTGTGTTATGGCATTATTGGAAAGATAAAATTACATCCAGGTAATTTATTCATTTATTCATTTAAATATTAGATTGAAATTACTATAAGCTATGAAATATAATGAGTTTATTTGTCATAAATTATGGTAAATGTACAATAATAACAAGTATTTTGATACAGACTAGTGACCTGTGTATATTAATCTCATTATTCATAATTATATAGTATGTAATTTATGCTATGAACATGTTATAGTATTAAAGATACAGGCCTATATTATTAGATACCAGTAGTTAAAAATGTATTTCATCAATAATTATCAAACTAATTAGCATGTTATGGTTTGGAAGATACATATCAGTATTAGATACCATTATTTTTTAAATCAATACTTTTCACACTTATTAACACAGATCAATTAATTTGTGGAATGTGGTTAGATCATTGATTAGTAAGGTTTGTTTTATGTTAAATGTGGTTAGATCATTGATTAATAAGTTTTTTGAATGTTGAATGGAGTAAGATCATTGATCAATGATTTTATGTTGAATGAGATAAGATCATTAATCAATAAGTTATTTTATCAGCAGTTTGTTTATTGATTATATTTTTATTACATCAATATTACATTGATTTTGCACACAATCCTGTGTCATTTATAATCAAGTTTGAATATGAGGGTTTTTTTTTTACGAGCGTCAAATGCAAAATTAACTACCTTTTGAGAGAAATAAAATGCATGAGGTTTAATTAGTGTCCTAATTTTCTGCACAAACAGGGATAATGAAGATGGGCAAACCCCATGCAGACATTTGCATTTCTGACTGCTAGTCTTCGAATTGTAACTATCAATTGTTCTTTTACATGCATGCCGAGTCCTACTTCTGCACCACTGAAAAAAGGAAGCAACATTGGAAAATGCTGTGGATTTTTTTCAGCTTCCTCCTGGATCAAACTCAGGACCTCCAATCTAGTGATCAAGTGCTTTACTCAGTCAGCCAACTTGGTTTCCTATGACACAGTCTTTTTAGGCTTTTGAATTAAAATTTTGAATTTAATCTAGCAGTCTTAGGATGGAATGGGGTTTAATGTCATTTGAGACTAAAATACATTTTTTAATGGTTACATGTGCAATGCTTGAGAGGGGAAATTTGCCTAGACAGCAGTTTTTCCAACTACTTTTCATTGAATTCAAACTGTCAAGGGTTCTTTTACGTGCTCGACAATGTGTACGCGGTTGCCACTCAGTTTTCTTTATCATCCAAGCACTACCTGTTACAAGTTGGAACTGGACTTATATCTAAAAGTCTTCAGCCTACTACACCAGAAATGAGTTGGATTGTTTAGTGAGACTAGTTCTGGCCTCATTCCTTACACCAAAACTATTCAATAACTGAAATTTAGACATTTTATCATACCCAGCACCCCCTACCCGGGTTCCGTCCCTCTTTAAAATTACCCAGAAACCCAAGAGGGCACCCCCTAGTAGACCCCATCTACCAGACACTCGTTTGAAGTTAGCTAAACCATCTTTCACAGTCCCAACCGTTTCACAATTATGTTTTCAGTACCTAGATTGAAAGTACAGAACCAATCTGTTTTTGTTTTAAAACATTGCAATTTGTTTTGGTTAAATGTTTCGGATTGATTACAAAAGTATGATTTATTTTTTCAGATTCAGAATGGTCGTTATTGTTGATAAAACAGAGAAGTCTGGTTGGAGAAATGGCAGGAAAACATAAAATATATAAAATCAATAAAATCGCAGTTCTATCACTAAACTCAACAGATCCTCCAGAGTTAGAATTAGAGGTAAATTATTTAGTAGTGTGTGGGGGTGTGTGTGTGTGTGTGTGTGTGGTCGGGGGATTGGTTACTTCAATGAGTAATATTAATATTGAGAGAGACAGAGAAAGAGAGAGAGTCCACTCGACACAAACTAGGTCATTTTGGGACTAACATATGATTTGATTTTTTTTCATGAATTCATTTGCGCATAGGTGTCTTTAGCAGTGGGATGAAACCGGAGGACCCAGAGAAAACCCACAAGGTTGGACAGGTGGCCCTACTCCTTGTCACCTACAAGTGGAGAATCAAAACCATGCCACTTGAATCAATGACAGACCGTATGATGCAACGCACACACGTTAACCATTCGCCCTGCCCCCCCCCCCCAAAAAAAATAAAAAAATAAATAAATAAATAAATCTAGTACGAAAAATGATTTGTTCACTTCAGTGAATAAATAATTAATTGATTGTCTGGTTAGTAATAATCAATTGTTTACTTCATTCAGTAAGTAATAATTAATTGTGTGGTTAGTAATAGTTAATTGTTTACTTCATTCAGTAAGTAATAATTAATTGTCTGGTTAGTAATAATTAATTGTTTACATCATTGAGTAAGTAATAATTAATTGATTGTCCGGTTAGTAATAATTAATTGTTTACTTCATTGAGTAAGTAATAATTAATTAATTGTCTTGTTAGTAATAATTAATTGTTTGCTTCATTCAGTAAGTAAGAAAAATTAACTGTAAGTAAGAAAAATTAACTGTAAGTAAGAAAAATTAACTGTTTTCCACATTGAATAGGTAGCTAGTATTTACTTAAAGTAACTGAATTGTTTAGCTCAATGAATAAGTAATAGATAGTAATTAATTGTTTACTTCTCTGATTAATAATTGACTGTTTACATCACGAAGTATAAGTAGAACTTTACTTCAAGTAATTAAATTGTTTATTCATAGAGTAAATTGTTTACTTCAACAAGTACATGTAAGTACCGTAATGATTCATTTTTTACTTCATTGATTGAGTAATAATTAATTCATAACATCAATGAGTAAGTAGTAATTTATTAACTAGACCACCGAGTCAGTAATAATTAATTGTTTACTTCCTATATGTAAGATATCATGATTTTTTTGTTTTTCTCCATAGTTTTGTAAAACTCACCATTTTGGTATACGAAAAGCTGAACAGATTTCAAGGCCAGAATTACTTCAGAAACCCTTGCTTAAAACCTGGAATACTATAAAATCAGCTGCAGAAAATGTCAAACCAAAAAAGGTAAATTGTTAAAACTTATAAAAGGGTTGTTGATTGACTGTCTTGATGCGAAAATACAGGATGTCTTTCAGAAATAGAGAGTGGGTTTTTTTTCCTTCAGATATAGTGGGTGGATTTTTCTTTCAGAAATATATGGTGGATTTGGAGGGTTTTTTTTTCAGAAATAGACACTGTTTTTTTGGGGTGTTTTTTTTCAGAAATCAGAAATAGAGGGATTTTTTATTTGTGCAGAAATCAAAGATAAAGGGTATTTTTCTATTTTCAAAAATAGAGTTAGATTTTTTCCCAATTATGGGAGGTCTTTTGCAGAAATTGAGGTGGGGAGATTTCTCCAGAAATAGAGGGGTGTTTTTTTTCCTCCAGAAATAGACTGGTGATTTTTTTTCTTTTATGCAACTAACTGTTACTTAGTTTTTATCATTTACCCCTTTTTATCATTTTGAAACAAGCTTGTTATTTATCAATATACATGGGGAGAAATAATAAAGATGCCATCTCATGATGCTCCTAAATATAGATTTGACATTATGCTTCGATTTTATCGTACCATTATTTCAAATAATGATATAGGCAACGTGACAATCGTACATTATTTGTACATGATAACAGAAATATTGGAGTCACATGATGATTTAATGGAAATACATGTGTGGGATAGTGTATCTATATTTTACGTTCTTTCAATGTTTTGAGCAAGGCATTGCATAATATATGGATATATGGCTCCCTCGAGTAGTCATATTGCCGAAGCAATTGTTTACATTGTATTCGTTTTGATAGCCTCATTTGTCATGCAATTAGTTTTTCTGCAATATTCTGCTATGCACTGGTTAATTGGGCATAATAAAATTGTGAGTCATTGCGTAATGTTATGTAAACATATTTGGTCCAATTTGGAGCTCTGTTTAAAGCGTAATTATTTTGTAACACAGTTAGCTATTGGTTATTAATCGGACTATTGACCAGTCATAATGTGGAACAGAAATTTGCTTCTTTTACAGCAGTGTTAAGTGGGATTAGGTATAATCAAACGAAACACTGCAAGAAGTAAGTCGGGTAGTATGAATACATTAATGTCTCACTCTCCACCTTTACACCATACTTTAAAAGGTGATCATGAATTCGAGACAAGATCAAGAAAAGATAACTCTCATCTGTGGATCACACTTTCACAGTTCTATGGAATACAGTTACTGCTTATTATTGAGCCACATTTTAACTAGGCTTCTCTAGTCTTTATCAAGCAATTGATAAATTCTAAAATATGCTGTAATGGAGTTGTAACCATGTATTTCAAATTCAATTACGAAATGCCATTGAAATAATTGATCTGTGGATCAGTCTAGATAATCCCTTCTATTGCTTTTTTTTTACAGAGAGAGGTAAAGGATAAAGAAAAGTTTGAAAAAAGAATCTTAGAGGTCAGTTAGTTACAAAGTATATGTACACATAAACAAATGAAATGAAATGAAATGGGGTTTAACGTCCTACTGTTCTGCTCCTATGCTGGGCTAATGAAGACAGGCATACGCCATACAGTGTGCTATGAGAGAAATTTTGCCCGGGCAGCGGCACTATCGCCTACTCTTATATCGAATTCCAACTGCCAGGGGATCTTTTACGTGCATTCCAATATATACACAGGACCTCGGTTTTTCGTATCATCCGAAGGACTAGACTGCTGTCCTTGTCAGGCCCTCCGTTCTGCACCACTGACAAGGGGAAACCACGTCGGAAATACCTGATGAACTTTCTCGGCCAATGCAGGGATCGAACACCCGACCTTCAGGCTAGCGAGCCAGCGTCTTAACCAACTAGCCACCGTGGCTCTGACACATAAACAAAAACAAATCTGTGCTTGGCAAAAATGGCAGTCACCAGAGAGATTGTGCCTTACGAAGCCTGAATTTGTGTCTGACATTGTCTGTAACAGATCATGCCTTTTTTCCAGAGCTGTACATGTGTTTGGTGATGTGGTTGATGTAGCATGCTGGAATCACAGCTAAAATTTCCTGGGCTTGAATTACAGGGTGGGGCAAGATGAAACTTTGAGTTTAACATCCACTTGACACAAACTAGGTCATTTTGAGACTAACATATGCTTAAATTTTATTTCAATAATTCACTTGCGTGTAGGGGTCTTTAGAAGTGGGAGGACCCAAAGAAAACACACGAGGTTGGACAGGCAACCCTATTCCTTGTCACGTACTACCAGAGAATCGAAACCACGCAAGTTGACTCAATGACAGATTCTATGATATAAGGCACACACACTAACCATTAGCCATCAAATCCCCCTGAAACTTTGGGATTTTCAGGGTTATGTTATTTGAGTTAAATCTAGATAAGGTACCTCATATCTCGCCCCCCCCTTATGTCTCAAGATATAGGAAGGTACTATATAGTTCTATCTGGTGTAGCTATAGGGAAGCACAATAGCATCAACTGAGCATAAACTATCTTTAAAATAACAATTGATTATCATTAGTTATTAAATTCCCGTGTCACTCAACTACAATTAATCATCAATCCTACACAAATCATTTCTTTTTAATCAAAGAGGTCTAGCCGTTGCTAGGTAGACATTTTTATTTAAAGTCAAAAACAAAAGACGTGCATAGCTTACCGTTGTAATGCATCGTCACTATGAATAAACAGTCAAGTCAGTGAAAAAAAAAATGATTGACTAATTTAAGCGATAATATTTGCCGTTTAAACAAAGTGCAAATTGAGCACCTCGCAAATTTTATTTTGAATTTTTGATTTTTACAGGAATTATTGAAGATGTTTAATGAAGAGGAATCATTTTACTACAGTGAAACATATGACTTGACCTCTGACCTCCAACAGCAACATTCCATTGATTATGACGAGACCTTGCCAATATGGAAACGTTGTGATAATCGATTCTTCTGGAATAAATACATGATGCAAGAACTCATTGATTTTAAAGTAGGTTTTGAGGACACCTTGTTTTATTTGTTTGACTTTAAGTCTTGTTTCTTATTCTCCCATGCCTTTTACCCGAAAAATATTTTGGGTGCCGCATACCCTACCCTGACTTTACAGCACAATTTTGCAAAAATGGCATCATTTTAATTGGAACTAAATATTAGGTGTGAATTTAATATTATATGTGTTTATAATTATGTGAAATGACGAAACATCATAACCTTGGAGTGCGAATCACGCGAACAGTTTTGAACTCTGCTAATATTATGAATACGCACTATTCTAATATTTCTATCACTGGCCATGTAGATCAACATTATTTACAAATTTATTACTACCGTTATCTTCGTTGTAATTTTATTTGTTATTTTTGTCCGAATCTAAGACATATCACTTTCCAAATCACTTTCATTGCTGTAATTCGACCCATCAATATCTTCGTCATTATCGCTCGTTATAAGAACAAGTGCATCTGTTGAATTTAGTCATTTAGAACACACAATTCATCGAAAAATTTGCCAAAATTGATATGTAAACAAGTAGAAGGAAGTCGCTATTTACAACAGACCAGGAACAAATGGTAAACAGCATTTTGATTAGCTATTTTGTTATTGTTAAGGATGTGTGTCAGAAGGACACGTTCACAAGGTGCCAAACCGACATTTTGGGACTATGCGCTACAACATGAAAGCCAGTTTCACGGCATTCCAGGTTTTAAGAGTTAAAATGGTTCAGTCTGTCCGTCTGTCACACTTTTTATATACTCAGGATAAGCAAGTGGATAAGTGATTTGATTTCTCGATGCTTTATATAAAGATAAATGTGAGAGTAATTAATGAGTTTCATTTATTAACTTTGGGATTAAGAAGGGGGACATCAGTCAATTTACATGCCAATGAAAAGCATCCAGGCTAAGACAGGAGACAATATGAACTAATTTAATTTGAATCAGTTTTCATCAGTGAAGACACAGGTTTAGAAGTATTGACAATCATAGCTTATTAGATTGTACATATCAAAATTCTATATTATATTACAGAGCGAAGAAGTTGGACTTCCAGATCATTGGATAAAACCTGTTGTTCAAGGCTACATACAAATGGAAAGATGTTGTATGGATTTTGAGGAGAATAAAACTCCAGGTGATTCACCTGATGATTATATATCATCATCCATTGAACCGCTGGAGTATGATATCTGGATTCTATCACGGAGAAGTCGACATCGAGCTGGTAGGTATCCATACACTGGACTCGAATGTCCTGGGTTCATGTCTGGCCCTCACTTGTCAGGAGTGTGGATTGAGAGGCTAATCAGAATAGGATGACAAACTTATGTCGACACATGATATATTGGCATACTCGTAAAAGAGCCCTTGACAGTTGGAAATCAACAGCGTTTCTGTCTATTTTTCATCGAAGTCCAACTGTCAAAGGATCTTTTTCATCCCATATAAATGACTTGACTTTACTTGTCATTTGTCCCGAAATGACCTAGTTTGTGTTGAGTGGACGTTAACCTCATTTCTCTCTTTACTTGTCAAACCCTGCAGACCCTACACCCAACAATTGGGAACTGGACTTGAAAAATCCTTTAAATTTTTCTTGGCCCATGGCGTAATTAGAAACTTGGACATTCTAGCCGAAAATCCACTGCCCTTGCCTAGCAAGTAGATCTCTAGAATTGAGATGTTTTTTTATCCATAAAACCTAATCAGAGTTACATTTTCTTTGTTCCAATCATTGATATAAACAATGTTGTAAACAAGCAGGTTATTGTTATATATTTTACAGGTACAAGATCTAAGAAACGTGGTTTAGATGAAACAGGTGCTTGTGCTAATTATGTAGTTACAGAACAGGTAAAACAGTTTATTTAAAACCAAACTCGAACTTGACAACTTATTTAAACTTATTACAATTTTTAACAGCCTGTTACATTCGAAATAATTGACATGTCTTCCAATTTATATTTTTTATAAATTTACAAGTATGGGAACAGATCCCCAAGTGGAGAGTTTAAAATGGTAGGCAGTGAAATGTTAATGGACACGTTCCATCAGTTTCTGTATTCTTACAAATAATTGATCATTGTGACATGTTGAATCATGTTTAGGGGGGGTTGGATGGCGGAATAGTTAGCATGTGCGCGCTGTTTCATAAGGTCTGCCATTGAGTCAACTGGCATGGTTTTGATTCCTCCCCGGTTGTAGGTGACAAGGAATAGGATCGCCTGTCCAACCTCATGGGTTTTCTCCGGGTCCTCCGGTTTCCTCCCACTGCTAAAGACCCCCATGCACAAGCGAATTATTAAAATAAAATTGAACCATGTGTTAGTCCCGAAATGACCTAGTTTGTGTTGAGTGGACATTAAACCCCATTTCTCTCTCTCTCTCTCTCTCTCTCTGAATCATGTTTAGATGGGATTGTAAACCTTTAGTATCTTGATACTTTGTATGGGATTGTAAACCTTTAGTATCTTGATGCTTTGTATGGGATTGTAAACCTTTAGTATCTTGATGCTTTGTATGGGATTGTAAACCTTTAGTATCTTTAGAATGTATGCATGGAATTATAAACCTGTAGTGCCTTTATAATGTTAAGATGGTATTGTAAACCTTTAGTATCTTTATAATGTTTATATGATATTGTAAACCTTCAGTATCTTTAGAATGTTTAGATGGGATTGTACACCTTCGGTATCTTTAGAATGTTTTTATGGGATTTTAAACCTTTAGTGTCTATAATGTTTAGATGGGATTGTAAACCTTCAGTATCTTTAGAATGTTTAGATGGTATTGTAAACCTTCAGTATGGGATTGTAAACCTTCAGCATCTTTAGAATGTTTCTATGGGATTTTAAACCTTTAGTGTCTATATTGTTTAGATGGGATTGTATATATTTTTTTCGCTTTTGTAGATAATAGAGTTTTCACCACACCTTGTGTCGTTTGTTCAAGTTCGTGGTTCGATACCTGTGTATTGGAGTCAGACGGGAATAAAGTATCGCCCACCACCTCGTCTAGATAAAGGTAAGTTCTAGTTACCTCCCTTTAATAATACATTTAGAGCTCCTTTCCAAATCAAGATATATCCATTTCATATTTTGAAAAAAAAAAAAGTAATGTTATAATTTATGCATTTTCAAATAAATATTAAAAATGACTTGAGATCTTTGATTTTCGTTAAAAATAAAATTATCGATTTCATTAGATTGTATTTGTTAATTTGTTCTGTGGTATGACAGCCTGTCTTCGTTGAAGACCAAATCAATACTTTATTCTGAGGTTCAGCTCCTTAAACTTCATATGTGAAAAAAATAAAAACAGTTCTCAATGAAGAAGAGCTTAAAATTGCTCTTTTCTGGTTTAAGAAAGGTGCTCTAACTTGTAAATTCACACACAGATATATAAAACAAAACTATACATGATATATTTAGGGGTGATCAAAACCTCCAAAACCTGAAAAACATAAAAAAATGGCCCCTTAAATAGAAAACATGGTTAGATGCAGATTCAGCAAAATATTTAAACTTATTGTGATTTTGAAATGAGAAATGATCACCCCTATATATTTTAAAATGTATACAATTGCATCCATTAATCAGTTCACAACACACATAATAACTGTTCAACAATTTCATAAAACTTACAAATTTGTGCAAAAACCTGTGTAAATTATGAGTACAATTGAAGACAAAGATTATTAAAATCCAATGATTAAAATTGGAGCAAAAAGTAAAGAAAGGAGAAAAGCAATCAGAAGGTTAGGAATCTAACCGTATATCTAATTGCAGTCCTGAGAGCAAAATCTTGCACCAAAATATAGAGTTGTCTCCCTTAGAATTGCCACCACTGTTAAATCCAAGATGAAATGAGTCTTCAACTGTTGAACAGTTTATAAGTTATTATACAATCCTTCTGTATAATGATACAATATGATAAATTTCATACAAAAACAAAACAGTTATTCTAATCTTTAGAACATTGTTCATTAGACAATAACAGGTAAATCCACTCTTTTCACTATATAAGTCACTAGCATCAGTCATTCAAAACAAACCACGTTATACAAAACTTATATACATATATATAACATTCAGGGCCAAATTAAGACCCACAGGGGCGCTTAGCACTTATAAGATTTTGGTGACCCCATATATGTGTAACTCAAAATATAAATAATAATAAACCACAAACAAGCTCCAAGTTTTTCTAGGATTTTATACATGTCATTATTAATGGCAACAAAACAGGTAAGAGGTTGAATAGACAACAACAATGAAAACTAATTGAAAGTTCTTAATTAATTTCTAAATTAGATATTTTAAATTTGGCATCTAATAAATAAAACTTTCTGTGGTGCCCCCATTATCATGATGCCCTAAGCAGGTGTCTATTTTGCTTAGTGGTTAATCCAGCACTGATTACATTACATTACATTACATTACATTACATTACATTACATTACCCATTTCCATTCCAATTTCCATTCCCATCCACATCCCTTATCCACACCAACATTATTACATCACATCCATGTGTACATCTAAATTACATTGTTACATTTCATTTACATGGGTTTATTTTTCATTCACATTGTGTTTACATTGCATTTACATTTTATTTACATTACATTGCATTTACATTGTATTTACATTACATTGCATTTACATTGCTATTTACATTACATTGCATTTACACATTTACATTACTATTTACATTACATTGCATTTACACATTTACGCATTTACATTGCATTTACACATTTCCATTGCTATTTACATTACATTGCATTTTTATTACATTGCATTTATGCATTTACATTGCTATTTACATTACATTGCATTTACCAATTTACATTACAATGCATTACGCATTTACATTGCATTTATTTGCATTTACTTTACATCACGTCGAAATCATATTAGAATGATATAATTCAAATTAAATTTCTATTTGTTTATATTTTGGTGTTTAGATCAAGAGTATCAGTTGTATTTCCCATAATTCACAACCAAAAAAGGGCATGGTCATGTGATCTGCTTCAAATAAAATGTGTCAAACCTCAGTGGAGTAAACCTTCAAAAAATAAAATGAAAAGTAATTAACATCAAAATGGACAGAATGGCCAATAGTTTGGCCAATCCTTATTATTTTGTAATCCTTGATTGTACTCCCTATATTGTAATATTCTTATTGTAATCCTTGTATTGCTATTTTTATTTTGACCAATCTATGGGACTGTTCTGTTCACCTGTGTGATATTGTTATCCTTAAAGCCACCCTGTTATAAGGTCCATGTATGAACCATTCTATGGGACTGTTCTGTGTGTTTATTTGTAATATTGTAATCCATATATATTACAATAGGTTGGCATGTAGGTAAAAGAAGCCTTGACAATTGAAATACAGTGAAGAGTAGGCAGAAGCGCCTCTGTCAGGGCATAATTTCATTTTTCAGCCCTGGACTGACCTAAATTTTGTTCTCTCTCTCTCTCTCTCTCTCTCTCTCTCTCTCTCTCTCATTGATTATTAATTAGCAGCAGATAATTGTATATGTTAACAAACTTATAGCATTTTCTACCCTACCCCGGCAATGTCTCTGCGTAACTCATCAACTAAATGATTCTTAACACGCTCTTTATTTGGTCGTTTGGACAAGATAACATAAATAATGTGTAATTACCTCCCTTGTGAATAACTCTCACTAAAGATAAACCACAGATAATAATGGTATTTAACTCTCGCTAGGGATGTATGTTAATATACTGATATATTTGAACCTTGATTAGTCGATAAAAAAAACGGACCAATCTCACAAATTACATTTTTAGTCTGTGATACTAACGACTAATGTCCATCAGTCAACTGTTGAATAAAAAAAAGACCAATCCAACACATTACAGTAAATGTCCAGCAGATGACAGCAGTGACATACAGAAAGACAATTTCAACATGCTAAACCATAATTTTATCATTGAATCTCCGTCCTGACACAAAGCTGTTTGTGCAGATTAAAAAGACATAATTTACATTTTAATTCTCCATTGCCGAAAGTGGTTTTCAGTGCTTTGAGTATTATGTCATAGAATTAGGTTATCTTTGCAGTACCGGTAAATGCCCCTGGTGAAATGAGATCCCAAAACAGTGAAGTTGTCCTGAATGTTTTGTTGCCTGGCTACCTTGCTTGGACATTTAAATAGAGAAATTGATTAGCTCATTAGTTCCTATAACTCAATAATACTGGAAGTACCTTGTCAGCATAATATTACCAGAGTAATTAGTCATCATTACCAGTAATCAGCCTTCAGCAGAGGCATGTTCAGAATTGTCTGCAGGGGAGGGTGAGGGGTGGTGACATTATCAAGTTTGGCATGAGGTCTGTGGAAATACCAACATGGTTCATTTAGGTGCATAGATGTATAGGATTAGAGTGGAGTGTGACCAAAACAGCCACAAAGCTTGACATTTTTGTTTGTGAGGCACGAATATGTTCCTGTTTATTCCTACTAATAATTGAATATGCATATTTTAAAGATACATTCCCGTGTACAAACTGGGTGATTAAATGGTATATATGGACTAAAAACATATTCAAACTAATTTGTCAGGGATACTCCATCACTACAAATGTCTGGCAATTACATAGCTCTGTCAGGGGTACCCCACTACCAGAAATGTCTGTCAGAGTGTTTTTGTAATACCTGAAGATGTACGGTACATTGCTGTGCGATTTTCATGTGGGACACTTTTGAGCTAATCTAGACTAGTTGGGGGGCATGGCATTTTGGGCGGGGAATCCCACACCCACCACCAGAAACCCGGCAGACTTACATTCTGATGATACCAGATATACATACATTGATACCATATCGAAGAAAATTGGTACACTTTTCAGCTAGGTTAACCCCCTGGGTTCCTGCTCTATGAGTCTTCAACTGTTGATCAGGATCTTTATAAGTTTTTATACAATCCTTCTGTATAATGATACAATATGATAAATTTCATACAAAACATGAACAGTTATTCTAATCTTTAGAACATTGTTCATTAGACAACAACAGGTATATCCACCCTTTTCACTCTATAAGTCACTAGCATCAGTAATTCAAAACAAACCACTTTACAAAACTTTTATACATATTTTGGTGACCCCATATATGTGTAATTCAAAATATAAACAATAACAAACCACAAACAACCACCAAGTTTTTCTGGGATTTTATACATGTCATTATTAATGGCAACAAAACAGGTAAGAGGTTGAATAGACAACAACAATGAAAACTAATTGAAAGTTCTTAATTAATTTCTAAATTAGATATTTTAAATTTGGCATCTAATAAAGCAGACTTTCTGTGGTGCCCCCATTACCATAATGCCCTAAGCAAGTGCTTATTTTGCTTAATGGTTAATCCAGCACTGATTACATTACATTACATTACATTACATTACATTACATTACATTACATTGCATTACATTACCCATCCCCATCCCCATCCCCATCCACACCAACATTATTACATCACATCCATGTGTACATCTAACTTACTTTGTTACATTTCATTTACATTGCATTTATTTTTCATTTAAATTGTATTTTCATTGCATTTACATTGTATTTACATTGCAATTACATTGCATTTACATTACATTTACATTACATTTACATTACATTTACATTACATTTACATTACATTTACATTACATTACATTACATTTACATTACATTTATGTTACATTTATGTTGTATTTACGTTACATTACATTTATGTTGTATTTACATTTAGATTGCATTTACATTGTATTTACATTACATTACATTACATTACATTACATTTACATTACATTTACATTACATTTACATTGACGTGTACACATTTACATTGCATTTACTTTACATCACGTCAAATTCATATTAGAATGATATAATTCAAATTAGATTTCTATTTGCTTATATTTTGGTGTTTACATCAAGAGTATCAGTTGTATTTCCCATAATTCACAACAAAAAAGGCATGGTCATGGG